GTTTCTTTATCCCTTGAGTATATACACATGTAAGGGTGTATTTTTCATAACCAATGTGCTATATATGTACCTTTATATCTCAAACATGACCTTTAATTTCAGGAAAAATGCAGATTAACTGTTTCCTGCTACCTAAATGATAGGTCTCAGTCCCTTGAGGTGGGAGATGTGGTTGAATAGGGGAAATATAGCTAATTCTTTTTTTTATTCATAATGTAAGAACTAGCTCTTGGATGTGGCGCATAGCCCCTCCCCTCAGAACTTTATTTGTCCGTTCATCCTAATTTTGTCCAGAGCATAATACAAAACTATGAGAGGTATCAACATAAAAGTTTATAGATAGATAGATCTCAACAAGGAGAAGTGCAGTGCACCAGGACCATCACTCTTTGCTGCATAATTTAGGAGTTATTGCCCTTTTTATACTTAAATTTTGTCCCATTCAGGGAGCATAACCAGTTGCTTATGGCCCTTGTTGATACAGTTGAGATACCAACCTGATAACCATATAAACACTTACTGGATGTCAAAAGAGAAAATACTCAGCCTATTGGCATATATACCATTCCTGGCCAGGGCTTTAAGATCCAGGTGAGTGATACCAAGCCCTATGGGCCATTAGTTTTTTTCCTCCACATATATCAGTTTGTGAGCAACATGTCCTCTCCATGAGGGAGAAAAATTGGTTAGTAATCCGGAAAATACAGAAGCTAGTTGATTTATGACCTCGATTTAGATATGTATGTAAGAACACCTAGCTAATCTATAAAGTAGCTTTAGGTACTCATTTAATAATAGTTGGCTAATCCATAATCTGGCTTTAGTCACCTATTTAAGAATAGCTAGCTAATCTATATCTTAGCTTTAGACATCTTTTTATGAATAGCTAGCTAATCTATGATCTAGCTTTAGACATCTCTTTTAGAATAGCTAACAAATCTATAACCTAGCTGTAGACATCTATTTAAGATTAGCTAGCTAATCTATAAAATAGCTTTGGCCATCTATTTAAGAATAGCTAGCTAATCTATAACCTAGCTTTAGACATCTATTTTAGAATAGCTAGCTAATCTATAATCTAGCTTTAACCTTGCTTTACATATATTTAAGAGTAGCTTTTCTATAACTTGAATAGCTAGCTAATCTATCTATAACTTAGAATAGCTAGCTAATCTATAACCTAGTAGAATAGCTAGCTAATCTATTTTAGAATAGCTAGCTAATCTATAATCTAGCTTTAGACATCTATTTAAGAATAGCTAGCTAATCTATAACTTAGCTTTAGACTTATATTTAAGAATAGCTAGCTCCACTATAACCTTGCTTTAGACATATATTTAAGAGTAGCTAGCTTATCTATAACTTGGCTTTAGTCACCTATTTTAGAATAGCTAGCTAATCTATGATCTAGCTTTAGACATCTATTTAAGAATAGCTAGCTAATCTATGATCTAGCTTTAGACATCTATTTAAGAATAGCTAGCTAATCTATAACCTAGCTTTAGACATCTATTTAAGAATAGCTAGCTAATCTATAAAGTAGCTTTAGCCATCTATTTAAGAATAGCTAGCTAATCTATAACCTAGCTTTAGACGTCTATTTAAGAATAGCTATCAAATCTATAACATAGCTTTAGACATCTATTTAAGAATAGCTAGCTGATCTATAACCTAGCTGTATAGATGCCCTATTCACCTTTACTTCAGGATAGCATATTTACGTAGCAGCTTGCGACCTCAGAACTCAGCTTATGACCTCAGAACTCAGCTTACGACCTCAGAACTCGGCTTACGACCTCAGAACTCGCTATTTGACCTCCGTATTGAGACAGTGTCCATCTGTCAGTAACCAGGGAAGATGTGATTAGGCACATGTTCCTCGGTGGGAGAAGTTTGACAATTTGACGTGTACTTGGTACCAAAAACTAATCATTGCTACACATGAAGCTTTGGGCAGTAGTATTTACATATATATGAAATCTTTATTTCCTTGAGGATATGAAGGCTTTATATGGCACCTGATTGGAACAGACAAAAGCTATACTGGTGGTATTGATATGGAATGGGAAATAGGACTGCCTATCAGCATGCTGATGGGTAGTGGCACCTTTTAATAGCTATTTCACATGTTCAGTCAATATTGAAATTGGAATACTGCAGAATATGGAATCTGAAGTGATGCTGTACATACATCAGCAAGATGTCACTTGGAGAGTGCCACTACTACAGGTCATTCAATATTTCCTGTTGACTTCAGGATTTTTTTAATATTGATCCTTTTAGAAGCAATAGACCTGTCTGGCCTAATGGCTGTGAAATTATTTTATGTGGTCATTTAAGTAATATCAATCTCCATGAGTTTTACTGTGAAGATAAATGGTGATATGTGCCTTTTAGATTACTCAGATGGCGCTCTTGTCTCTCTTAGAAATAAGTCGATGTAACTCATAATCACCTCCCACAGTGTATAAATGGTGATGAGCTCACCACAGTGTGTAAATGGTGATGAGCTCACCACAGTGTGTGAATGGTGATGAGCTAACCACAGTGTGTAAATGGTGATCACCTCACCACAGTGTGTAAATGGTGATGAGCTCACCACAGTAAGTAAATGGTGATGAGCTCACCACAGTGTGTGAATGGTGATGAGCTCACCACAGTGTGTGAATGGTGATGAGCTCACCACAGTGTGTAAATGGTGATGAGCTCACCACAGTGTGTGAATGGTGATGAGCTCACCACAGTGTGTAAATGGTGAAAACCTCATTAGTGTGTAACTGGTGATAAACTGATAAAAATGTGTCAATGGTGATGAACTGATTACAGTATGCTGCTGGTGAGGAACTCACTATAGTGTGTGAGCAGTGATTTTACCAGACTTCTGAACTATTCAGGGATGCCACCCAATCAATTTGCAATGTCCTGAAAAGTGTTTCATCATTCACACAACATGTATATCAGTCTGACAGGAACAGTACAGGCAGCCATCCCTGTTTGTTATTAATTCTCATGTTGGATGCATTGTTATCAATCATAAGTTTGACAGTTAGTATAAGCAACAGTGGGCAAACATGCCATACATTTTGCTTTGTTATTATTCAAGTGGTTGCGTGATAGGGACTTCCTGTGTTCTCTGATGGAGTAACACCACACACAGCCTCCATTCCACAGTGATGCATATTCTGGACAGATCATGATAAAATCTATCACAGAATGGCTGCGACATGATACATTCTGTTTATCATTTAATCGATTTCATTTATTTCTCATCAGGAAACCAGTCAGAAGTACTGTTAGATCTCGGGTTTATGCCAGTCAACAAACCATGCCTACTTATCTATCCTCTGTCATATCCATCTCTAAAGTTTGCTGTTAAAACTTCAGTTGAACACAATTTACATACAGTACTGTGGTACATTGTACATCGTAATAAACTAGCTCACAAATTAAACACAATTTACATACAGTACTGTGGTACATTGTACATCGTAATAAACTAGCTCACAAATTAAACACAATTTACATACAGTACTGTGGTACATTGTACATCGTAATAAACTAGCTCACAAATTAAACACAATTTACATACAGTACTGTGGTATGTCTTAATAAACTAGCTTACAATTCAATCATTGTTAGCTTACCTGGTCCGAAGGCCTCCTTCATTTATCAATAACCTAAAGGCCTAAGATAATGATACTTGCTTGAAAAGTTCCAAGGATGAAGGCCAACAAAGTTTACAAAAATAATGACATTGACATATTTTTCAAAGTCATAGAAGTTAAATTTTTTTAAACATTTAAACCACTTCTCAATAAAGGGAAAACCAAGAATCATATTTGTCCAGAACATTCCTGAGATGAAGCCTGAAATATTCTGCAATAGGAAATGACCTTGATTCAAGGTCACTGGGATTAAATTTGTTTAAACATCGAAATAACTTCTTTTTTACAACCAAAAGGTTGTGAAGCCTAAAACACTACATCAAAAAGAAATGACAATGATATATATTCAGATTTCAGGGGTCAGATTTGTTATAGTCTTCAAATGATTGCTACTTTTTAACCTTGATATTTGGGTGTTAAGGTTCAGGAACGAAGCTTGACAAATTTTGGAGAAATAAAAGGTGACCTTGACCTGTATTCAAGGTCACAAAGGTCAAATAAGAACTTAAGAATAAGAATGGTAAGAACTCTTAAACAATTTCTGATTAATCAATATGACCTATAATCCTCTTTGGAAGATTCCTAGGATGAAGCCTAACATGGCTGGCTGAAAAAAATGACCTCACACCATATTCAAGGTTACAGGGGTCAAATGTTTGAAACATTTAAACTACTTCTTTAACTAAATGGCCTAGAATCATGATATTTGGCAAGTAGAATTTTGGGATCAATGGTATGAAATGATAATGTGTTTGTGGAAAGCATTGAGTACCAGGTGACAGGTGCAGGACCATTGGGCCTCTTATCTTTCAGTTTTGCTTTTCTTTAAACACCTTACTTTGGATGTTGTCTCCTGAAGTTGGATATAATAGCATATGAAAGAAATTATTGAGATTTGGTAACAGTAGACATACTAAGTAGGATAAAAATTTTGAGCTGTTATTTCTAAATGTCTTTAAAAAAAATTGTAAGTAGGTATGGTCAATGTTTTCCCTTTAACCATACTTGCTCTAAATACAACTTAAAACTTCTGGTATGGTGCCATGTCCATCTGTCCTCAAGGCAAAACAAATTATGACTAACAAAGAAAGAGGGAACCCTAATAGTGGCCAGTAGCTATTGTATGCTTTGTGAAGGGTCATCAGGTTTGTTCAGATGAATGACCTAGACCTGCTTTCAATGTCACTGGAGCCAGACATGTCTGAATGTTATAATTGACTCCTGAATATTTCACTATGATTATTAAGATATTGAGAGGCCTTTACGACACTTTATCAATCTCACATGATAATGCTCTTGTCACCTTATGCTGTATTTTGTTGATTGATGTTTCAGGTCCAACATCGTATTCAGTATGGACATTATTGGTAACAGTGGATGGTAAGTTGATCAAAGTTTTTCAGTCTTCAGCAAAGAAATGTTTTCTAATTAGTGTAAATCAGACTTGTGATAAAAAGATTGAAAATCTTAGATAGTGGTAGATGTTTATAATGTTGTCAGTCAGATTTATATTGTGTCTGTGTATAGAGTTAATTAGAAGAAAGTTTTGTATTAAACACTTTTTTTTCTATGTAATACGTTTTCAGTACATATTATTGTTGATATACACTGTAATTACATCCATGTTGTTTCTGAATTAATGTACAGTTTTCTGTATATAACACTATACGAAGAAGTGATTTCCAATATCAATTCTCACAGCTATATACATACTAAACAAGAAAGACCTTTTTAAAGCCTTACAATGTATACCAGCAATCATGTAAGGGCTTGATTGTCATGATGAGTTGTTGATGTGTGAACCTTGTAGCACCAGACTTGGGTAATTCATGTTTGTAAAATTTGGGTAAGAGATTTTAAGGTCACCTGAGACAGTCTCAGGGCAGTATGATGCAATCCATCTTCCCCCCCTCCCCATTGCCATGTGTCGTAACTTCATAAATCTTCTTCTCAAATCCCAGGTGTGGTAGAATCAAGCATGGTTAGAAAGGCCTTCAGATGATTTACCAAAATTGTAAACTTCATGAGACCCTATGGTCTCACATTTTCCCCTGTGGAGGGGGTAAAGTTTAATATAGTTTATATAGGAAAATTACATTTTATGTTCATTTTTTTTTTATTGGAAATAATTCAAACCTGGTTGGAATTATTGGCTTAAGATGACAGTTTAATGAGATGCACATATTGACCTCGGCTGACCCCCAGGGGCTTTTGGGTGGGGCAAAAATATATGATAAATAATATGACTCTGGGAGTTTGACAAAAAGTATTTTGTCAGAGTAATTACATGTAGTAACATGGTTTGGGGAGTTTGACATGTAGTAACATGGTTTGGGGTGTTTGACATGTAGTAACATGGTGGGAGGGGTTTGACATTTAGTAAATTGGTTGGGGGAGTTTGACATTTAGTAACATGGTTGGGGGAATTTAACATGAAGTAACATGGTTGGGGGAGTTTGACATTAAGTTGCATGGTTGGTAGAGCTGGTGGAGATTGACATGTAGTAACTTGGTTAGGGAGTTTAACATTTAGTAACATGGTTTTGGGAGATTGACATTTAGTAACATGGTTGGGGGAGTTTGACATGTAGTAACATGGTTGGGGGAGTTTGACATTTAGTAACATGGTTTGGGGAGTTTGACATGTAGTAACATGGTTGGGGGAGTTTGACATGTAGTAACGTGGTGGGGGGAGTTTGACATTTAGTAACATGGCTTGGAGGAGTTTGACATGTAGTAACGTGGTGGGGGGTTGACATGTAGTAACATGTCTGGGGGAGATTGACATTTAGTAACATGGTGGGGGGAGTTTGACATTTAGTAACGTAGTGAGGGGAGTTTGACATGTAGTAACATGGTTGGGGGAGTTTGACATTTAGTAACATGGCTGGGGTTAGAATGACATTTAGTAACATGGCTGGGGGAGTTTGACATGAAGTAATGTGGTGGGGGAGGGGGGGGGAGTTTGACATGTAGTAATATGACATAAGTAGTTTGATATGTAAGAACAGATTTAGGGATAGTTTGACATGAAAGGGGTTGGTTGGTGTTCAGGGACATTTCTGTCTGTTTTGATTATAGAAATGTGTTAAGACTTTGTGGTATGGTAAGTGTCTCTACTCAGACATTGTACAGTGCAGGGATTTCTGTAGTAAGACATCTTTAGTCAGGTTAATGGTACTTGTTGGCTAACAAAGCTAGACTCGAGTATTTGCCAAAACCTTATATGTATGAAACCTAAGCAAAGCCTTTAACAAGATTTACTGGCGCCACGCATGGCCATTGCTTCCCATATAATTGCTCTACTCACACGAAAAACATGTTTCATGGGAAAGTTAAAGTGTGTCTATCTTACAGACAAGCCATTTCTTTTTCTTTTTTTATCAAATTTAAGTCAGTAGTAGAATTTGTGTCTGAGTAACATAAAATTTTAATAAGACTGTATCAAGAATATTTAGTTGGAATTTTAACTGCCATATAAGCATACACAATACACATAGATAGCTAGTCTTTTATCCTATCATCATCATCTCAGAATGGAGTTTTCCATTACAGTACTAAACCAGAAAACCTTGTCAGGATTATAGCACCCAAGGGGCTCTAAAGATCGCAAAATCTCAATGATACCTAGGAGTCTACTTATAAGCCATTATAAACAGACATAGAAATGTTGCTGAGCTTCACCCCAGACACAGAAAAAAAATCACTGGCTTCTTGCTATTTCATTTTTACCTGCAATAAGTGTGATAACAAAGAAAGAAAATGCCTGAATTATAACAGAGTTATTGCAGAATGGAAATCATTTTCTACCTTTATCTCCTTCAATGTCTTTAATTCACAAGTGGTTTTTGTTCATGGTTGGAGATAAGAAAAGTATGCTTATAATACCGTTAAGTATAGCTCTCTAATGAAAGAACGTCATCAACTATAACTACTTAGCTGTGTTTGTGTGTGAGATGTCTGACATATCTACCCTGTGTTTGTGTGTGAGATGTCTGTCATATCTACCCTGTGTTTGTGTGTGAGATGTCTGTCATATCTACCCTGTGTTTGTGTGTGAGATGTCTGACATATCTACCCTGTGTTTGTGTGTGAGATGTCTGACATATCTACCCTGTGTTTGTGTGTGAGATGTCTGTCATATCTACCCTGTGTTTGTGTGTGAGATGTCTGACATATCTACCCTGTGTTTGTGTGTGAGATGTCTGGCATATCTATTCTGTGTTTGTGTGTGAGATGTCTGACATATCTACCCTGTGTTTGTGTGTGAGATGTCTGACATATCTACCCTGTGTTTGTGTGTGAGATGTCTGACATATCTACCCTGTGTTTGTGTGTGAGATGTCTGACATATCTACCCTGTGTTTGTGTGTGAGATGTCTGACATATCTACCCTGTGTTTGTGTGTGAGATGTCTGACATATCTACCCTGTGTTTGTGTGTGAGATGTCTGTCATATCTACCCTGTGTTTGTGTGTGAGATGTCTGACATATCTACCCTGTGTTTGTGTGTGAGATGTCTGACATATCTACCCTGTGTTTGTGTGTGAGATGTCTGACATATCTACCCTGTGTTTGTGTGTGAGATGTCTGACATATCTACCCTGTGTTTGTGTGTGAGATGTCTGACATATCTACCCTGTGTTTGTGTGTGAGATGTCTGACATATCTACCCTGTGTTTGTGTGTGAGATGTCTGACATATCTACCCTGTGTTTGTGTGTGAGATGTCTGACATATCTACCCTGTGTTTGTGTGTGAGATGTCTGACATATCTACCCTGTGTTTGTGTGTGAGATTTCTGACATATCTACAATGTGTTTGTGTGTGAGATGTCTGACATATCTACCCTGTGTTTGTGTGTGAGATGTCTGACATATCTACCCTGTGTTTGTGTGTGAGATGTCTGACATATCTACCCTGTGTTTGTGTGTGAGATGTCTGACATATCTACCCTGTGTTTGTGTGTGAGATGTCTGACATATCTACCCTGTGTTTGTGTGTGAGATGTCTGACATATATACCCTGTGTGTGAGATGTCTGACATACATACCCTGTGTTTGTGTGTGAGATGTCTGACATATGTACCCTGTGTTTGTGTGAGATGTTTGACATATCTACCCTGTGTTTTTGTGTGTGAGATGTTTGACATATCTACCCTGTGTTTGTGTGTGACATGTCTGACATATATACCCTGTGTGTGAGATGTCTGACATACATACCTCTGTGATGGTTTGAAATGCCAGACATAGAGGAAGTAGTCTGCAGGCTACACATCAGCCACTTTAGTGTCATGGATACTTGATGGATTGTTAGACTAAGTTTGGTGATAATTCAAATATATGATCATTATTCTTAACTGAAAACAGTGACACTATTAGGATATAACAAACAGTGTTGAGCTCCCGCTGAATTTGACAAAGTGATTTCTCACAAATAAATGAATACAAATTGGTCTCCGCTCCACATTTGGATTTATCCTTCATCATGTCTGTAGGGATTGAGGTCAAGGAAAGGAAATGGATAGTTCTTTGACATATAGACCGGTGACAAATGAGCTACTGATTGCCTTTTTAATCTAAAATGGTTTCAGTTCGTCTCTTCAATTGAAGATTCAGATTTAACACTTTTATCACTTACACATTAAGATTGTGACAAAAGTGACAGTGTTAGGACTGTGTGTCTAATTATGTCAAAGTCACATATTTAGTTGTGACAAAGGCAGCAACTGACATCTCATACACAATTAAAAGGTAGATATGTCAGATATGTCAGACATCTCACACACAAACACAGGGTAGATATGTCAGACATCTCACACACAAACACAGGGTAGATATGTCAGACATCTCACACACAAACACAGGGTAGATATGTCAGACATCTCACACACAAACACAGGGTAGATATGTCAGACATCTCACACACAAACACAGGGTAGATATGTCAGACAGCTCACACACAAACACAGGGTAGATATGTCAGACATCTCACACACAAACACAGGATAGATATGTCAGACATCTCACACACAAACACAGGGTAGATATGTCAGACATCTCACACACAAACACAGGGTAGATATGTCAGACAGCTCACACACAAACACAGGGTAGATATGTCAGACAGCTCACACACAAACACAGGGTAGATATGTCAGACATCTCACACACAAACACAGGATAGATATGTCAGACATCTCACACACAAACACAGGGTAGATATGTCAGACATCTCACACACAAACACAGGGTAGATATGTCAGACAGCTCACACACAAACACAGGGTAGATATGTCAGACAGCTCACACACAAACACAGGGTAGATATGTCAGACATCTCACACACAAACACAGGATAGATATGTCAGACATCTCACACACAAACACAGGGTAGATATGTCAAACATCTCACACACAAACACAGGGTAGATATGTCAGACATCTCACACACAAACACAGGATAGATATGTCAGACATCTCACACACAAACACAGGGTAGATATGTCAGACAGCTCACACACAAACACAGGGTAGATATGTCAGACATCTCACACACAAACACAGGGTAGATATGTCAGACATCTCACACACAAACACAGGATAGATATGTCAGACATCTCACACACAAACACAGGGTAGATATGACAGACATCTCACACACAAACATAGGGTAGATATGTCAGACATCTCACACACAAACACAGGGTAGATATGTCAGACATCTCACACACAAACACAGGGTAGATATGTCAGACATCTCACACACAAACACAGGGTAGATATGTCAGACATCTCACACACAAACACAGGGTAGATATGTCAGACATCTCACACACAAACACAGGATAGATATGTCAGACATCTCACACACAAACACAGGGTAGATATGTCAGACATCTCACACACAAACACAGGGTAGATATGTCAAACATCTCATCTAGTTCTTTTAATTCTCTAATACTTTTTTGTTTGAAGTTGTAACAGAATTATTAGTGTTAGTAATAGACATTGGAGACAGGAAACAATATCTTACAAATTTCAGGCAAGTTTGTGGACATCACATTTTAGTCAGGCATATCATCATGACTATAGCATTAGTTAAACAGTTGATCATTTTCTCTGGAAACAGTTCCTTGTACAACGCTTGGAGTTAAGTAAAATCCTTTTCTCAGACAACATCTGTCAATACATTCGACAATTAATAATCCACACACCTGTTTTATCAGCCAAAATTGTCCAAGTTGCAAGTTTTCTGGACTGCTGAGATAAGTCAATTGAGCTGGACTTTTCTCTCTCGATTACATAAAGATGAAGTCATCGGTATAATGCTGTCGGTTGTTTTCACAATTCATATATAATATTTACTGTGAATACAGGAGTTTGTTAATATCTTTAATTGTCTAAGTAGGATTTATTTTCATAAATGATTAAAAAGTTTTTGTTATTTGTTGTAGTCCAGTATTGTGGATAATTCATCAGATGTCTGCTCAATATTAACAGTGATGTTTACTCTGAAATATCTAATAAGTTATTCTTTCTGAATATGATGTGCACTGCATACAGTGTATTTACCTGTGTTTTGATACAATTTGGATGATAATTTTCTGTTGCTTAAGATATAATCAAGTGAGTGAGTACATAAACAGTTACTGCATGATGAGTATGTACAGTACCCTACATGTTTTAAAAGACTCAAAGATTTAATAGGAATTAAATACTGTAATCTGAAATATAAATGTATTTCTCTCTACTTACTTCCATATCTGTCACTTGACTGATTATGTGCAAATCTGGGCTGTGTATTTCTATGTTTTAAAAAATGCAATGTTTTAAAAGACAATGGCCCTGTTATTATCATTTACTTTGTATTTGAATTTTTTTCTCTATTTTATCTTAAGAACGATTTCTATTAAATGTTGTATCTTGGTTAAGATTAATGTTCAAAATCATCTGAAATACTTACGAGGCAACACTAATGTTTCTCTCTGTATAGATTTAGGCAACACTAATGTTTCTCTCTGTATAGATTTAGGCAACACTAATGTTTCTCTCTGTATAGATTTAGGCAACACTAATGTTTCTCTCTGTATAGATTTAGGCAACACTAATGTTTCTCTCTGTATAGATTTAGGCAACACTAATGTTTCTCTCTCTGTATAGATTTAGGCAACACTAATGTTTCTCTCTGTTTAGATTTAGGCAACACTAATGTTTCTCTCTGTATAGATTTAGGCAACACTAATGTTTCTCTCTGTATAGATAGATTTAGGCAACTCTCTGTATAGATTTACTAATGTTTCTCTCTGTATAGATTTAGGCAACACTAATGTTTCTCTCTGTATAGATTTAGGCAACACTAATGTTTCTCTCTGTATAGATTTAGGCAACACTAATGTTTCTCTCTGTATAGATTTAGGCAACACTAATGTTTCTCTCTGTATAGATTTAGGCAACACTAATGTTTCTCTCTGTATAGATTTAGGCAACACTAATGTTTCATTGTATATAGATTTAGGCAACACTAATGTTTCTCTCTGTATAATGTTTCTCTCTGTATAGATTTAGGCAACACTAATGTTTCTCTCTGTATAGATTTAGGCAACACTAATGTTTCTCTCTGTATAGATTTAGGCAACACTAATGTTTCTCTCTGTATAGATTTAGGCAACACTAATGTTTCTCTCTGTATAGATTTAGGCAACACTAATGTTTCTCTCTGTATAGATTTAGGCAACACTAATGTTTCTCTCTGTATAGATTTAGGCAACACTAATGTTTCTCTCTGTATAGATTTAGGCAACACTAATGTTTCTCTCTGTATAGATTTAGGCAACACTAATGTTTCTCTCTGTATAGATTTAGGCAACACTAATGTTTCTCTCTGTGTAATGTTTCTCTCTGTAGATTTAGGCAACACTAATGTTTCTCTCTGTATAGATTTAGGCAACACTAATGTTTCTCTCTCTGTATAGATTTAGGCAACACTAATGTTTCTCTCTGTATAGATTTAGGCTCTGTATAGATTTAGGCAACACTAATGTTTCTCTCTGTATAGATTTAGGCAACACTAATGTTTCTCTCTGTATAGATTTAGGCAACACTAATGTTTCTCTCTGTATAGATTTAGGCAACACTAATGTTTCTCTCTGTATAGATTTAGGCAACACTAATGTTTCTCTCTGTATAGATTTAGGCAACACTAATGTTTCTCTCTGTATAGATTTAGGCAACACTAATGTTTCATTGTATATAGATTTAGGCAACACTAATGTTTCTCTCTGTATAGATTTAGGCAACACTAATGTTTCTCTCTGTATAGATTTAGGCAACACTAATGTTTCTCTCTGTATAGATTTAGGCAACACTAATGTTTCTCTCTGTATAGATTTAGGCAACACTAATGTTTCTCTCTGTATAGATTTAGGCAACACTAATGTTTCTCTCTGTATAGATTTAGGCAACACTAATGTTTCATTGTATATAGATTTAGGCAACACTAATGTTTCTCTCTGTATAGATTTAGGCAACACTAATGTTTCTCTCTGTATAGATTTAGGCAACACTAATGTTTCTCTCTGTATAGATTTAGGCAACACTAATGTTTCTCTCTGTATAGATTTAGGCAACACTAATGTTTCTCTCTGTATAGATTTAGGCAACACTAATGTTTCTCTCTGTATAGATTTAGGCAACACTAATGTTTCTCTCTGTATAGATTTATAACACTAATGTTTCTCTCTGTATAGATTTAGGCAACACTAGATTTAGGCAACACTAATGTTTCTCTCTGTATAGATTTAGGCAACACTAATGTTTCTCTCTGTATAGATTTAGGCAACACTAATGTTTCTCTCTGTATAGATTTAGGCAACACTAATGTTTCTCTCTGTATAGATTTAGGCAACACTAATGTTTCTCTCTGTATCTCTGTATAGATTTAGGCAACACTAATGTTTCTCTCTGTATAGATTTAGGCAACACTAATGTTTCTCTCTGTATAGATTTAGGCAACACTAATGTTTCTCTCTGTATAGATTTAGGCAACACTAATGTTTCTCTCTGTATAGATTTAGGCAACACTAATGTTTCTCTCTGTATAGATTTAGGCAACACTAATGTTTCTCTCTGTATAGATTTAGGCAACACTAATGTTTCTCTCTGTATAGATTTAGGCAACACTAATGTTTCTCTCTGTATAGATTTAGGCAACACTAATGTTTCTCTCTGTATAGATTTAGGCAACACTAATGTTTCTCTCTGTATAGATTTAGGCAACACTAATGTTTCTCTCTCTAATGTTTCTCTCTGTATAGATTTAGGCAACACTAATGTTTCATTGTATATAGATTTAGGCAACACTAATGTTTCTCTCTGTATAGATTTAGGCAACACTAATGTTTCTCTCTGTATAGATTTAGGCAACACTAATGTTTCTCTCTGTATAGATTTAGGCAACACTAATGTTTCTCTCTGTATAGATTTAGGCAACACTAATGTTTCTCTATGTATAGATTTAGGCAACACTAATGTTTCTCTCTGTATAGATTTAGGCAACACTAATGTTTCTCTCTGTATAGATTTAGGCAACACTAATGTTTCTCTCTGTATAGATTTAGGCAACACTAATGTTTCTCTCTGTATAGATTTAGGCAACACTAATGTTTCTCTCTGTATAGATTTAGGCAACACTAATGTTTCTCTCTGTATAGATTTAGGCAACACTAATGTTTCTCTATGTATAGATTTAGGTAGAAATAATGAATAATTCAGAATTACTTATCAAATGTTTGAAAACAAACCTGCATCAAGACTGATATTTTCTTTACAATTTATTCATTTTGACCTGTAAAGAAGACCTGTTAACTCTGACAGGTGAATGCTTTGGGCAGTGGTGTCTATACAGTGTCTAGTGGTATTCTGTTTGCGTCTGGCACCAGTGACTGAACACAACAGATTTTCTTCACAGGGTCAATGTTCGGACTATCGCAGAAATATCACTTTAAAAAGTTCATTCCGTTCCCAAAATGTATTTCTGGAACAGTAATATGAATTTCCAGACTGGTGCGTACAATTAATGTTATGGAAATCTCTTCCCTGAGATTTCCGTCTGGATTGCAGGTTCTCTAGACTATCGACATCTGGATTATCACTGGTCCACTGTATATGATACTTGGAAGTATGATTGAATTTTCACTGATTATGAAATTACAATATATATACACATATATATATATCCACAGCTCCTGTCCAGTGGAAGATGGACAACGGTCACTGAAGACAAAGACAGTAAAGCTCGTCCTCTTTGACATACCTAGTGTTGCTCATCCTGGCAAGGTGGTAGGATCTCTGGCATACTCTGAAGTTTTCCTTGACTCTGTTATACGGGTTCAGAAAGAAGGTAGGTACACAGTTTCTTATTCCATCAACTTCCTGCAGTTCTGCTCGACACTAGCAGCAGAGTCTTGTTTAAGTTAGAGATACTGATTTATTTCATGATTTTTTCAATGTTCTCAAGCAATTTCCACACAAATTCCTTAGAGAACTCATACTAGGCATAAATCTTCTATTTTCCACATTTTCAAAGAGTTTCAAGATAACCTCACGAGACTTATGTAGTAAAAATGTAAGTTAACGTTATAAAAGTGGGTCTTTAATTTTCTACTATGTTCTAAGATGCTTTCATTCAAGTCTTGATGGCAAATTAAGTTACTTAGAATCCCAAACTTTTGAGGTGTTTCCAGATTTTGCCATTGGTCTTAAGGGAGAATTTTTGTCACATAGAAAACTAGGCTTTTTCAATGTGTTTTGTGTCAACTTTGTAAAGGTCCTCAAAAAAAATCTGATCCAGGATTAAACCTTGACATTTCTGAGGTTTCCAACACTCAATTTTAATGGTCTTTGGGGAGAATTTTAACTTGGCATGATGAAAAGTTGAATCCTTGGCACTCCCTTATCAGGCTCCTCAAATAGACTGGTAAGAAAAGCTGCTCATGTGTTCCATTATTGACTGTCACCTGTACATGTTTTACGATCAGTCCCCTACTGGTCAAACCGAGGGAAGGTAAGTTTCCAACCCTTCGTTTGAGAAAGTTTGTCCGTGCCCTATTAGCTTCATTCCTTGAGGGATTCTCATCAAAATTCACACTCATTATTAAGGAGGGTTGACGCTTTCTCAACTAACCTCTATATTTTCTTTAAACTTTTACTTAAGAATTATGCTACCATGTGAGTATGATTTTCTGAAAATCTAAGCGCTCCAATGAGTTGTTCAATTTTTGACAAAAAATAAAAAGAATTATTTTTCTCCAAATTTAATTTTTTTTTTTTTTTTTTTTTTTGGTAAGATTCCTGAAAATTATATAGAAGCAATGAACTGAAAAGAAAGAAATAAATATCTACTTTACAAATATTACATTTAATTTATGAAGAAATATACAACACAAAGTGTTCATATGTAGTGGGTAGATTTCGGTATTTACAATTCAAATACTCACATAGCATTTAACTATAAAAACTGCAAGTAAAAGATTGAAATAAATATCACAAAAATTTATTGATTTACATATAGCATTGTTCCAGGGGTAGGTTATCTCCCTTAAAATTATCAGGAATATTTTTGAATGGGTAGTTTATCACATAAAACATACACTTTGCATATGTATAGTCCTAATAGATACACTTTTTAACACTTTAATAACAATAGAATGATATACATACATATATTTAGTAGGCATTTATAAATTCATTGTATCAAACAGTGGCTTAGCGTGTGTGTACTACCCACCTATTTTCAAACATACAACCAAGGAATAACTTGTGTCCTCTCTAATGATATAAATTATCTTGACTTCTATTCTTTCTTCAGTTCATATTTTCACTTATATGTTGCCTCTGCCAACATAGACATTTCTACAACTAGATGTCCCTCTTTCCAGTCCAAGAACCAGTAGAGGTACTGTTGTCCAATCCTTTGTCACTTTCATCACTACAGTTAATACTGGAGTCTGACCATGCATCAATATCTTTTATATCAATTTACATTATTGGCTTGGAATACAAATGGTCTTCACAGCTACTACTTTCATTACAATTGCTTTCTATAGGCATAAACTATCTCCTCGTTTTAGTCTCTTCTCGTCATTGTTGACGTTGTTACTTTCTTTTCATACTATTTCTACAGAAGAGTTTTGCTTCACACAACACAAAATTTACCTCTCAATGCAAAATGTCCAGTACACAAATAGGAAGTTACAATATTACATATGTGGATGGAAATATTACTTGTGTAATGTTGGGTCAAATCTCCATAAATATCAAAATAATTTGGTTCAGCAAGAGTTTCTGGGTTAATTGCTATATCAAGTTTACTGTTCCTGTTTTTAGAAAATGGTTGTCAGCACTGTAGTGGTTTCATTCCTTGAGGAATATTTATCTAACTTCACAAACTTATTGAGCATCAAAATATCTGGAACAACTTGAAGTTTCAGGGTTGTTGTGTTAAGGTCAAACAATAGGGGATATGTATTGCTTTAGCAACACTAAAAGTACTGTTTCAAAAATGAGGACATCTTTAGTTATTTACAGGAAAATGAGGAAATTCAAGATAAAGATACAACAGAGAAAAAGTGTGTAAAATATTAAAGTATGTGAAATAATGTTGCTTTGTACAACAAAATTATGTTTTTTGGTAAGATTTACTTCAATAAAATCACATTTTGTAATTGATCCCATGTATTGCTGTGTTATTCAGTGTTGTCGTGATAAATAACAAAATCTAAGGTTTGTAAAATTTACAATAAGAAATTGGCTGTACATATAGAATATCACACTAAGATTCTATGTGTGGTTTTGTTTATTGTTGCTTTGTGTCCTATTAACAGTCAGGTTCAGATTAAGGATGTGCCAGGTTTGGGTGGTAGAGAAAAGCCAGTGTTTTCAAAGTAAATCCACCGACCTGCGCCAAGTACGTGGCAACTGCCTCGTGTAGGCCTTGAACCTGCAACCCAGAGGTGGAGGACTTTAGTGATAAAGATGTCTGAAAAGCTCAGCCACTGTGACCCAAAAAGACTCTTCAAATTTATGTTCATACACAGGGATCATCAATAAAGTTACTCTAAATTCACCCAGTCCTTGATAATGAAAGTTTGATTTGCCAGACAGTAAACTATTCTGTCAGGATGAAACCATTCGGTCAGGATGTTGAAGTGAAATATACAGTGAAAGATGTAGGGACATTTACCAGAAGGCAGTAGGGATAGAAAGTTGACTTTCATGTATTTTTTTAATGCCTTTCCATCTATAAAGGTGAATTGAATTACTGACAAATACAGGTAGCAATATCTTCACCACAAAACACGACAATATTTAAATTCACAACTCTTAAATTTGATTATTGTAATTTTCTGCTTCAGACAAATAATTTCATTTCCTTTTGTGTGGAAGGTGGCAATTCACACGTTGTTTGCTGGATATGATGTGTAAGATTATTCTGCTTTTTGACAGATTTTTATATTTTTATTCAGATGGGACAAAGTATTTGGATAGCGAGATATTGATCCTCACTGCTAATTTCCCACGATTCCAAGCATGGCATGTATGTGATTGAGTTACAACAGTATTTTACCAATCTCATTATTTAATAACCATAATCTGTACTTTTAACATGAAGCTGTTTATTTCTCAGTTGAATGTAAATTGAATGCATTGGAAATGAAATAAATATGAAAGGGAAGCTTGAGGTTTCAGATAAAAGACAGACATTGATCTGATGGGAAGCATCAGTGCCAATTACAAAATGTCAGTATATCTTCTTTTGATTGTGACAATTAATGATAAATTTGTCCTGATGAATGGACAGTTGAATGGTGGTAAGAACAGTCCAGTACCAGCCCTACAGGACAAACTGACCCGTGGCCTGAGTGACCACTGTGGCAAGGTGTTGATATCTGGGGAGACAGTCTATGCTGGGACAGCAAAGAACCTCAGCAGATTTCCTATTGAAGGTACAGATTTTTGTACATATACATTAACTTTACTATAGATCTTCATGTCATTGATACTGCAAGGTCAGTGCATTACTACTATACATTAAATCATCAATGTATTTACACCACCAAAGATCACTTATACATATCAAATGTACCATAGATCTTCTATACAGATTTATAAACCATAGATCTTCTATACAGATTTATAAACCATAGATCTTCTATACAGATTTATAAACCATAGATCTCAAATACATATTTACTAAACCATAGATCTTCTATACAGATTTATAAACCATAGATCTCAAATACATATTTACTAAACCATAGATCTTCTATACAGATTTATAAACCATAGATCTTCTATACAGATTTATAAACCATAGATCTCAAATACATATTTACTAAACCATAGATCTCAAATACATATTTACTAAACCATAGATCTCAAATACATATTTACTAAACCATAGATCTCAAATACATATTTAATAAACCATTGATCTTCTATACAGATTTATAAACCATAGGTCTTCTATACAGATTTATAAACCATAGGTCTTCTATACAGATTTATAAACCATAGATCTTCTATACAGATTTATAAACCATAGATCTTCTATACAGATTTATAAACCATAGATCTTCTATACAGATTAGTAAACCATAGATCTTCTATACAGATTTATAAACCATAGATCTCTAATACATATTTACTAAACCATAGATCTCAAATACATATCTATTATACTGTACATCTCCAATACATATTTACTAAACCATAGATCTCAAATACATATTTACTATACCATACATCTCAAATACATATTTACTAAACCATAGATCTCAAATACATATTTACTAAACCATGGATCTCAAATACACATTTACTAAACCATAGATCTAAAATACATATTTATAAACCATAGATCTCCAATACATATTTACTAAACCATAGCTCTCCAATACATATTTACTAAGCCATAGATCTCAAATACATATTTACTAAACCATGGATCTCAAATACACATTTACTAAACCATAGATCTAAAATACATATTTACTAAACCATGGATCTCAAATACACATTTACTAAACCATAGATCTAAAATACATATTTATAAACCATAGATCTCCAATACATATTTACTAAACCATAGCTCTCAAATACACATTTACTAAACCATAGATCTCAAATACATATTTACTAAACAATAGATCTCCAATACATATTTACTAAACCATTGATCTTCTATACAGATTTATAAACCATAGGTCTTCTATACAGATTTATAAACCATAGGTCTTCTATACAGATTTATAAACCATAGATCTTCTATACAGATTTATAAACCATAGATCTTCTATACAGATTTATAAACCATAGATCTTCTATACAGATTAGTAAACCATAGATCTTCTATACAGATTTATAAACCATAGATCTCTAATACATATTTACTAAACCATAGATCTCAAATACATATCTACTAACTACCATAGATCTCAAATACATATTTACTATACCATACATCTCAAATACATATTTACTAAACCATAGATCTCAAATACATATTTACTATACACATACATCTCAAATACATATTTACTAAACCATAGATCTCCAAATACATATTTACTAAACCATGGATCTCAAATACACATTTACTAAACCATAGATCTAAAATACATATTTATAAACCATATATCTCCATTTATACATATATTTACTAGATCTCCAATACATATTTACCAAACCATAGCTCTCAATACATATTTACTAAACCATAGATCTCAAATACATATTTACTAAACCATATATCTCAAATACATATTTACTAAACCATAGATCTCCAAAATACATATTTACTAAACCATAGATCTCAAATACACATTTACCATAAACATATTTACCATAGATCTCAAATACATATCTATTATACTGTACATCTCCAATACATATTTACTAAACCATAGATCTCAAATACATATTTACTAAACCATAGATCTCAAATACATATTTACTAAACCATAGATCTCCAATACATATTTACTAAACCATAGATCTTCTATACAGATTTATAAACCATTGATCTCAAATACATATTTATAAACCATATATCTCCATACAGATTTATAAACCATAGATCTATTTACCAGATACATATTTATAAACCATAGATCTCTATACATATTTATAAACCATAGATCTTCTATACAGATTTACTAAACCATAGATCTCAAATACATATTTACTAAACCATAGACCAATACATATTTACTAAACCATAGATCTCAAATACATATTTACTAAATAGATCTCAATACATATTTACTAAACCATAGATCTCACATATTTACTAAACCATAGATCCATACATAAATACATATTTACTAAACCAAAACCATAGATCTCACATATTTACTAAACCATAGATCTCAAACATATTTACATATTTACATATTTAAAACCATAGATCTCAAATACATATTTACTAAACCATACATCTCATACATATTTACTAAACCATAGATCTCCAATACATATCTATTTACTATTTAACCATACATCTCCAATACATATTTACTAAACCATAGATCTCATCATATTTACTAAACATATCTCATATTTACTAACACCAATACATATTTACTAAACCATAGATCTCAAATACATATTTACTAAACCATAGATCTCAAATACATATTTACTAAACCATATATCTCAAATACATATCTATTATACTGTACATCTCCAATACATATTTACTAAACCATAGATCTCAAATACATATTTACTAAACCATAGATCTCTTATACATATTTACTAAACCATAGATCTCAAATACATATCTATTATACAATCTCCAATACATATTTACTAAACCATAGATCTCAAATACATATTTACTAAACCATATATCTCCATATTTACTAAACCATATCTTCATACAGATATAAACCATGGATCTCAAATACATATTTACTAAACCATACATCTCCAATACATATTTACTAAACCATACATCTCAAATACATATTTACTAAACCATAGATCTCCAATACATATTTACTAAACCATAATCTCAATACATATTTACTAAACCATAGATCTCAAATATTTATATTTATTACTAAACCATAGATCTCAAATACCATATTCACATTTACTAAACCATAGATCTCAAATACATATTTACTAAACCATACATCTCAAATACATATTTACTAAACCATAGATCTCAAATACATATTTACTAAACCATAGATCTCCAATACATATTTACTAAACCATAGATCTTCTATACAGATTTATAAACCATTGATCTCAAATACATATTTATAAACCATATATCTCCATTTCATACTTACTAAACCATAGATCTCCAATACATATTTACTAAACCATACATCTCCAATACATGTTTACTAGACCATACATCTCAAATACATATTTACTAAACCATAGATCTCCAATACATATTTACTAAACCATTGAATGCCAATACATATTTACTAAACCATAGATCTCAAATACATATTTATTAAACCATAGATCTCCAATTCATATTTACTAAACCATAGATCTCCAATACCATAGATCTCCATACATTACTAAACCATACATCTCAAATACATATTTACTAAACCATAGATCTCAAATACATATTTACTAAACCATACATCTCCAATACATATTTACTAAACCATAGATCTCAAATATATATTTACTAAACCATAGATCTCCAATACATATTTACTAAACCATAGATCTACATATTTACTAAACCATAGATCTCCAATACATATTTACTAAACCATAGATCTCTAATACATATTTACTAAACCATACATCTCAAATATATATCTATTATACTGTACATCTCCAATACATATTTACTAAACCATAGATTTTACTAAACCATAGATCTCAAATACATATTTACTAAACCATAGATCTCCAATACATATTTACTAAACCATAGATCTAAAATACATATTTACTAAACCATATATCTCCATTTCATACTTACTAAACCATAGATCTCCATTTCATACTTACTAAACCGTAGATCTCAAATACATATTTACTAAACCATACATCTCAAATACATATCTTCCAAACCATAGATTTCTAATACATATTTACTAAACCATAGATCTCAAATACATATTTACTAAACCATAGATCTCCAAGACATATTTACTAAACCATAGATCTAAAATACATATCTATTATACTGAACATCTCCAATACATATTTACTAAACCATAGATCTCCAATACATATTTACTAAACCATAGATCTCTATATATTTACTAAACCATACATCTCAAATATATATCTATTATACTGTACATCTCCAATACATATTTACTAAACCATAGATTTTACTAAACCATAGATCTCAAATACATATCTATTATACTGTACATCTCCAATATATATTTACTAAACCATACATCTCAAATACATATTTACTAAACCATAAATCTAAAATACATATTAAATAAACCATAGATATCCTACATATTTGCTAACCATAGATCTATAGTATATATAATTTTTTTGACCTTCCATTCTGTATCTTGATGCCATGATAACCACAGTTATACACCTGCATAATAATCAAATTATTTGAACATATATTTGTTACAGTCCAGCTCTTTGTGTATCAACATGCCCTGATCATCTTCCAGCCTCATTCTGGTGTTGTTACCATCCTTAACAATGAAACCCTGCAATCAATACAGTTTTACGATGGGGTAAGTATCTTATATCTAATTTACTCACACATCTCTAATGACAACCTCCAATATCTCAACACAGCCTTACCTACCTCTACTGACAACCTCCCATATCACAACACAGCCTCACCTATCCCTACTGACAACCTCCCATATCACAACACAGCCTCACCTATCCCTACTGACAACCTCCCATATCTCAACACAGCCTCACACATCTCTACTCACAACCTTCTATATCTCAACACAGCCTCACCTATCTCTATTCACAACCTCCCATATCTCAACACAGTCAACACATCTCTACACAACCTCCCATATCTCAACACAGCCTCACACATCTCAACTCACAACCTTCCATATCTCAACACAACCTCCCATATCTCAACATATCCTCACACATCTCAACTGACAACCTCCCATATCTCAATACATCCTCACACATCTCTACTGACAACCTCCAATAACTCAACACAGCCTCACCTATCTACTCCCAACCTCCCATATCTCAACACAACCTCACCTACCTCTATTTACAACCTCCCATATCTCATCACAGCCTCACCTATCTCTACTGACAACCTCCCATATCTCAACACAGCCTCACACTTCTCAACTCACAACCTCCCATATCTCAACACAGCCTCATCTATCTCTACTTACAACCTCCCATATATCAACACAGCCTCACCTACCTCTATTTACAACCTCCCATATCTCATCACAGCCTCACCTATCTCTACTGACAACCTCCCATATCTCAACACAGCATCACACATCTCTACTGACAACCTCCCATTTCTCAACACAGCATCACCTATCTCAACTCACAACCTCCCATATCTCAACACAGCCTCATCTATCTCTACTTGCAACCTCCCATATATCAACACAACCTCACCTATCTCTACTCACAACCTCCCATATCACAACACAGCCTAACACATCTCATCTCACAACCTCCCATATCTCAACACAGCCTTACCTATCTCTACTGACAACCTCCCATATCTCAACACAGCCTCTTACATCTCTACTGACAACCTCCCATATCACAACACAGCCTAACACATCTCATCTCACAACCTCCCATATCTCAACACAGCCTTACCTATCTCTACTGACAACCTCCCATATCTCAACACAGCCTCTTACATCTCTACTGACAACCTCCCATATCTCAACACAGCCTCACCTATCTCTACTCAAAACTTCCCATATCTCAACACAACCTCACCTATCTCTACTCACAACCTGCCATATCTCAACACAGCCTCACCTATCTCTACTCACAACCTCCCATATCACAACACAGCCTCACACATCTCTACTGACAACCTCCCATATCACAACACAGCCTCACACATCTCTACTGACAACCTCCCATATCACAACACAGCCTAACACATCTCTACTCACAACCTTCCATATCTCAACACAGCCTAACACATCTCTACTCACAACCTCCCATATCTCAACACAGCCTAACACATCTCTACTCACAACCTCCCATATTTCAACACAGCCTCACCTATCTCTACTCACAACCTCCCATATCTCAACACAGCCTCATCTATCTCCACTTACAACCTCCCATATATCAACACATCCTCACACATCTTTACTCACAACCTCCCATATATCAACACATCTCATCTCACAACCTCCCATATCTCAACGCAGCCTAACCTATCTCTACTCACAACCTCCCATATTTCAACACATCATCTTATACATCCTCTTTTCATTCCTTGCTAATGCTATAGCTCTTAAGTATCCTCATCCTCTCTTGACTATTCTTTTACTCCTAACCAGTCCTTCTACACTCCCAGCCAATTCTTTTATAGTGTTAACGTGGAACAAGCTTTGGTCAGTGATCTCAAAAATGAAGACTGAAAAGATTGGTTGCAATGATAAATGGTTATTCATGATAAATAAATAATGATGTACAAATATACATTAAGTGTGCTCACTAGTTCACACTTTCTCAAACAAACAAAAAAATCAAATAAAAGTGTGTAACCTGACATTATGTCAGACGAAGATCAGTAACTACAATTAGGAAACATACATAAAGTATTCCGGAAGATTGCGAAGTTGCTGACTCACGACAAAGCTCAGTCCTGAGCAACAATCAGTTCCATACTTAAATGATTCACTGTTAGTTGTATCACATGAGCCAACAGTGACATAGCACATGCTGTAAAATGATGCAAACCTCGACTTCTGGGGTCACAAATCATGAGATATCTATCTCTCCTCACATCAGACACTGACCTCTGTGCCTCTTCCACCTGCCGTAGCTGACCTCGACATTATTGGATTGGTTGGTCCTGACATTGAATTGGGTATAGTTTATGCTGGTCCTGACAATCAAGTTCACTTTGCTGTCCAATCATGCGAAGCTACAATAGTACGTAATCCGAAATATAGACACATTAAAGTCACTCATATTCACTCTTGCCTAACACCCTGTCAAAGTAATAATTACTCAATAATTACACAAATGTTAATTAATTATACTGTAAATTAAGTGTTATAGGTAGTTACAACATCACATAAATAGACAAACTAATGTGTGGCTCCAAAAAGCTACTAGAAACATGACTTAACACAGTCCCTCATAATTGGCATCACAGGGCTTCCATACCAGTGCATGAACACACTACAGCACACACTAGATCAAGGTTTCCATAGAATTTTAAAATGGACAAACATGTATAAACTAAATAAATCTACAAACAACAGTATATTATGTTCATAGAATCTAAATACAATGATGATGACAAAGAAACATGAAATTATAATGATACATTATAAAAGAAAATCCAAACATATCATACAATAAACAATAGTCACACATGAATGGAACACACTGACACTTGGATTGCTTGACCTGAACATTTCACTAATACCAATCTGGCTCTTATACTCTTAAACCTATTCTTCACTCTTAGCCAATCCACCTTAACACTTCACTAATACCAATCTGGCTCTTATACTCTTAAACCTATTCTTCACTCTTAGCCAATCCACCTTAACACTTCACTAATACCAATCTGGCTCTTATACTCTTAAACCTATTCTTCACTCTTAGCCAATCCACCTTAACGCTTCACTAATACCAATCTGGCTCTTATACTCTTAAACCGATTCTTCACTCTTAGCCAATCCACCTTAACACTTCACTAATACCAATCTGGCTCTTATACTCTTAAACCTATTCTTCACTCTTAGCCAATCCACCTTAACACTTCACTAATACCAATCTGGCTCTTATACTCTTAAACCTATTCTTCACTCTTAGCCAATCCACCTTAACACTTCACTAATACCAATCTAGCTCTTACACTCTTAAACCTATTCTTCACTCTTAGCCAATCCACCTTAACACTTCACTAATACCAATCTGGCTCTTATACTCTTAAACCTATTCTTCACTCTTAGCCAATCCACCTTAACACTTCACTAATACCAATCTAGCTCTTATACTCTTAAACCTATTCTTTACTCTTAGCCAATCCACCTTAACACTTCACTAATACCAATCTGGCTCTTATACTCTTAAACCTATTCTTCACTCTTAGCCAATCCACCTTAACACTTCACTAATACCAATCTGGCTCTTATACTCTTAAACCTATTCTTCACTCTTAGCCAATCCACCTTAACACTTCACTAATACCAATCTGGCTCTTATACTCTTAAACCTATTCTTCACTCTTAGCCAATCCACCTTAACACTTCACTAATACCAATCTGGCTCTTATACTCTTAAACCTATTCTTCACTCTTAGCCAATCCACCTTAACGCTTCACTAATACCAATCTGGCTCTTATACTCTTAAACCTATTCTTCACTCTTAGCCAATCCACCTTAACACATCACTAATACCAATCTAGCTCTTATACTCTTAAACCTATTCTTTACTCTTAGCCACCTTAACACTTCACTAATACCAATCTGGCTCTTAATCCACCTTAACACTTCACTAATACCAATCTGGCTCTTATACTCTTAAACCTATTCTTCACTCTTAGCCAATCCACCTTAACACTTCACTAATACCAATCTGGCTCTTATACTCTTAAACCTATTCTTTACTCTTAGCCAATCCACCTACACATCTAGCCCATCCTTCTATATCTCATACACTTGTTGTCTAATCCTACACTCCTAGCCAGTCTTCCTACACACTTAGCCTGTCCTCTTTCACCCCTTACCAATCCTTATTTAGTTCCTAGTCAATCCTAAAGCTCCTACACAGTTCAATTTTTAGTGTTGTTTACTTAATTCAGTGTCTTCAGCATCACCCCTGTTTTAGTTATCATTGATTGGTTGGGAGGTTAGTACATCATTAGAATGGCCAGACATCGGAAGATATCCAGACTAATGACTTGTGTGTGTGTGAACCTGTCGATCTTGCCCTAATGATGTGACAAAGTTTATAGAACCTAGTAAGGAAAAGTCACTTGTTTCTAAAAACAAATTCAGAAGTTAAGTTATCTGTTGTCTCTAAATAACTGAAGGAAAAATAAATTGTCTGGAACAACACTGTTTTCTTCCCAGAATTCTTTTCCAATTTGACACCAATACTATTTTGTGACTCTCCTACAATACTACACAATGTTTGAGGTTCTATGCCAGTCAAGAAAGTAATGAAAGCCTGTGTTAGTCACAAGTGTAATCTTTACTTCAACTTGAAGGGTTAACAGAGCTGGAATACACTGGCACTGAACTAGTTGATTACAGTTAGAGGAATATACTTATATGCCATGTTGCATCATTTTTGTCAATAAGACAAAACAATTAACTTACCAGGAAATTCCTTTGGGCTGACAAATTTGATATTTTGTGGTTTACAGAAACACTTAACGGTTAGGATAGTTTTTTCTTTCCCTTGAGATCTCTAAACAAATTTGAGGTTTTTTCACACATTTAAAACAAACATTGTTTCCTGCATTAAAACTACCTAACATTAGCATGTACATAAGGATCTATCCTCACAATACAGTCAGGTAGAGGGGGTTGCATATGTGTAGGTCTGTTCTGTATCAATGGTATTTCTTTACAGATCATTTTCTAAAATTCCTAAAAATGATTAGGGTCAATTACAATGTGAGTTACTGTTATCACTGTTTCTTGAGAAGTATACTCTTTGGATCTTTCTCAAACTTCATATGTAGATTCTCTTTTATGCCAAATAATGTGCCTTTTAATGCTCCTTAAAGGATGTGCATATAATTGCCACTTTGACGTCTGTCCATTCATCTGTCCACCCATCCGTCATAATTTTGTATGGAACATAAAAATAAAACTATAGGAGATATCAACATAAAACCTCATAGAAAGATAGATCTCAACAATGAGAAGTGCAATGTACCAAAACCATCACTCTCTTTTGCTTAATTTAGGAGTTATTGCCCATTGTTTTTTTTCATACTTAAATTTTGTCTGGAGCATTACACTAATACTATAAGAGGTATCAACATGAAACTTCATAGGTAGATATATCTCAACAAGAAGAAGTGCAGTACACAGGAACCATCACTCTCTTATGCACGATTTAGGATAATTGCCCTTTGTTATTTTTCATACTCAAATTTTGTACAGAGCATTACACTAAAACTATAAGAGGTATCAACATGAAACTTCATAGCTAGATAGATATCAACAAGAAGGAGAATCATTACTGTCTTGTTACCCCCTTTTTTCAGACTTCAATTTTTTCCCATTCAGGGAGCATAACCCATCTCTGATGGCCCTTGTTAATTTTAAGACTGATCAGAAAAAACAAAATGGCTGGCAGGTGGACATATTCAGTTTTAACAATGAAAGATTCTTATTATAATTTCATAAACCATAAATAAGAATATTTTGGTGTTAGTAAAATTTTGCATTTTCCCACCTGCCGGGGTAGCTTTATTTTTGAGAGTTTTGGTGTTTCCATTTATCTGTATTAGATTTTTCTGCTGATCCATGTTACAAATATTACACCAATAGGTTGTATTATTGTGAACCTGCTTCTGTTTTTTTTTACTCGATAATCTCAGGCAGAGATAATTTTCCCCTGGAATGTGATTTTATTCTTTATCATTGACCTACCCCTTATTTAAGGCCTTGTTAATCATATGTGCAGTCCATTTGTATATAAAGCAATAATCCATTAGAGTTTTATGTGCTGTTGTTATAACAGCCTTCATAGTCATACTTTTGGATGATTGATCTAGGAATTGACCAATACCAGGTGAACTTACCAAAGTCTCAGCTGTACCCATGTTTTAAACCACCAACAACCAAAATGAAAATTTATCAGTTAAAATTATTATCATAACAAATTCTATAAATCATACCTTTTATATAAGAATGACAAAATATTACGATTTCTGCTGCCAACACATGCATGAAAGATCCTGGGATTTTGGGCCTGGTCAGAAAAGCAAAATACGTGACTGATGGCCATCTCGGCACTTGACTAACAAAATTTGTTATCAATATTTCTTAAAAAGTACAGGATGGCTCTTACTCAGATAACATGTGTAAGTTCCCCCTAGTCACTAGTTGTTCTATTTTGATTTTTGAACTGATCAGAAAAAAATCATATGATAGACAGTGGCCATCTTATATTTTTACATTGAAAATTTGCTGCCACTATTGAGAAATGCTCAATAGATCTTTCTTAAATGTAGGATACCCTTACTCTCTGATTATATCCTTTTAATTTTGAAACTGATCAGAAAAATGAAATGGCGGAGAGGTAGCGACCTTCTTGGATTTTGCAGTGAAAGATTATTATCGCTATTTCTTTAGAGGAACTTTTAAATTTTACATAATCAAAAGTAATTAAGCAGAGGAAAGAAGAGAAGCAAAAGATCCAGTTTTAAAAAACAAATAAAGACAGAGCCATGGTGGGCAGAATGATCCCTCTGGGATTGCTTGTTTGTACGTCAGGTTTAAAGACTTCCCTGACATGAATGTTTTCTTGATGGCTTCATCTGCATGTTGTAATTAAGTTTGATAAGAATTCCCATGATGATGCCGGTAGAACAACAATTCATTTACTTTAAGAGCTGATTGGTGTGAGATCTGAGGAAATGTCGCCCTGGCTTTTTTCCTTACTCTTTAAATTCAAGGTGAACCTATGCTTTCACTGATAGATAAAAATAACTTTTTCTCTTAATATAATACACTGACTGAATAAAGACTGATATTGATTTCAAAGTTCTATATAAAATTAATTGAAATAAAAAGTTAAACAACTATTTAGAAACAATTCAATTGATATGATTTGTTGTTTAGGAAGAATTAAGAGCTTAATTATCAATTTAAAGTTTGGTTTGAGGAACGAAAGAAATTAATGAGAGGAATTATTGCTATTAAAATAGAGGAGAGGAGTTGACACAATGAGACACAATTCTCACTTGGTACTTCATTACACTTAATTAATTCCTATTTAATTAAGATCAATTAATGTGAATTCCACCTCTGGGAAATGAGCAGCGTGTTGAAAAAGGCTGGGTTAAAGCATATAAAAAAGTATTCAAGATCTTAATTAAAGGCTAGCAGCCCCATGGAAAGGCTGGGCTAGGTCACCCCTGGTGGGGAACTGTGAATAAGGGTATGAATAAGAAGTTCCCTTGAGGGGGGTCTTTTAATGAGGGCAATAGATACGTCATCTTGGGGAGGGACTGTAAATTATTGCAAGTATTCCTCTGAGAAGAGCTAGGGCTCAATGTCCTTCTAAGGAAGCGCTCTAAATCAGTGCTGTTAGTCTCCTGGAAAGGGACTGTAATTCTAGATGTCCTCCTGAGGAGGGGCTGTAAGTGAGGGTAGTAATCCCCTTGTGAAGGACTAAATCAGAGCTTGTGTATTGTAGTTCCTTGTGGATGAACTATAAATCAGAGCTTGTGTATTGTAGTTCCTTGTGGATGAACTATAAATCAGAGCTTGTGTATTGTAGTTCCTTGTGGATGAACTAAAAATCAGGCCTTGTGTATTGTAGTTCCTTGTGGATGAACTATAAATCAGAGCTGTGTATTGTAGTTCCTTGTGGATGAACTATAAATCAGAGCTTGTGTATTGTAGTTCCTTGTGGATGAACTAAAAATCAGGCCTTGTGTATTGTAGTTCCTTGTGGATGAACTATAAATCAGAGTTGTGTATTGTAGTTCCTTGTGGATGAACTATAAATCAGAGCTTGTGTATTGTAGTTCCTTGTGGATGAACTAAAAATCAGGCCTTGTGTATTGTAGTTCCTTGTGGATGAACTATAAATCAGAGCTTGTGTATTGTAGTTCCTTGTGGATGAACTATAAATCAGAGCTTGTGTATTGTAGTTCCTTGTGGATGAACTATAAATCAGGCCTTGTGTATTGTAGTTCCTTGTGGATGAACTATAAATCAGAGCTTGTGTATTGTAGTTCCTTGTGGATGAACTATAAATCAGGGCTTGTGTGTCTATGATACCTGGGTGATAGGTATATCTCAATGATAACTTTATTTTTAAGTAAGCATCTTGTGTCAGATAAAAAATTATTGTGATATGAATATGTTGTTTTCTTTCCCTTTAACTAAAAGATAAACCTTACATGGAAAAGCCTTTGTAATATTTATTGATAAGTATCTGATGTCCTATTTGGATATTCACAAAATACTGGTCCCCTGGGTCTCTTATAGGAATCATCCTGTCTGTCTGTCTGTCTTTCTTTTTTCTTTCTTTCTTTCTTTTTTCTTTCTTTCTTTCTTTGTTTCTTTCTTTCATGGCATGGGTGATATATACAGCCACAAGAATCCTTGTTGACCTGTCAGTGTGTTCTGGTTTGAAATGGTGAGTAATATGTTGGAGTTTAACAGATTTATTGGATAAACCAAACAGGATTCATCAACTTCATAACATCTGTATAATGTATGCATACTTTATTATTTTAGGGAACTGGCAGTGTTGTAGCAGTGCTTTACCTGATTGTCAAGGAAACAGTAAAGTTAAAACTACCAACAATTTTGATGTCGGACAGCCATCACATTTATCTGAGCTTAATGCCAAAGTCGAAGGCCTACAAACATATGTTCTCAGAGGTAAAACTGTTACAACTACTATTTCTGTTGTGATATTTGATGGTTGATGTTGGATGGAATCAGTCATTGTGCTGTATCTAATTTTGCTGTTTATCATACATCTGAAATATTGGAAAGGATATTAGGAATAATACTGTTTCATGTTTTGGCTACAATAACTTAGGTTTTGCCGACATGGAAAACGGAATCTAGTCTGCCTGCTGTCATACGATGCGACACATTACCCCCGGAATATGCTGACACGTAAGTGCTGTTCTACTAAGGAGGTGGATTATAAAAACATCACTCAACTGCAATTTATTGAGTGGTTTAAGGATATAACCACATTGTAAAATATACAGAAAACTTGTTGGAATTCCTGTTATTACTTTTAGACCATATTTGGTGACAGCATCTCTGTTGGTGAAGCTGTATTATGCAACATACAATAAAAACAGCTGTCATCATATTGGTGTCTATAAAGTTTGCCTTGAAGGTGAATCTTGTAGGTCATTTGTATGTTTCATATTTTGTGATGTAGAATGAGACCATATTTACTTCAACATTAGTGAGTTTTAAAATATTCCAATTTAGTGCATGTCAATACTATCACTGAGATTCATGGCATCTTTAAATGTTTTTTTTTTAAATATTTGATTGTGTAGTGTTCTGCTTTTCATGGTTCAGAGTGCCTACATTGAGGTGCTACTTTTGGGTGACTGATAATTTTCATGGTTCAGAGTGCCTACATTGAGGTGTTACTTTTGGGTGACTGATAATTTTCATGGTTCAGAGTGCCTACATTGAGGTGCTACTTTTGGGTGACTGATAATTTTCATGGTTCAGAGTGCCTACATTGAGGTGCTACTTTTGGGTGACTGATAATTTTCATGGTTCAGAGTGCCTACATTGAGGTGCTACTTTTGGGTGACTGATAATTTTCATGGTTCAGAGTGCCTACATTGAGGTGCTACTTTTGGGTGACTGATAATTTTCATGGTTCAGAGTCCTACATTGAGGTGCTACTTTTGGGTGACTGATAATTTTCGATACAAGCTTACACTCATTAAGCTTAAAGAATTCTGTCTTTTTTTATAACAAGCAAGATCAACATTCTGAAAGCCTTGTCCAGTTCCTGGTTGCACTTTTTAGTTCCTTGCCAGTGAAACCAGGGATATGTGGATGTTTTTCTCTCAGTGTTTGTCTTTCCCTCCATCAGTCTATATAATGTGTGCATTGACTTCATTCCTCATGAAATATTGACAAAACCTCATATATGTGCAAACAATAAAAATATGTTCGGCAAGTTCAAGTTTCAGGATTATTGGGTCAAAATCAAGGTCATCATCACCTTCTTTAGAAAATCATTGTCAGTGATCTAGTAGCACTGAAATACCTTCAACAATTTTGACTTTAAGGGTTGTTGGGTCAAGGTCATTGTTACTATTTATAGAAAAATGCTCAGCGGGAGACAGGGGGCAGTAGGGGGCATATATGTATTGTTTTAACAGTTTTCTCTTTGCTTGTTTATGTAAATAATGATTGTCAACTATTGTTTCATTTAAAGCAATACAGCCACAAGGAAAATAAATGTAGATATGTCACAGGTTTTGGTGACATAAATGTGGACATCTTCCTTTCTCTTCCATGGAAGCAAGGTACCTGGTAATATCACATCTTCCTTTCTCTTCCATGGAAGTAAGGTACCTGGTAACATCAGCATCTTCCTTTCTCTTCCATGGAAGTTAGGTGCTTGGTAACATCAGCATCTTCCTTTCTCTTCCATGGAAGTTAGGTGCTTGGTAACATCAGCATCCTCTATTTCTTCCATGGAAGTGTGACACCTGGTAATGTGTACATCTTCCTTTTTCTTCCATGGAAGATTGGTATTTTGAATATCTTAAGTTTTTTCTGTCTTGAAGCTTTGTGAATTAAAAGTGAACAACTTCCTTTTGTACTTTGATGTCATTTTAAATGATTTGATGTGTCTTACTATCAGTGGTTTTTAGGTCATCTAAGACAAAGATTGAAATGACCTATTTCAATTGGCTTTTGTACGGCGTCATTCTTGTGCGCCGTGCATCTTCCATCTTAAACAATTGACATTTTTTACTTCTTCTTAATAACCAAAAGGCCATGAGTGCTGATATTGGGCCTTTAGCATGCTGGGATGAAGGGCTACCAAGTTTATTAAAATGAATTACCTTTACACACTTTTATGGTCACAGGAGTAAAATGTGTTGAAATATTCAAAAGACTTCTCAGTTACCCAAAGGTCCATGGTGCTGGTATTTGGCCTGTAGCATGTTAAGATGAGGGGCTACCAAGTCTGTTCAAATTGACCTACTACCAACGTCATAAGGGTCAAATGTGTTGAAATGCATTAGCAACTTCTTCACAATAACCAAAAGATCAACGGTCTTGATATTGGGCCTGTAGCATGCTTTTTCAACAAGCAATATGTCTGGAGCAATACCAGGTGACAGGTGTAGCTACCTGTAAAATGATTTATGTGATTTTGACAGGTATAGCTACCTCCAGAACCATTACAAGATGACTCCACCCACTCACCCCCTGGTAGGATTTCCCCGTGCTTTGGCAACACTTCCAAATCTTAAAAGGTGAGTGGTCAATATCTTTTCTGCTTTTTCAGGTCATTTCACAGTCTTCTGTTATCTATAAATAACATACTCACCCAATTTGTAATCTCAAAATGTCAAATACCCAAGCAAAAAATATATTGACCGGTCCTTAGTCTGCATCTCTGGATGTAGTGGGATTGACTTCCATTTTCACTGTAGGACCATATTTACAGGTTCCTTGCCCACTTCTCTACCAAGTGTGTGTTATCTCCCATGCCACTGTTACATGATAGAGACAAGTTCCTATCTATCTCCCATTTTACTGTATCATGTATGATATTGACAGGTTTCTAGCCCACTTCTCTGCCAGTAGTGTGAGCGACCTCCCCATACCTGAGGCAGCCTTACCAGCGATTCGTAACATAGATCAGCCTCTGGATACTGACCGCAGCATCGCCAACGAGAATCGCAGACCTGGTGAGGTAGTGGAACCAGAGGATAAGACTATAGAGGTGAACACATTACTGATACAAAGCTTAAGATGGAGGCTAAAATAGCTAATTTGAACTTCATTAAATGAAGTATGGGTTAAATGAAAATAAAGAATTATATTACGTGCCCTCAGATGCTTCATGGGGTCACTTACCTCTATGCTGATAACATAATCATCTCTCCCTAACAATTCACTCTGGGTACATAACATGTTGTATAAAGAAAAGATTGAAAATCCATTTGGCCATATCAGAACATTGATGTGTTTATCATTCTTCAAATCATTTATTGCTTAGATTATTGTGAGCAGTGGTAAGAGGACTATAAAATATTCTCAAACCAAGTTTTCCCTATGCTGTGTCTCGCGACATCTGAATGGCCATTAAGCTAACCAGTAGTATTACAGCTAATGAAATGTGGTGTATCACAGGTGACAGGTTCATCACTATCAGCTTTACAACAACCAAAAAAGAAGGAAAGTCACTGCGTATATGGGAAAAACAAAGCTGATTACAAATTTTGGTCTTCAAACAATTTCTGGAGGAAATAAGTCGATTTGGCACATTAGATAGTTATAACTTTTGGGTTTCCGAAAAAAACATGTCAACTGTTAATGTCACATTCTGTTCTTTATTACATTATTCATAGACAAATGGAACATGATATTAAGCAGGTTCCACTATATAACCAACTGAAAGTGCTTTCTGTGATTCTTTCTTCAATGCATTGAATGTCTACAATAACGTTTATTCATCCTGACATGTATGCTGGTATATTTTATGAGTCCACTAATTTGTGTTGATATGGGTGATGCTAGCTAGTTAGATGTACACAGCTGTGAACATTTCATTTTACCTAGATTACAGCAAGGAAATTGTGTAATCAAATAAAATGTTTTTGGCATCAAAATTCTGAAATGAACATAACTTGTGTTGTGGAAATTATGCAAAAGATGTATTTTGTAAGTCTTTTCAGAGATAGTAATTAATAATGGAGGTTTTCAGAATCTAAGTAACAGTTTTTCAAGTTCAAGGAAAAATCTGGATTTTTATTGATGTGGGAACTAATGAAGTCCAATGAAAGCATTATCAAGAATTAAAGGTTACAAAAACTGATGAAGGAAGTGGAAGTTATCTCTATAAAGTAGCAATATAGTCCATTTTATGGAGAAGATTATCTAAAATTATTTTATCTTTAAGTGACAGTAACATTAATTGTTTCAGATTGTAGTGAACATTGTGGGAGGTGTACATGGGAACCACAAGGCCACATTGTGTGACACATTAAGGGAGATCACCACAGACAGAATCAAGTATGTACCTTCTTCATTGTTATCTCCCCTTGTATAAATTACATTATAAGACAAAAAATGTGTAACAACCTCAGGATTATCTCTCTCTGTATAAACTTTGTAGGTTAAAGAAAGTGGGAACCAACCTCAGGATGGCCTCCACTTGTGGAAGCTTCATTGGAAGTAATAGAAAGTGTTTAGAGTAATCTCCCCCTGAATTAACTTTATCAGAGAGAAAAGAAATCAGGGTTACCTCTCCCTCATATAAACTTCATTGTAGGGAAAACGGTTTGTATCCTCCAATGTACACTTTGTTAAGATTTAAATGTATTTTTCTGTAAATATATGGAGACAACTTTTTACTGATTCCTACTGACCTGTCATGAGTCAGCATCTGAAGCACTTAGCCCCACCCTCCCTCAGTCCATCATAATTTTGATAGAACTTTTATTTATGCTTTGATTCTGTTTCTGTTTAAAAGATGCTTAAGACTCTTCTGGTGAAATATCATGCAGGCATTTAAAAAACATCGAAAAGTTTTGGTGGTCAAGATCTATATATTAATGATGGACTGTTTTTATGATTAACATGTTTTGTAAAAGAATTTATTAACCCACCATCATCAGATGAAAGTCAATTTGATACCTCCTGCTTTCATCGCCAATCTACTTCTTTATACATTTTTTATTTTTGCTATTGAAGGAGAAGCACTTGATCAATCACATTCCTAAATTCTGTATGGTCCCTAGTTGTATATAGTACATTTATTGACTGATAAAAAAAATCCCAAATGACTTACAAGTGGCCATCTTAGACTTTCACTGTGAAAGTTTATTGTTTCTGGAGAGGTGCAGGGTGGATGCTTTTCAAACTTTCTATGAAGGTTTCTCTTAGTCCCTAGTTATATTTCTTTAATTTGGGGATTGATGAATAAAAGCTAGTTGGCTGAAAGGCAGCTATTTCTTGAGTGGAATGTTTAAATTCCATATGATTGAGAGCAAAAACATCAAAAAGAAGAGAAAAGAAGAAAAAAGAATAAATGATCAAACAATTATGGGTGCAAATTTTCTTCAGAGATCGTATGTTTTCTTTTGTGAATCAACACCAAAAAAACACACGTTGGGAGGAATTAAAACCTATCATTACAGATGGACAGTCCTTCAACAGCCTCTAGATACAACCAAGTCTTTTGTCCCGAGCCAGCTACAAATGTCTCTGACTGCAATAGTCAGCAATAACAGAAGGAAACGGTCATCTACATCCACAACATCCAAGGCGCGAGTGTTAGTGGTCACTCCAATGTAAGTTGTCCATTAAGAATATCCCCTGATTATCCTTTCTGATTGTAGATTGTTAATTTATCTATGTTGAAAAGTAAACAAATTATAAAGCATGTTGTAATTAATCAATTATTTCAAGATTTGATGTGACTGTTGTGTCTCTTGTTACAACTGTGTCACCTGAGGAGATTCAATATTACTATGGTGTTACTTGTTACAACTGTGTCACCTGAGGAGATTCAATGTTACTATGGTGTTACTTGTTACAACTGTGTCACCTGAGGAGATTCTATGTTACTATGGTGTTACTTGTTACAACTGTGTCACCTGAGGAGATTCAATATTACTATGGTGTTACTTGTTGCAACTGTGTCACCTGAGGAGATTCAATGTTACTATGGTGTTACTTGTTACAACTGTGTCACCTGAGGAGATGTGTTTTTCAGTAATTGTGTTACTTGTAGGTTTTTATCAGTAACATGAGGAGATGTGATATGCTACTGTTGTGTTATTGTTGTGTTACTGTTGTGTTACTTGTAAGTTTTTTTTAGTAACATGAGGAGATGTGATATGTTACTGTTGTGTTACTTGTAAGTTTTTTTCAGTAACTTGAGGAGATGTGATATGTTACTGTTGTGTTACTGTTGTGTTACTTGTAAGTTTTTATCAGTAACATGAGGAGATGTGATACGCTACTGTTGTGTTACTGTTGTGTTACTGTTGTGTTACTTGCAAGTTTTTTTCAGTAACCTGAGGAGATGTGATATGCTACTGTTGTGTTACTTGTAAGTTTTTTCAGTAACCTGAGGAGATGTGATATGCTACTGTTGTGTTACTTGTAAGTTTTTTCAGTAACATGAGGAGATGTGATATGCTACTGTTGTGTTACTGTTGTGTTACTGTTGTGTTTTCCATAATTTTGTTAGTAGTAGGCTGTGTAGTGAAAGTGTGATATGCTACCTGCCGTGTTACTGTGTAGTTTTCCATAATTTTGTTAGTAGTAGGCAAGTACAGAACATTATTACGGAACTGGATTGGTGAAGGTGGCCAAATGTCAAAGTAGCCTGTCAAATTGGCCGGTGACCGGCTCTTATGGAAAACCCAGTTGTTGTGTTACTGTTGTGTTACTTGTAAGTTTTTTCAGTTACCTGAGGAGATGTGATGTGTTACTTGGAAGTTTTTTCAGTAACATGAGGAGATGTGATATGTTACTGTTGTGTTAATCTTGTGTTACTTGTAAGTTTTTTCAGTTACCTGAGGAGATGTGAGGTGTTACTGTTGTGTTACTTGTAAGTTTTTTTTCAGTAACATGAGGAGATGTGATATGTTACTGTTGTGTTACTGTTGTGTTACTTGTAAGTTTTTTCAGTTACCTGAGGAGATGTGATGTGTTACTGTTGTGTTACTTGTAAGTTTTTTCAGTTACCTGAGGAGATGTGATATGCTACTGTTGTGTTACTTGTAAGTTTTTTCAGTTACCTGAGGAGATGCGATATGCTACTGTTGTGTTACTGTAGTGTTACTTGTAAGTTTTTTCAGTTACCTGAGGAGATGTGATGTGTTACTGTTGTGTTACTTGTAAGTTTTTTCAGTTACCTGAGGAGATGTGATATGCTACTGTTGTGTTACTTGTACGTTTTTTCAGTAACCTGAGGAGATGTGATATGCTACTGTTGTGTTACTTGTAAGTTTTTTTCAGTAACTTGAGGAGATGTGATATGTTACTGTTGTGTTACTGTTGTGTTACTTGTAAGTTTTTATCAGTAACATGAGGAGATGTGATACGCTACTGTTGTGTTACTGTTGTGTTACTGTTGTGTTACTTGCAAGTTTTTTTCAGTAACCTGAGGAGATGTGATATGCTACTGTTGTGTTACTTGTAAGTTTTTTCAGTAACCTGAGGAGATGTGATATGCTACTGTTGTGTTACTTGTAAGTTTTTTCAGTAACATGAGGAGATGTGATATGCTACTGTTGTGTTACTGTTGTGTTACTTGCAAGTTTTTTTCAGTAACCTGAGGAGATGTGATATGCTACTGTTGTGTTACTTGTAAGTTTTTTCAGTTACCTGAGGAGATGCGATATGCTACTGTTGTGTTACTGTAGTGTTACTTGTAAGTTTTTTCAGTTACCTGAGGAGATGTGATATGCTACTGTTGTGTTACTTGTAAGTTTTTATCAGTAACATGAGGAGATGTGATATGCTACTGTTGTGTTTCTTGTAAGTTTTTTCAGTAACCTGAGGAGATGTGATGTGTTACTGTTGTGTTACTGTTGTGTTACTTGTAAGTTTTTTCAGTAACCTGAGGAGATGTGATATGCTACTGTTGTGTTACTTGTAAGTTTTTATTAGTAACATGAGGAGATGTGATATGTTACTGTTGTGTTACTGTTGTGTTACTGTTGTGTTACTTGCAAGTTTTTTTCAGTAACCTGAGGAGATGTGATATGCTACTGTTGTGTTACTTGTAAGTTTTTTCAGTAACCTGAGGAGATGTGATATGCTACTGTTGTGTTACTTGTAAGTTTTTCAGTAACATGAGGAGATGTGATATGCTACTGTTGTGTTACTGTTGTGTTACTTGCAAGTTTTTTTCAGTAACCTGAGGAGATGTGATATGCTACTGTTGTGTTACTTGTAAGTTTTTTCAGTAACCTGAGGAGATGTGATATGCTACTGTTGTGTTACTTGTAAGTTTTTTCAGTAACATGAGGAGATGTGATATGCTACTGTTGTGTTACTGTTGTGTTACTGTTGCAGGGTTTTCCATAATTTTGTTAGTAGTAGGCTGTGTAGTGAAAGTAGGAGGCCGGCCTGCCGTGTACGTGTAGTCAAGTACAGAACATTATTACGGAACTGGATTGGTGTAGGTGGCCAAATGTCAAAGTAGCCTGTCAAATTGGCCGGTGACCGGCTCTTATGGAAAACCCAGCTGTTGTGTTACTGTTGTGTTACTTGTAAGTTTTTTCAGTTACCTGAGGAGATGTGATGTGTTACTTGGAAGTTTTTTCAGTAACATGAGGAGATGTGATATGTTACTGTTGTGTTAATCTTGTGTTACTTGTAAGTTTTTTCAGTTACCTGAGGAGATGTGAGGTGTTACTGTTGTGTTACTTGTAAGTTTTTTTTCAGTAACATGAGGAGATGTGATATGTTACTGTTGTGTTACTGTTGTGTTACTTGTAAGTTTTTTCAGTTACCTGAGGAGATGTGATGTGTTACTGTTGTGTTACTTGTAAGTTTTTTCAGTTACCTGAGGAGATGTGATATGCTACTGTTGTGTTACTTGTAAGTTTTTTCAGTAACCTGAGGAGATGTGATATGCTACTGTTGTGTTACTTGTAAGTTTTTATTAGTAACATGAGGAGATGTGATATGCTACTGTTGTGTTTCTTGTAAGTTTTTTCAGTAACCTGAGGAGATGTGATGTGTTACTGTTGTGTTACTGTAGTGTTACTTGTAAGTTTTTTCAGTTACCTGAGGAGATGTGATATGCTACTGTTGTGTTACTTGTAAGTTTTTATCAGTAACATGAGGAGATGTGATATGCTACTGTTGTGTTTCTTGTAAGTTTTTTCAGTAACCTGAGGAGATGTGATGTGTTACTGTTGTGTTACTGTTGTGTTACTTGTAAGTTTTTTCAGTAACCTGAGGAGATGTGATATGCTACTGTTGTGTTACTTGTAAGTTTTTATTAGTAACATGAGGAGATGTGATATGTTACTGTTGTGTTACTGTTGTGTTACTTGTAAGTTTTTATCAGTAACCTGAGGAGATGTGATGTGTTACTGTTGTGTTACTTGTAAGTTTTTCAGTAACCTGAGGAGATGTGATGTGTTAATGTTGTAGGAATGTGGACATTGTTCAAGTGGTACAAGCAATACAGTGTCATCCAGACCCAGAAGTGAGAAAGGTCACCAAAATAGGTGAGATAGCCATCATTTAAAACAACTTATCATTATCTGTCAATTCTTCTGCTTTTATATAGCACTAACAAAGCTGGAATGTTTAGGTCTATTTTATGAAGATTATTTGTCTATTTTTAGGTGCTGTGACCGTGTGTGTTGACCCTCTTAATGCTTATATGGAGCGCAGGTGAGATCAATTTTTACTTATGAAAATTTATAATACTGGCAGTTTCAGTACAAAACATTTTCTGTGATTTTTAGGCTAAACGTACTCAGTACGCGTAGCCTATTGCGACGGCCTTTCAGACAAAATTTACCGATCCTGGCCTTCTCATTGGCTGAAATATCAAAAAGAGTTAGAGCCCTCTAGCGGCAATTTTCTGCGTAAATAATGCCGCAATCTTTCAAATCGCTATTTTAAAAGCATCCAAAATTAGTTTATTTTTCTAATAACAATACGATTACTATGTATTAAAAAAAAGAAGCACAGTGTGGTTGAACTATTGATAAATTTTGAACAATATATTTTACGGAATTCTCGACATGATGTAAGCGTACAGAACACTACGTGCGAGTTGATAAGCTAGTCTGGGGGCTTGGTTTGAATTATCAACTAACAGCACATATAAACAAACAAAACTTACAAACAGAACATCAATTTTGTTTTATTTCTTGTTAACTTCCAGAACATTCTCAATAATGTCTTCTTCCCATGTGGCAATATTTAAACTTCTCACCATAGCTAAAGTTTCAATGTTTCCAATAGCCAAGAGTGAGAAATAGTACACAAACGTTTACTTTCATTCTAGTTTCTAAAATTTCTTTTAAAAGAAAAAACAAATGTAATTAAAAGCAATAGTCAGTTCAAGACTGACCATGAGGTTTGTTTGTATGTCGCAATGTATTCATGGAACTTCTGTGGCAGTAGGTCTAATGTGTAAAGGTAGACAACTCCTAACAGCTTTTTACTGTGGAACTGGAACTAAAATATTAAAAAGTTCATGTTTAATACTGCATCTTTCTATAATTCAACTGTGATATTGAATTACAGCAGTGTTTTGTAAGCATTATAAAAATCTTTTTCAGTTAACATTAAGATGTTTGAATAATGTTGTGTATTACAGGTTAACACTGCCTTATCTGCTCAATGACTGTGCCCAGGGGTGGGTCAACAACATTCTCTTCACGTCTTCTACATCAGTCAAGGTAAATCTCTAAACTTTCACCGTTCCTACATCAGTGAAGGTAAATCTCTAAACTTTCACCGTTCCTACATCAGTCAAGGTAAATCTCTAAACTTTCACCGTTCCTACATCAGTCAAGGTAAATCTCTAAACTTTCACCGTTCCTACATCAGTCAAGGTAAATCTCTAAACTTTCACTGTTCCTACATCAGTCAAAGTAAATCTCTAAACTTTCACCGTTCCTACATCAGTCAAAGTAAACCTCTACAATATTAACTCTTCTACTACAGTGAAGAGAAATCTCTACGATTTCCCTTCTTCAACATCAGTTAAGGTAAACATCTACAGATGTGTATTTAACCACTCGTATATCTCTGTGGTTATAAATAAGTTGGAGTTGATTTGACATTGTCCTTTTTTTACTGCCAGGTAAATTTTGTTACAATTGACATTTTCAGAACCAATCACTGATAGAAATCCAGAATCTGCTTCGTTCAATCAACACAGATGTGGCATTTTTCTTGGCTGAGAATGGCAAAGTGACTAGGTGGGTACAACTAGGTAGTCATTCACTGAATTGTAAAACAAATCTGCCCTGCTATATTTATCCCACAATAATCCAGATTATAAGCTAATCCATTATCATTTTTTTTTCTTTAGAACAACGAACTTTTACACTGTCCAGTAGATGTGTTTATCGGACATTGTCTATAACGAGCTGTCTTTTTGTTGTAAATATTTATCTTTGTCAGATAATACATACATTACTTATTTATTGTACCTGTAATAACAAAGGACCATCGTAGGGCCTGCATTATGTATATCCACATGACTATGAAGAATCAAGAGGTGTACCGGAAGCTTGTCCTTCATAAAATATGGTAGTCAGTTTTCTACCATCTAATCCATAGAGGAACACTAATGTCAAATAAAACCTGTAGAGTGATTTTATTTAGTGTCAGGCACAGAAAATTTCCTATTCTTGTTGTACAGGAGTATGGACATCGATGCCATGTTGTCAGAGACAGCATTTATGCAGGATGAAAAAGTACGAGCAAGACATCTGCTTTGTCCAGGCTGGTATGTATTTAGTATATAACTTAAATTTCATAGTGTCATATTTTTCCATCCTCATCAATGAAGAAATATTTCTTTGTGTCACCTTGCTTGTCTAAAGCCACAGGTACAAGATGGTCACATTAAAACAAGTAATAAATTCTCCAGTTATCACACATACAATGTCAGAGTGTATGTTAATGTTCCTCTGAAAAGTTTGTTTTAAATGTTATACCACTTTGTTAAATGTTATACCTCTTTGTTAAATGTTATACCTCTTTGTTACCTCTTTGTAAATGTTATACCTCTTTGTAAATGTTCTACATCTTTGTTACCTCTTTGTTAAATGTTATACCTCTTTGTTACCTCTTTGTAAATGTTATACCTCTTTGTTAAATGTTATATCTTTTTGTAACCTTTTTGTTAAATGTTATACCTTTTTGTAAATGTTATACCTCTTTGTAAATGTTATACCTCTTTGTTAAATGTTATACCTCTTTGTTACCTCTTTGTAAATGTTATACCTCTTTGATACCTCTTTGTTAAATGTTATATCTTTTTGTAACCTTTTTGTAAATGTTATACCTCTTTGTAAATGTTATACCTCTTTGTTAAATGTTATATCTTTTTGTAACCTTTTTGTAAATGTTATACCTCTTTGTAAATGTTATACCTTTTTGTAAATGTTATACCTCTTTGTTAAATGTTATACCTTTTTGTAAATGTTATACCTCTTTGTTAAATGTTATACCTCTTTGTTACCTTTTTGTAAATGTTATACCTCTTTGTTAAATGTTATATCTTTTTGTAACCTTTTTGTAAATGTTATACCTTTTTGTAAATGTTATACCTCTTTGTTAAATGTTATACCTTTTTGTAAATGTTATACCTCTTTGTTAAATGTTATACCTCTTTGTTACCTTTTTGTAAATGTTATACCTCTTTGTTACCTCTTTGTTAAATGTTATACCTCTTTGTTACCTCTTTGTAAATGTTATACCTCTTTGTTAAATGTTATACTTTGTAAATGTTATACCTCTTTGTTACTTCTTTGTTAAATGTTATACCTCTTTGTTACCTCTTTGTTAAATGTTATACCTCTTTGTTAAATGTTATACCTCTTTGTAAATGTTATACCTCTTTGTTAAATGTTATACCTCTTTGTTACCTCTTTGTAAATGTTATACCTCTTTGTTGTTACCTCTTTGTAAATGTTTGTTACCTCTTTGTTACCTCTTTGTTAAATGTTATACCTCTTTGTTACCTCTTTGTTAAATGTTATACCTCTTTATTACCTCTTTGTAAATGTTATACCTCTTTGTAAATGTTATACCTCTTTGTTACCTCTTTGTTAAATGTTATACCTCTTTGTAAATGTTATACCTCTTTGTAAATGTTATACCTCTTTGTTACCTCTTTGTAAATGTTATACCTCTTTGTAAATGTTATACTTCTTTGTTACCTCTTTGTTAAATGTTATACCTCTTTGTTACCTCTTTGTAAATGTTCTACATCTTTGTTACCTCTTTGTTAAATGTTATACCTCTTTGTTACCTCTTTGTAAATGTTATACCTCTTTGTTACCTCTTTGCTAAATGTTATACCTCTTTGTTAAATGTTATACCTTTTTGTTACCTTTTTGTTAAATGTTAAACCTCTTTGTTAAATGTTATACTTTGTAAATGTTATACCTCTTTGTTACCTCTTTGTTAAATGTTATACTTTGTAAATGTTATACCTCTTTGTTACCTCTTTGTTAAATGTTATACCTCTTTGTAAATGTTATACCTCTTTGTTACCTCTTTGTTAAATGTTATACCTCTTTGTTACCTCTTTGTTAAATGTTATACCTCTTTGTTACCTCTTTGTAAATACCTCTTTGTTAAATGTTATACCTCTTTGTTAAATGTTATACCTCTTTGTAAATGTTATACCTCTTTGTTAAATGTTATACCTCTTTGTTAAATTTTATACCTCTTTGTTACCTCTTTGTAAATGTTATACCTCTTTGTTACCTCTTTGTTAAATGTTATACCTCTTTGTTAAATGTTATACCTCTTTGTTACCTCTTTGTAAATGTTATACCTCTTTGTTACCTCTTTGTTAAATGTTTGTTACCTCTTTGTTAAATGTTATACCTCTTTATTACCTCTTTGTAAATGTTATACCTCTTTGTTAAATGTTATACCTCTTGATTACCTCTTTGTAAATGTTATACCTCTTTGTTACCTCTTTGTTAAATGTTATACCTCTTTGTTAAATGTTATACCTCTTTGTTAAATGTTATACCTCTTTGTTACCTCTTTGTAAATGTTATACCTCTTTGTTAAATGTTATACCTCTTTGTAAATGTTATACCTCTTTGTTACCTCTTTGTAAATGTTATACCTCTTTGTTAAATATTATACCTCTTTGTTACCTCTTTGTTAAATGTTATACCTCTTTGTAAAATAACCTGTCAACATTGATCTACTAGCTGGTAATAAATTAAATCTATTGGAATCATTGCCTTTGTAGTAAAATGGAAGGTTTTGCTGCATTGTTAAGAAGTTTGGTCAAAACCATCCACAGAAACCTCTAAACCTGATAGTCAGGATCCAGTCAGACATACAATGTTTTACAAAGTTATTTAATTTAATCCACTTTCAGTCAAATATACCAAAGTTTAAGAAACAAAGGGGAAAAAATAAAAATGGAGATATGTACAAATTGGACAGGCAATTATGAGAAAAAAACTTTGACCTACTTTCAAAGTCACAAAGATGAAATGTGATTTAAGCTTATAAAAGTTTGTTTGGGCCAAATTTTTCTAAACATTTTATCTGGTACATGTCCTATCTTAGGTGCACTATTAATGTATCTGGTGATGGTACCTGTCACAGACACCCTTTGCTAGTGTATAGCGTGCAGATTATTTTCTGATGCCTGTTTCACTTTGTATGTGCTAGACTATCAGAGAATAGGCACAACTATTCTACCAAGATTGAATTTGCTTTTAAGCTCCACCCTGAAAATTTTAAATCCTTTGGCCATAACTTTCAAATGGAAAGAAAACTGCTCCACGATATATCATAAGCATATACATTTTAGAATCAAACAAATTTACTAGGAAGTGCTATTGTATCAAATCCATATAAACGGGAAATGTGGTCTTTCTATCTGTTTCTCCAAAAACAAGGAAATTAATTTTTACTATGACTTGTAAAATACCCAGGTGAGGAATTATAAACCAGATTTAATCTTGTTGTTTGTGTATTTTTTTAGCATTAGCAGTTGTTAGATTAAACTGGAGTGATAAAAACACCAGTCATACAATCAGCTACAGCTCCATTGTGGTCAATATTGGTCTGTATACTCACTGTTAAATTGCTGAACACTATTAATTGATAATCATACAGGTCCCTGGGGATTTGGAAGGAGCAGACAACTCTACTCAAAATGAACAGTATTCTCCTTAGATTCTCACAGCCTTTGGAAAGTCCCCTTCTGATGAAAAACCTGAGAGGTAACTCCAAGCTGTACAGTACTTTCCTGTTTAAATGAGTCAGATTTTTTATTATTAATTCATTATTTAAACTCTTTGATATTTCTCTTACTAAATCTGAAAAGTCAAGATTTTTGTGCACTTCATTTTGGTCTATCTGAGGATTAACCATTGGTGTTTTGTAAACCTCCAGGTCTGAAGAGCTCTCTGAAGGCTTTTCCTTGTAAGGGAAACATCTACTTCATACATGGCATGCTCCATTTCACAGGTAAGAAATAGAGTATACAGGATTATAATGAAGATTTAGATGATGACAAAAGATGTATGAGTGAAAATGGGGTTATGTATGTTGTCCCAAGTGATTAAGCAGTAATGTTTGAACATTGTAAAATTGTACAGCTACTGCCATTAAGTTTAACTAATATAATTTACTATATATAGACAAAGCTAATCAACCTCCAGATCACTGTTCTGACAGTATATCGTCCTACACATTTACTCTACAGATTCACCAAACCTGAAAGAGCTTCATCATATTACACTCAGTGACACCACAACTCTGAATGCCGCCAAAAATCTCGACCAATTGTCTAGTAATGTAACCAATGGAGATGGTCCCCACATCACTAAGGGAGACAACTTCCTAGTGATTACTGGATGTGGACTGAAGGAGGCTGTGGTGAAGGACTGGGTCAGAATGTGTGTTAAACAGGTCAGCTCTACCAGTTCTACTCAAAAGATTCTCCATAATGTTGGCATGATCGAGACTCTGAACCAAGTCTCCTCTATTATGTTATAGCTATATTCATATTTAGCTCAAAGTCCTGAATATTTGATTATGTTTGAAATTTTTTTTAAACTTTTGTGTCCTCTTGATATATATCTTTGCTATTATTTTTAGTTTTCAATTCATGTTTTTCAATCAGGTTATGCTAAAGATCAAATCTTTAAAAGTTGTTTGGATGTTTATGTTCACATTTCAAATACTTTAATTTTCTAGTGCTATATGTTTAAACTTCATAAATCTTTCTTGTTGTTGTGGTGTGTGATTTCTTGAAGTTTACAATCCAGGAAATCAGCTTCAGTTTTTTCAAAGAGTCTTTTGAATATATCTTTTGTTTTGTTTCTATAACCAGGAAATATCTTATTTACCAAATATTGTGTTGTCATGTAAATCTGTCTCAATATACCAAGAAATGTTGTTGTTTACAGAAACCTGAAAAGAAGAATCTGATAACGCGTAAAAATGTCTCCAGGGAAGATGTGAAGCAAATCCATGTAAGTATATATACTGTTGTACAGGTAATACACAAGTTGTTGTTTGTGTTTGCTCTCTAAAAATAATGATGGTTAGTCTGTATCTAGTACATCATACATTTTGTATGCGTAGTTTGATCAGAAATTTGAAAAGTTTTTATGGTTACCATTCTATCATTCAGTGAAGTCTTAAAGACTAATGTGTTTTATCACATTAAGATTTAAACAATCTAAATTTTACCCATGTATGTTATAATGTAATTGTAAGTTCAGGAGTCAAAAGTCTTATTGGTAGGTAGATCGCAGTAAATATTTTTTTTTCTCCCTTGGCAGGCGAAACGCCACCTTGATGCTCTTCCTGAGGGTTGGTTCTACAATGGTACACAGTTTGTTAGCTTTGATGGAGAGAAGCAGAATACACACCCGGGTAAGTTTTACCTCTATAGAAGGTATGTCATATCTCCTCACACTCTCTTACAGAGGTAATGTTGTAGAGGGACATTAAACAACCTGGATAACACTGAAAATGTTAACAGTGTAGGTGATATGGCTGCCCAGAGCTGCTGGTGATTCAGTCACCAATACTGGGAAAAGCTTCCTTTCTTTTCTGTTATTCAGTTTTGCAAAAATTCATGATATTGAGACTAAAATGTCTTTGTTTCATATCTCACAGAGATGTAGTAAGCAGTATAAGGAATTATTACTCATTGTCAGTGGACAATTTTACAATTATTTCTTTCTGATATATTCTGTCTCTTAATCAGTGATGTTGATTTCTGCTGCAGGACTCTGGTCATCATTTTGTTTCACTATAGTTCACAGAGAAACAAGGGTTTAGATGATATTTGTATTTCTTTAACAAATTAAGTCAGAAATACAGCATAAAAACAAGTTGATATGAAGTCCTACTTTTGTGTAAATGACCATTACATACTTGTCAAATATTGACCACATGTTTGGAGATACTGAAAAGACTTGTGTTGTTTTGTAATACAATTTATATATGTACAAAAATATTATTCAATATAATATATTTATAGTCCTTTTTTGGTTTGTTATGCTAAGAGCATTTTCAATGCTCTTCAGCATGTTGTTGTCGCCCTTGAGTATCAGTACTTCGTTTTCATTGGTTCATAAATCGAAAGTTTACTCCTACTCCATCTGCCGGACATTACTGTAATCATTGGATTATCGCCCCTACAAGTTGCTGATGCTAGTCATTAAATGAAACAACCTTATCGACATTTTCTTCATTACTTGTTCATCAAGAAAATGTTGTGTGTTGTGTATTAATGATAATCAGACATCGAAATTTGTAAATACAATGACAAAGACTCACGTTTTATGGTGGTAAATTTTACGAGACGATGCCAATATGGCGGCTTAACTTTCTTTTTGATGTTTATCTTAATTGATTTCTGTTGACAGACCTGGACATGTTTATCCGACAATACATAGAGGAGACCAACCATGAGGTGGAGACATTCAATAAAAAAGTGGACGAGATTTCTAGGAAATATGTGGACCTCTTCTCATGATTGCCATGTGTACAGATGTTGTGAGCTGACAAGATAACCTGTTGTTTCCGAGCTTCCTCTGGCGATGTCTTCATATGAACAAAAATATCATGTTGGCCCTATCGTCTACTTTCTGCTGATCACTGTACATGCTCCTGAACTCTGCATGTTTGACTGGACTATGATCCTTTTCTAAATATTTTGTTAACCTTTGACCTCAACATCGTGACCTCTGCTTATAATCCTTGGAAACCTGAAAAATATGGGATGGTAAAATTTACCTCTGTGGTGAATGAATAAGTGACCTAATGGGAGAATTTTCACGATGATGACTTCTCTTGACTTATTGACCATTCATAACCTTTCTGTCATGATTACTGCTTCATTACCATGATCTCTGATGACCTTTTAACCTGGAGGTGTCAATTTCCAAAGAGCCATACTAAACAAAGCCATAGAATAAATGTTTATGCAAAACACTAACAGTATTAAAAGAAATTGTCATAATTTGTTTGAATGTCTCTGAGAGTGCTGGGAAACTGTGGTTTACCTAATGCCAGAACATCTGATATAGTCCAGGGTTTCTGGTGATAGACTGCAGGATGTTACATTCATTTTTTGGATGCTTACTGAAGAGGAATTACTGATACTGTTTTAGAATCAACAATGTTTGATACACATTACATGTATTGGTGTAGTGGTATAATTTGGAGGTACAGTAACTTTCCCTTTATAGAAATCTACAGGGTATTTGTAGCCATATTTCTGCTTCCTCACTTAGTTTCATCATTCCAGTGATAAAGTTTTAATCCACAACAGTCATTTGTGTTTTCATTAATTACTGAGAACATAGTAAAGTCCATTACCCAGTAAATAACAAACAACATATACTTTAAAATAGGACAGAACAAATGTATAAGTATGATGTGCAGTGTTAAACTAATGTTCAGCAATATGAAGGAAACAATGTCTTGCATTGTTTATTTCTTCCTTTGAAATTGTATACTCTAGCCAGGGTATTGAATTTAATCATGTTTTAGGTCAAATAGTAAATAAACTGTCATAAAACACAAGTAAAGTTGTATGTAAAGCGATACCAATGAACCAAATTTCAATATAAACTAGAGAGGTCTTCCTTAAAAGTAGGATTACCTGTAAATGATTTTGCTATATCTAAATTAGAAAACATGTGTAAGTAAGATTTGTCCTTTGTTGAGTACAACATAAGACTGCTGATTGTTGGAGAATCCCACCTCCACACCTGATACATACCGTATATATATATATATATCCGAGTTGTTTTCTATGTGATGTTATCACATACTATCTCCATCCACTTATGTTGTTGATGTTGATGCTGTGTTTAATGGGCTTCAATTACAGATGTCTGTAACTTAGGAAGTAAATTGTTGATGTGTGGACTTTAAAAAAAGCTGAAAGTTTTTATCTTCAATACAAGAAAACATTGTAAGATCAATACCTAGTGAAATGTAAAAGTGATGAAGTTATTTTCTCAATCCAATTATAAATGGTAAGGTATTTGACAAATTGAGTCTGCAGTCCTATTATCATTTTGTGTATCTGTTGTCAGTATGAGTTTCCTTAACAACCAGATATTGTAACTGCTTCCAGAATAAAGAGATGATGACTACTGCTGTACTATACATTATACCTGTCAATAAGCTCATGTCTGATAGTAAGCCCACTTACATCTAGAACACTTATAGAAATGCCAACAAACTACTATGCCGTTGTGGTGTAATAAGCCGAGTTGTGTTAATGGAGTCAGTTTGTAATAACTCCTTAGACTTATAACCAATGTGCTAAAACATATAATACGTGTGATCCATGATTGCTCAAAACTCTTGATACAGACCTTGTTAGATAACTTCACTTATTAATGGTTCCATGTCCTTGTGTTTAACGATGTGACTGTCCAGCTGCAAAGTTTAAATGTTATGTATGATGAAAGATATATGTTTGTTTTAAATTTTTTGTTTGTTGATAAATTCACCAGTCTAATTTTGATACAAGTATAATCTGATCAGGTTAATATAAAGTTAAAGTAATTAACAACATTCCATCCATTTTCTGTCTGTGATATATTGTCAGTGAGGTTCATCTCACCCTATAACATAGATCTGTAACATGTTTAAGACATGTATAACATAAGCATGTGACATTCCACAGACTTATGTATGTATGTATTTCAGCGTGTTCTTAAACTTATAATTTCATCCAGTGTGAAATCCAAGTTACTTGCATTAATAAATATTGTACACAGTTTTAAACATCTTAATCAATAAACATTTGAGTTACAGAGTCTGATCTCACTAAGATAAATTTGTTGTATCAATAAGATATCCTAATGTTTGTTACAATGTATATCCCTTTGTCACCTATATCCTTATAAAGCCTCACATTCTATGGCCTGCACATTTTGCCAGGATGTATCACATGGGTACAATAACAATAAAGTATATCGTTTACACAAATTATTTATAATTAATTGGGGTCTTGAATAATTTGAAGTCCTCCTATGTTATTTTTCACATCTTATTGACAATCAGCTAAATAAGGGAAATAACTCATTGATAGTAAAATTATCCAAAAAACATGCAGTGTGGAATATTTCTTTTCTGAAATGATATTTCCTTTATCTCTACAGATTTTTTAGACATATTCATAGTAATAATAAAATGCACACACAAGTATAAATGGACAAAGGTCTATTGTATCATAGTGATAATACTAAGTGGACAACATAATACACAAAACTGAACATCACTTTCACTTATTTGACTTGAATATAGCAAATAAAGTAATAAAAAAAATGTTTTCTTTTTTCTTCTTTACTGTGTTGCAAAAGTCTGTATGTGTGTTATAGTTTGTACAGCATGGTTTTGTTTCTGCTCATTCATGTGTGTGTCTACTTTGTACAGTTTGAGATGTTTCATTTGAATTGAATATGTTAGAGTTTTCAATGTTTGAAAAAAGCTGAATATGTTAAGAATGATTATTTATCTTTTCACCATGATTTGTTGTCAACAAAATAAACTGTTATGAAAAATCAATGTGTTCAGTTTTTTGTAATATTTGCCTTTCAAACATCATGCATAGATAGGTATTAGAAAATACACAAAACTTTTCTAGGGAGACCACATGGGACATCTCTTTGAAACTTTATATATAGATTATTCAAGACTTATTTTGCTCTCTGTATTTTGAGCATGATCAGATTATTATGTCTGACTGAATGACAGATTTTAATTTTGATAGAAGTGCTTTGAATTTTGTTGTAAATACTATTACATACTGCTCTTTAGTGTTAAATAATAATCTCACTTTAGAAGGACAATAGGAACAGTATGATATCAAAACGGCATAAACAAAGAAAGAAGATCACCAAGAGAAAAGAAAAGATGCATCTAACTGAGATCCATGGAGATCATTAGATAGCTGCTTAGATCCATCAGGAATGCCTGGATTAATTATGTAACAATTGCTATGAGAACAATGCACGGGACAATGACATGTTTACTGCAGTCATGTCCATTCAGCTCCTGCATACAAGGACAGTAAAATCACGTCCTAAACGTAGCAATATCACTGTATACTAGCAAATGATTTTTGGCAGCAAGCACTTCCTTCTCAATAATCAGGAGGTCCAAGGTACTGACATTGTGCTTGTAGCATGATGGGATAAGTAGGACTACCAACTTGACTCAAGTGAGTGACCTTGGCCCACTTTCAATACAAATATGTATAACCAGGTAATTATTTTACAATGCTGTCAGCAGGCATGAAATAAACTTGTTCAGTGAGAACTGGTTTGAAAGTGAGTGAGGTGCACTTGTGGTTATTTACTTTCATCTGTCCCTCCACACCTGGCTGGTACAGTGATCACTTCATTCTTCCCCTGGTAAGTACCATACAATGATCAGTTTCAAATTCAATCCTTTCTTTTATCACTTACACATTATAACAGTCATAATATAACTGGTAATCTGTCTGCTATATTGCAGGCTCCAATTTACTATATTCATCAAATGAATTAAAGTACAGAGAAACAGAACTTGGCCTTGGTTGTTCTTTTCTAACAATGAAGGTTCAAAATGGTGTCTATGTTACGGATCAGATGAAAGTGAATGACCACACATAATGTTAAATTATGGTATATTGTGGCTAGTACTTTTCCAAGGTTACATGTGTTTGAAAATCTTTGTTCTTTTCAATAAGTAAGAGGTTCAGGGTATTTGTATAAAGAAGTACCAAACCCTGATCAAGAGTAATCAAGTTTGGTAGAATGACCTTGACCCACTTTCAAGGTTACAGGGGTCAGATGTATGAACATATTTATAAACAATATATGCTTAACAACCAAGTGGCCCAGAGTAATGAAATTGGACCTGTAGTTTGCTAAGATTGACATACTAATGAGATTGTTGAAGTGAATGACCTTGATGCACTTCCAAGGCCACATGCATCAAATGTGTTAAAATCTTCAGATGATTTTATTTTAGATGAGAAAGTTCCCATCAGTTTCATTATTTCCTTTGCAATGAATTTACTGTAATGAAGGTTAAAAATGTATGGTATCAATATTACCGTGAAAGTTACCTTCAAATGTCTTATTATACTAAGCAGGTCCATTGGACCTCTTGTTATGATCTACAAGAGTAAGCCCATAGCACTGAATATACATCAGCTCTGCAGATGAAATGAAAACTAGTCTAAAATACATATTTACAAATAAATGTAGTCATTTATCAAATCCTCACCCCCATGCATTAAAAAATGAAACCTCTTTTAAATCCAGATTTCATTTAACTTAAGGCCAAGAAAATTGTTTCCTTTTACTGTACTTATACAAGCAGAACAAGGCATTTCATAATTATTTAAATATAATTGAATTCTTACTGAAAACTAACGTGCAAAAGTAAATTAAATCAATTGCTGGTATTCAGCTTTGTACTGTTATATGTAACTTAGAAATGGAAAGTAATTTTTGTCTGTATACACAAATTAACGTAATTTTACACCAATTCCTATATAGATTGTCTCCTGAATTTTGTTTAGAGTTTGAGGGTTTAATTTATTCAATGATATTGATTACTTGTAGACATTAGATCTTCTAGTCATACATATACATTGTATGTACATTTACCTGTACATGTACAGGATCGAGTGTTTCAGTTTCTCTTCAGTATATGATAAACTTAAGTACCATGCTGATTTTGTGAGTAGTACAATTATTGTGAAATGCTGAAAAATTCTTTCTCACACTTTTTCCATCATTTCACTTTCCGAAAGTTGACAGGTACAATTGTAATAATTTGAATATCAATTTTAATATCTATTTTTCCTCAGGTGATCTTTATTTCGAATTATAAATTCCTCCTGAGAAATTAGTTTACATAGCTTACATCTTAAACATATTTTTACATGGGAAGATTAATTCATTGAATATATCACTTTTTATTAAAAGAAAAAATATCGTAAATTTAGTCAATATGCCTTTTCTACAGATTACATCTTTGCGGACTTGACAAGTCTATACCGGAAGTAAATGTCAGGTGCGCACTGGAAAATTGTAAATATGGCGGAACCTGTAACTCCCAAGAAGCCTCCGGACTGGAAACAACTGTCGGAGACGGTTCAAGACGCCAATACTTTGCGTCAGGAGTCTATGAATGCCCACCACGATCATCTTATCACAGAAATAGAGACGTCCGATGGACCACTGGGGACTACGCTTAGGTAGGAAATGTTTTGTCCTTACTGGAGGGGGTGGCATCCTGCATCCCCATCCGTCTGTCAACACCCCACATCAGACGTTGGCCGAAATAGACTACTGACCACAGTCCGTTGTCTAAATCATCATTCGTTTTCATCGTGGGATTTCCGTTCTGTCATTTTGTCTTATTTTTGTATAAACATCTGTCTGTTTATCTGACGTCATCAAAATATGTAGCAGACGATTTGTCTGTCAATCTGCTGTCCCGGTAGCCTATTTATCATTTTTACTAACCAACTGAGTATTGTGTGCATATACTTTGTGCAACCATTTTCATTAATTCACTCGTGTGATATATTCCACAGGCTTTTATAATCATATAGTTTTCATCTGACTAAATACTCTGCTGTATATATTTTGTAAGGATGTGCCAGGGGTGGGAGGTGTTCAAAACCCATTTCAAATATATATATGCCAGTCAGGGAAAAGCCCAACTGGTTACTAAATAGTGAATAAATAAAAAATCCTTGTTTTAGTACATAGAAAATAAGTCTAAACGATAGAAAGTTTAGGTTTTGTTTGTTGCATGTGAGTTAAGACTGTATGATTAGAGTCAGGCTCAAATATCAGCAATGACCATCTGCAGTGTGTTATGTAATAGTCAGGTATTGGACTCATAGTTTTCCTTTGGGACTCATCAGAGTTTTGAGAACCTACTGTATCTTTTAGTAATGGGACTCATCACAAGTTTGATAAAGGTATTCTGTGCTTGCTTGAAACAAAATCCTACAAAAATTGCAGGGATGTAGAATGTACAAACAGAGCACTTGGTCTTTCCAAAAGCATCTTTCTGTCGGCCTTTTATAGAGGGCTTATATTTATTGGGCCAATAATGGGCCACATTGGATTCCCAATTAATATTATTTCATATTTAAGCTGAATTCCACAAGTTTTTTATTTACTCATGGACTCAAAATTTCCTTCCATTTCCGTTTTCTCTCCAAAATAAGCCAAAAATTCCCGTACCAGTGGCAAAAAGGCTGTTTTAATAAACGATTGAACTTTAAAAGTCAACAAGTGCATAACAACAAGAGTCATAAAGTGTCTTCAGGAAGTTTGTATTAAATCTGATTAAATACTCAGTATAATATGTGTTTGCTTTGAGACGGAGAGGAGGCAGGATATTTTTCATTACGCCTTCCTATTGTATATGTGCTTGGCTATTTGAACAGAATTTTCCATATCTATTTCTTAAGTATACTTAGTCTATGTCTTAAAGATTGTTTGACATCAATTGCAGAATTGATGATCATGTATAAAAGTTTTTGATTTTGTATGTCAAATTTCTGCTCCACACACACCCTTTTTTTTTAAATTCTTAAATATAGAAATATTGCAGGAATATAAAGACATGTAATTGTTGGTACTAATGAAGATATTTATCCTCAGGTATATGTTTATCAGTTGTTAATAAAATTGTCTGAAATATGATATAGCAGAAATAGGGGTTTTTGTTGTCAACAATTATTTGAATTAAAGCTTTAAGTGCTGAACATATTATACTAAACACTCCAAAAAACTTTACATGCAGCACTGTAAACTTGACATCAGGAAACATTCTTTTTCTTTGCGTGTGGTCAAAATATGGAACAATCTTCTGGAGTATATTGTATCTATTGTATTGGCACCAACAGTTAACTCTTTCAAAAATAGATTAGATGAACACTGGGCAAATCAAGAACTGGTATATAATTATAAAGCAGAAATTCTGTAGTTTCTGGATCTGATGTCTCAAATGACAATAATTATAAACATTATCATTGTATCACTGAGACCTGTATAGAGGATCGTAACGATCCTGCACTGGTAATAAACTAAACTAAACTAAACCAAACTAAACAAAGTATGATAATTGTTTATTTTCAAACATCTTAGAAATAATCTCTATGCTCGTGCTAGACAGGCTGTGCTAGACGCCTTTAAATGATGGACACCAAACTGTGTTTAGTCTGTCAGATATGCCAGAATGGCCATGAAGAAATGATGTCTAGTCTGGTACAAAAGGCCTAGCCACATTTGCACTTTCTGCAAAAAACATTTAATTATAATGAGGTGGTACTACAAAACACTACAAAACTCATTAGGCATCATATCCTGAATATGTAGATACAAAACCACTTGATATGTTGGTGTGTGTCGCTATGTTCCAGCTGTATCTGGTGTGCAATGTATAAATACACACTCAAAGCTTAAGTAGGTCATTTATAATCAGACCTATGTTTATATATCAGACCATGTCCCAACTGGCTGACAATTATAACTAAGATTATGTTACAGGCTCATATTGTTTTACAATTAGGAATGATAAAATCATGCCAATCATACCATGATCAATGACTTTCAACACAGAATAGTTGAAATACATGTGTACATGGTTGAAAAATATATATACATATCATTTTTTTTTTTTTTTTTACAAATTTATTGTTTTATGAAATAATTCTTTGTTACATACATACTTTTGTGGATCACATTCTTTTATGATTTGTTTGTCAAGAAAAAATATGAAAGTTATATTAATTTGGTGTTGTGGTGATGATTGCAGCAAAAATGATGCAAGCGTTTTGACATCACGAAGGTGTCTCCTTGAAATGCTCAAAGCTAAATGAAAATGTAGCTCAGCAACCACTTCATGTTGGGGAAATAATAACTTATTTATCAAAAATTGGTGTGACTCATAACATAATGGCTTTCCATTAAAGTGAAACTATATACATTTATATATCATTACAAAATCAAAATCATATACTTTTGTTGGGCTCAATGTTCGTGGTTTTACAAAAGTACACATTTTTTTAATTGGCTCTTGCTTACATAATCCACCAGTACTAAAATCCATGTAAATGTTTATCTGTTTACCATTTCATTTATATTATAGACAACAATGTTACATCTTAAAATTAAAAATGGTGCTTCAAAATCGCTGCCTCCATTTTGATATTGTCCTGCACATTTTGACTAAAAAACCCTTCAAAAGAAACTTTTTAGAGTTACGTGATGATAAGTATCCTGAAATTGTTATCATTTTCAATGAAGACTTAACGTCAAATGAAAACAAAACTTGAATATAGAAAAATCTGCATAATTTGCATGCCTAGTAAAATTGTGCAGATACTTTTTTTAAGGGTTGAAACTGCTGGAAACCTGCTTTTACTTACATACTTTTAACATCCAAATATTCAGTCTAAAACTATGTCCAGGAGCCATGAAATTAATCTTGAAATATTCAGTTAGAAACCCAGACTAACGATAAATAGTTCAAAACTTGGGAGGATTCTCTTCAAAATTTGTTTTTATCTAGATTACTGACTTTTAATTAACTAGATCTCCTTCTTAATTATACCGCTATTTACATTACAACTGAAAGAGAAAGAAAAAAAATCTGCCTGTTTTGTTCATATTTTGTTTTTTTGTACATCAGACATGTGCTGTACACTCGCCCATCCAAACCTAGATTTATTTATCTTGGGTTTATCAACACTTGTATAAGTTTTCTTTCATGTCTTGATGTCACATTGTGCACATGCACCAGTTGACACAAATGTAGACAGCAACTCTGTATTGCGAGCGATCTGTATACAGAGCTTGGAACATATTTTCAGAAGAGTTTGCATGTGGGTAAGACTTGTAGATATGCTTCATAAACTCCAATGAGACCAATGTAATAAATAATAAATCAATAGTCATACATCTCAATGCACTCTAATATGTCAGTGCTAATTTCTGCTAATACACAAGCAGATATGTGCTCATGGCGTCTTCATTGCATTATCCAATGTAAAGGAGAATGAAATGGAATCTGTCAAGTTCCATCAGTCAAATATGTAAGGTAATCATAATATATTTAACACATTTTTCATTGTCACAAACCAGCCAGTGTCTTTATACCAATTTCCTGTCTTACTAGTTTCTATGATGTTTCTAAACTCATTATCTTGATTTTGATGATGTTGACTCTGATAGTTTGCATTACTATATATAGTAATTATCTTATTATTGTTGCTCATAAATAAATCATCAAGTCCTTCCCATGTCAGTTTTGCATACCAGATAATCCCAATAATTAATGAATATTCAGTTTTCCCCTGAAGATATAGTTTTAAAATCCTTAAGCTACATAGTGTGTGTAGCCCCCTCTTTGGACCTTTAATTTCACATGAAAAACTGCACAGCATGGAGGTTTTTACAGTACATGCACATTTATACTGATCATTTCAAATTCTAGGTTGCTGGGCATGTTATTTATACATACAAAACATACAGGATTATTTTGAGTTTGAAATATGTTTTCTTCTATACATTTAGGTATTCATAGTTTTTACACAAAAAAAAGAAATACAGAAATGTCAGCATTAAATTTTGACGTGTTATAAAAGATGTACTAGTGTTTCCCAAAGTATTATTGCTGGTATATGTCAATGTTTGTATTCAGGATGAGTGTCATATTGTGGAATTAACATGATAATGCCAAGGTTGTGGAGCTCCACAGAAAGAACATGATAATGCCAAGGTTGTGGAGCTCCACAGAAAGAACATGATAATGCCAAGGTTGTGGAGCTCCACAGAAAGAACATGATAATGCCAAGGTTGTGGAACTCCACAGAAAGCCTATCAATAAAACCATCAATTTCCATTTCATAACAATATTTATTATTCAACAGCTTTATTGTTTATACCTACATCACACTATTAGATTTTGTTACCAAACTAATGAAGAAAAATGTTTTAGAAAGTTAGTTGACCTCTGAATTATTGATGACTATATGTCTGGGGCCTTGTGGTGACAGTGTGAAATTTTACACCAGATATATATATCTGCATCCTATTAGTCATGACCACTTGATGAACTGAATATAGTCACTGAAATCTGTCCTGATCATAACTTAAAGCAATGCAAGTAACAGCTCATTTTCGTCCAATGAAAGGTTTCCTCAGCACAGTTAAGATTTCCGATATGACTATAAAGGAAATGTAAGCATGAGCATTCAGTTAGGTAATTGTGTAAAGACTGTTTAACATTGATGTAAAAAGCAGTAAAACTGGAATTAGGGGATTCGTCACTTTGTCCATCTGAAGATGGCAGTTTATATGGTGCAATGCTGCTCACACACACCTTCTCATCCCATTTTAAGAACTGTAGTTCATATGATCTGTACAACCGGTATGTAACACTTTTTATCACTGTTTATATTTTTTTCTCAATGCTTTGATATTTGACTGTTATGGCTTATAAATATACTTTATAGATATAATAATTACTTATAACCATTCATGATATGAGGAAACTTTCTGTAGTGTTTACTTGGGGAAATTGATAGTCACACTGATTTAGAAAGTAATTTTGTTACAGAGATAGATACTACAGTAGGGATATTAGGGAAGGGATAGTTATACTGATTCACAATATATTTGCATTATATATATATATATATATATTTACAAATCTGTACATGAAGGGGATATCAGGGAATTTTACATTCACTTTAATAAACAAAAACCATTTAGGTAACAAAGATATATATATATATATAGGGTAATAGTATGGAATTTACAGTCACACTACTGATTTTTAAAGCATTCATGTTATAAAATGTTGTATATGAAAGAATTATCTGGGAAATGGACTGTCATAACTAGCAAAATGTTTAACTCTCAGAGATGTATATAAACGCAATGTCAGGGAGCTGACAGCCATACTACTGATCAGCAGCTAAAAGCTTTTATGATATAGAAATAAGAATGCAATATCAGGGAATCAAAAACCTGAATAATAGTAAATTGTTTATGTTACAGAGCTGTATATGAAGGTGATGAACTGGAGAAGTTTAAAAAGAGACTGGATGACCACATTAAGTCACATGACAAGGAAATCGAGAGGATGTGTAACTACCACTATCAGGGTTTCATTGACTCTATACGCGAGCTGCTTAAAGTTAGCATGGATGCTGCCCAGCTTAAGGTGATAACCTTAACTCAGCATATACTCTAAAATACAAGAGCATTGCTCAATCATAACCAAACATATATACAGTATAGTTTGGCTCTAAAAAAGTAAGGTATAGTGTAAGTAAGTAGTCCCACAGAAAGATGTGTATTTCATGCTAATTAAACATTATAACAGGACTTCTTATTTACAACCTGTAATTAACGAAAGTAAAAAAAAAAGTCCAAAGAAAAGGTACAATATATTTGTAGCATGTGTATCTGACGGTTCATGTTGTTTTTAATTGTAATAATTATTTCTTTGTTCACTTTTCTGATCACATCTACTCCTCTAACAGGATGAGATCGAGGCTGACAACCAAAGTCTCCAGGAATCCTGTTCGCCTCTCATGACTAAAGGGGAGCAACTTATTAAATGTCGCCGGATACAGCGTAACATAGCTTCTGCTGCTGAGAACCTCAATCTCTGCTTGCCTGGTAGGTATCTGACTCTTATCTGAAGAGTGAATGGAAGGTTTTATGGGTAATTAGGCAACCACTGTTCTATCAGATATTCCTAAATTGTTGAGGGGTTTACTTATTTTACTTTCCAATAGAAAGAGAATAGTCACCTGTAATTCCCATAGAGAATAGTCACCTGTAATTAAGTAGTATTCCCCATTACTTTCCCATAGAGAATAGTCACCTGTAATTAAGTGGTATTCCCCATTACTTTCCCATAGAGAATAGTCACCTGTAATTCCCATAGAGAATAGTCACCTGTAATTCCCATAGAGAATAGTCACCTGTAATTAAGTAGTATTCCCCATTACTTTCCCATAGAGAGAGAGAGTCACCTGTAATTAAGTGGGCTTTCCTATTTCTTTCCCACAGAGAGAGAATATGTTGGAGGAAAGGTAAATGTAATAAAACATTAATAAAATTACATATTTATTTACTTGTTTTTGTTCAGTGTTGGAAATGTACGGGAAACTACAGGACCAGATGAGAAGTAAAAGGTAAGTATAACAGTGAACACACTACTTTCTTTAGGATTGAGTAATGCTCTGTAATGGACAGAAATTACTCATTTATTATCTGAAACAGAATTTTCTCCTTGCACATGTCTAGATATATATATAAATCATATTGTAGAAAGTTTCATGATTTTGTATATACATTGTATAAGATTATCTGATAAAGGATGACGTGTTGTTACAGGTATTACCCAGCATTGAAGACTTTGGAACAACTGGAACACACCTACCTTCCTCGTGTAAATACACACTGGTTCTCCGAGACCATGAGTGATGCTATTCCAAAGTTGCGTGAGCGTATCAAAGAGGCTTCCATGTCTGATTTGAAGGACTTCCTAGAAAATATCCGGAAACACTCAGCTAAGATAGGAGAAGTCGCCATGAAACATGTAAGAACATTGCTGGTAGATTGGCAACATTTATTTTATGTTTGTGTTCACATTGAACCTGTTTAACTTAACATCAATCAGTCCAAATTTCCATATAATCAACATTTCTTTATATAAACTATGAAATTCATTTTAGCCGTATGAAAAATTCAACATTTTGTCAAAAGAATTACAGTGGGCTTATGGATTTTCAAAATTTCGATGTAGACTACAGGTAGTGCTGTATATTTTAAGTTGCCTACAGCTGTACTCCGACATTGGAGGAACTGTAGTTAGAAAGTCACAGAGAACAAACTTAGATAAAAGCTAATTAAGACAAACACACATTGTGATACAAAAAGATGTTACTTATTCAGGTTATTCTGCATACTTTATTTGCATGTTTCTTACACTGTAGCTAATTGTTTTTAAAAATTAACAATTACCATTATTTGTGAAATCATAGACAGAGCTGAATATATGTGTTTCAAAGTTAAAATGTGTGCGTGTGTCCAGTCCTGAATTTCATAAATAAGTTGCTTGAACAAATGTAAAGATTAAAGGTCTCAGTAATCCAATGTAATTTCCTTTTTAATAACCATTTATACTGTTTCAGATGGTAGTTAATATAGTAGGATCTTACCTATGCTTTGATTTGATGAGTGATTCATAAAACAAATTTAAAAAGATTAATTTTTTATCAAGTGGTGACAAGCAAAATGAAAAAAGGTGACATTTTTCATAAGTCACATATCAAATCGAAACAAATTGAGGATTCTTTTTATCACATGATCAATTAATCAGGCAAATTTCCTAGAAATGGATATTTCCATGTCAAACTTGAAAGTAATTTTTGGTGCAATATCAATGGTCTTCATTGTTATATGGCAAGATGATAGATGGGTGTGACATCATTTCATTATTTTAACACCTCACAACAAAACAATCGTGCTTTTGGCGGAGACAGGGCCAACATCATTTAGGAAGAAAAAAGAAAATCAACATTATGTATGCATGACAGAGGCTCACAATGTCTAGTTAGCCTTCATATCCAGTTTCATATGATTTAAAGAGTGAAATCTGTCCTATTTCCATCAAAAATTCTCTGAGGCAGCTTACTGACATAATTTCTTGATATTTTGTGAGTCCTTGTTTAGCAAAGTTGCATTGGTTCCAATGTCTTGTACAATGTATCATTGTTTCGCTGTTTGCTAATATGTCTATAAAGTAAACAAAAGGAAGGTAGACAACTCCATGAGAATATGATGTAAGTTCACCATGGAGGCACACCCACCAGGGAAGCCCTTATAATACACCAAGAAATATCTTAACATGTTTGAAGGTTGTAAACTTATATATCTTGAAACATTAATTAATCAATATGACATCATTGGTATAATTTCGTTTTTTATCTGTATATAAAGCCTGGCATGTTGATATCGATGGGGCTTCATGTTGTACAATGTAACAATCTACCTGTAACTACTATTGTTAAAGACACCTATAACACAATGTACAAATCATAATTATTTATTTACTTCTTTCCATTGTATACTGTAAATAGGAATATTTGGCTCTGTTTTATTTTCACTCTCAGCTTTAAGCTAAAGTAAACACAGGGAAGAAAATATTTCGAAGTCTTTCACAAAATTAGTATTGACTCATTATGTTTGTTTGGATTTTGTATAGATTTTCTAAGCTGAAGAATTAGTCAAAATTTGTCTCTCAGTACTGACTTAATTAAGCACATCTAAAATAGTTTTTTGAAGTGATTATGAATTTGTCATACTTACCAAAATTTGGAAATCTTATAAGAAAGCTTTGTGTGAGAACTGTTGGCTCACTGAAGTTCCAGGGTATATTTACTAACAGTGGTCACTGACAAAGAGCATGATTAGCCTTAGTCATTTACATCTTACTTGTTACAAGGACCTCAATGTTAAACCCATACTTACTTTGTTTTATTACATGCTCATGTTTTGAGAATATATATTAGGAAGAGTGAAAATAAGACATAATGAAAGCTTTTCTAATTAATTCAATATTTACATTGCAAATATTTACGTTTCTAAGTCAAGTCAAAGATATGCAAATATATTTCCATGACAACAGGAGAAACAGAACACATTCACGGGAATGGAGGACAACACAATGTTGCGAAGAATCAAGGTCCTGTTTATGTTTTTCTCCCCAGGAGCTTGTTTGTTCACTGATTGCTTGCCATTATGTGACTCAGCATTTCTCTCAGAGGAATGAAATGATGTCAAAGGACTGTTGTTCTGTATATCTTTTTCAACTGATTGGTCCAGAATGGTCACATAATTTCAAGCATCCCATGTCATCATCATAATGCATTACAGCTGCACTGTGCATGCTAATTTTGAAATGCTATGCACCATCTTCCTTTTGAATTTGTCCTTTGTTTCTTTCCTTGTCCTTTTGAATGTTACTTTTTTCAACAAAACTAAATCTGAATGTGATACTCTTTAATAATATTGACGTGTCACTCGTGTACAGTATATTTTGTAAACTTTATAAAAAATATGGCATTTTGATTTGTAGCTAAACGTCCATGTTATAGAATGTGTTGATCAATAATCTATACCTACAAGAATTAATTACAATTCCTTGAAAGTTTGTAAAATTATTAGGTGACCTGAGACATTCCTGGATAAACAGGAACCAAAATAGTGAACTATAAGGTCCCCCATTCCTCAGGGAGCTGAGGGGTGGGGCCAAAAGGGGTCAAATCAACTCCAATTTTAAAAATCCTCTTCTCAGCACCCAGATATGGTAGAAACAAATGTTCTTCATGGATAGAAGCAGCTTAAGGTTCTTTACCACTGTTGTGAATATCATGACCCCAGGGTCTTACATTTCCCTGTGGGGAGGTAGAAGTTTACTATAGTTTTAATTGGAAAATTGAATGTTTGAACATAAGGTTGTTAATTTTCCAGTGGCATTAACATTGTGAGAATTATGAGTATAGGATGACAGTTTTGATTGTATGCATGTTCTGACACTGGCTCATCCCCAAAGGCTTAAAAGATACCAATGGAGACTAATGTCATTAAGGTTTCTTTTTCATGGTACTTGGAAGCTACTTACCCTATAACCTTTGTACTCAATATTGCTTACCTCAAGTGACTGCCAAGGTCGCTAGGCCTCTTGTGGAAATTGTAACAAGATGTATGGTTCCTTTGAAGTGAACCATCCTCTTGTTAATTACAAACCCTAGTTATCTCCCTTGATCTGTCTACCTGTGCCCCAACCTGATAACCTTAAATGTGTTTGTCTGATCTAGCATTTTGTATCCAAACTGTTTTGTACATAGGCATTATATTCTGAAGCAGTCTTAACAATCCCTTCAACCATAGCCCACCACAACACACCACACCACACCACACCAAGTTCCCAAGGCCTTTGTCAATGTCATTAGTAAATGAGCTAGTCTGCATTTTGATACAAAATAAAATGTGTAATATTGCAGATTTTCAGGAACACATTTTTCAGATGGATTGAAATGTCAATTCAATGAATGATCATTCTGTGCATGCCAATATCTCTCTGATAATGTACCTTAATAACACTACTAATTCAAAATAAAACAACTAATTTCATGTAATATTTGAAATGTTATTTTCTTTTTTCACCAATTAAGATAAGTGGACAATTGTAATAAGAATGTTAACAATTTCTTTTGTATTATTGTGATGCTGATATTAGTAAATGGAAATTAATGTGGTGCCAGTAACATAATGAAGTGTTAATTTTTAATTGATGGACAGGTTTGTTAATTTCTGTGATAACAAACATCAAATGCTTATATGTACAGTATAGTACACAATACACAAACCTATGACTTCTCATGTGATTGATAAAACAACTTTTTCCTTTTTTCATATTATGTTTTGTAATAGGTCTGTTTGGTAAAACTGTTATATAAAGGTGTGTTCCTTGGTTTACTTGCAGGCTGCAGAGCAGAACAACATGGATCCATCTATTGTAGCTGTGAGTAAAAAGAAGGAGAGAAAGCGGGCCCCTCCCCCTCCGAACCCTTTCACAGGTGAAGTCGACCATGAACCAGAACCTGTTGCAGACGACACACCAGAAATGAATGAGGAGGAAATGGGGGTTTGTAGTCTAATACTAAAGATAGATTATAAATATTACACAATTAGGAAATAACCATGATTGTATTTATGTTCTAAATTCAAACTATAGTTGATGCCGATCTTAAAATCACTTTAGTCGAAATTCTGTTCGAGTCAAAATAATTTCCAAGTCCCAATTTTTTCCTTCTATATCTTTATAATTCTAGTTTGGATTACTCAGATTTCACTGAATTAAAATTTCGTTTGAGACGAAGTGATTTTTCAGTCCCTTCAATTGTAAAGCAAGGGAAAAGTAATTTGTTGTCTCAAAATTCATTTTTGTCAAAATATTGGCATGTTATCTAACAAAATCGGTCAATACATACACAAAGTACAAAAATCAGCTGTGTGTAACACATGGCTAATTACATGGTATTGGTTCATCATACACACTGAAAGTATTTTTCATTAATAGAATCTGCATCTGTGAGTGATTTGTTAAATTTAGCGCTTGTATAATGTTTTCAAGAACAGAAAAAAACTTTCTAGTGTCGTGTTTTCTATAAGTTTGATTATTCATATTGAAGTCATATTAATATATGTAGCTTCATACATTGTTTCTAGTATTGTATCAAAAGCGAATCTTATTTTTGTTTTACTCTCTTACCGTAAACTATATGATTTATATGTGCTTTGTCAGTAAGGGTAGTGTACACATGTGCAGGACGGAATGAAGTCAGTTGTTTTTGTTTTGTTGTTTGGATGAAAAATCAATATAAAGAGAAAGTAGAAATTTGTCTGTTTCTTTTTATTTACTACCATTCCAAGTTACAGATTAAATTACGCTGTTTGTACCATGGTTTACGATGTTATCATAGCCCATACTTAGTTCAATTGTGATCAATGTCAGGAAACTTATATCTACCTTATTTGGACACTTTGTTCGATTCAAATTTCTGATAAGTCAAAATATTTTCCATGGGTCTCTTGAATTTGAAGATCACAAGTTTTGACTGTAATTAAAACAATTTTGTATGGTTCATGCTACAGTCTAGATTGACCAACCCTGAAGCCAGAGAATTTTACAGGTTTAAAGACAGAACTTATGGAAAATAAAAGAATTGTGATTTTTCACAAATTCAATTAATGGTTAAAACAAAATTCTGATTATTCTGTATCCAGTTTATATGAAGTGAAAGTAGTATTGTTATGAAAGTAGTACCCTCGCATGTCTAGAAAATTTTTATACATGAATGTTTCACTGCAAATTACAGCTACATATATACTCTTGGAAAACAAGTAAGGCAGACATTTCCTTACTTTAATCAGATAGCATTACTTTATTATTGAGGACAAATCAGGCATTATATTAAGTATTGTCATACATTTTGTATCTGAACAGGAGTTAAGCGCCCAAGATCTGATAGACTTCTCTCCAGTGTACCGATGTCTTCATATATACACTGTACTGGTAAGCTGGTTTTTTTCTCTCCAGATATCTGTCATTGTTCATAAAAGTTTATGTCCTAGCAATTAAGACAGTGATTTAATAAGAAATGTCAATGTTAAAATTGGGTCCTTTATAGAATTTTTTAGAATTACATTTCTGTGAATATTTATATACTTCCCATGAGGATATTTTCTTCTGACATACGTAACTTTCTTTTTACCATGTAAATAACAGATTCTGAAATCTTAAATGCTTGCCAGGTTTGTGTAACATTGTGTGTTAGAGAAGCATCTGGACTGTTTCTCATTTGTTGATCTGTGTTTAAGAATCATGACAATTATTGCCATTTTTCATTCATTCAGTAAATCTGAATTTTCTTTTTGTTGACAATGTTTAAAATGCTGATAATCTTATTAAACTTTTTCAGGGTGACCGTGAGAAATTTGAGACATATTACAGAAAACAGCGGCGGAAACAAGCAAGGTTGTCGCTACAAGCTGCCTCTAACATGGTAAGATGTTCTTATACTGTTTTCATCAACATGGCTACAAATCATCACATCAGTTATTGTGTAACATGACTTTAATTAGCTATATGGTACCCAAATGTCATGCCTAAAGAGTGTTTCATTCAGAAGTCATTATCATACATGAAGTAAGAGTTTAAATGAGGAAAGTATTACATTTAGGTCTGATTATAACACATATTCTGGCTCTATCAATCATACTGAAATTGATTTTAAAAAAGAAGTTTGTTATTTGAAGTAAAAAAAATTCATTGGTATTTTTATTTTGATATTCTTTGAAAATGTCAAACAGATCAAACTCCCAATTTTTTATATAACCTGGATTTTTCCCACAAGGCTCTTGACTGATTATTCAGACGGAATTACCCTCTCATTTTTGATATTGACAAACATTAAAGGATAAATGAAGAAGCCTGTTTTTATCATCTCCCTTCATCTTTAGCATCATGTGTTTGTGTAACATTTTCCTTCTTTTTTCTGTTGCAGCATGAAGCTATTGACAACTATAAGAGATATTTCCATGATATTGTAGGGTAAGTGAGAACAACAATTAGAAATATAATGTATGTATTAATGTGATTTAAGTCCCAACTTTTGTAGGAGGGTTTATTTCTGGGTGGGAAGCATGATACAGATATTGAATCACATGATATTCTATAGGGAAACGCACATCTCTCCCAGAGTGCATTGTGGTACCCCAATAAAACTTCTGTAATTGGCTCACACCATTTTAAGAATCTTGCAAAAAATATTTGTGTCTAGTAAGAAAGTATTTCATTATTTTCCTGTTTTGTTAAATGTATTACTTTTTTGAGATATTCGTTTATTTGGAAAATGATCGCTTTAGTTTATATAGTTGTAAACATTATGGATTACTTTAACTTTGAGTAAACAGTCACCAAACATCGTGTTTACATTTTGTCACCAACCATCGTGTTTACATTTTGTCACCAACCATCGTGTTTACATTTTGTCACCAACCATCGTGTTTACATTTTGTCACCAACCATCGTGTTTACATTTTGTCACCAACCATCGTGTTTACATTTTGTCACCAACCATCGTGTTTACATTTTGTCACCAACCATCGTGTTTACATTTTGTCACCAACCATCGTGTTTACATTTTGTCACCAACCGTCGTGTTAACATTTTGTCACCAACCATCGTGTTTACATTTTGTCACCAACCATCGTGTTTACATTTTGTCACCAACCATCGTGTTTACATTTTGTCACCAACCATCATGTTTACATTTTGTCACCAACCATCGTGTTTACATTTTGTCACCAACCATCGTGTTTACATTTTGTCACCAACCATCGTGTTTACATTTTGTCACCAACCATCGTGTTTACATTTTGTCACCAACCATCGTGTTTACATTTTGTCACCAACCATCGTGTTTACATTTTGTCACCAACCATCGTGTTTACATTTTGTCACCAACCATCGTGTTTACATTTTGTCACCAACCATCGTGTTTACATTTTGTCACCAACCATCGTGTTTACATTTTGTCACCAACCATCGTGTTTACATTTTGTCACCAACCATCGTGTTTACATTTTGTCACCAACCATCGTGTTTACATTTTGTCACCAACCATCGTGTTTACATTTTGTCACCAACCATCGTGTTTACATTTTGTCACCAACCGTCATGTTAACATTTTGTCACCAACCATCGTGTTTACATTTTGTCACCAACCATCGTGTTTACATTTTGTCACCAACCATCGTGTTTACATTTTGTCACCAACCATCGTGTTTACATTTTGTCACCAACCATCGTGTGTACATTTTGTCACCAACCATTGTGTTTACATTTTGTCACCTACATTTTGTCACCAACCATCGTGTTTACATTTTGTCACCAACCATCGTGTTTACATTTTGTCACCAACCATCGTGTTTACATTTTGTCACCAGCCATCGTGTTTACATTTTATCACCAGCCATCATGTTTACATTTTGTCACCAGCCATCGTGTTTACATTTTGTCACCAGCCATCGTGTTAAAATTTTGTCACCAACCATCGTGTTTACATTTTGTCACCAACCATCGTGTTTACATTTTGTCACCAGCCATCGTGTTAAAATTTTGTCACCAACCATCGTGTTTACATTTTGTCACCAACCATCGTGTTTACATTTTGTCACCAACCATCGTGTTTACATTTTGTCACCAGCCATCGTGTTAAAATTTTGTCACCAGCCATCGTGTTAAAATTTTGTCACCAGCCATCCTGTTTACATTTTGTCACCAACCATCGTGTTAACATTTTGTCACCAACCATCGTGTTTACATTTTGTCACCAGCCATCGTGTTAACATTTTGTCACCAACCATAGTGTTTACATTTTGTTTACTCAGGATACATGTTGATATATTGTGATGTCAGTGATAACTGATTGCTATTTGGCTACTATGCAGGCTCAAAACTTCTCAAAAATGTAAATAATGCTTATTTATGCTGATAGGTGGCATGTAAAACAGTCTACAGCTGTGTCCTTCGTTCATGATGTCAGGGATACTGCCATAGTTTTACACAATATTAAACTTTGACCCTGACTGTGAGGTCAATTATTGGTAGTCCATGAGCCGTTTACAGAGGTGTATTATGACTGTTAAGGAACGACAACACTGTTAAGGAACGACAACTCTAATAAAGATTGGGGAAACTCATGTACAGATTACCAGCACTTTCCTGCCCTGTTTAATTTGTTTTAATAGTCAATGGCAGTGATCTGATATCATGATAAGGACCATATCAAATGAGCAAGTGTACCATTTAATGAACAATATTTCCACAGGTTTTTTGTAGTAGAAGACCACATTTTAAGTACAACCCAGGGGCTGGTCAATCGTGCCTATATGGATGAGCTATGGGAGATGGCAGTATCCAAACTGGCATCATCTTTAAGAACAAGCTCTGTAAGTTTTTTATTGTCTTTTTATCTGTGGTAAATGGTAAATATTTCAGGACAAGGTCTGTCCTCAGTCATTTGAGATTTCTAGGTTTATTTTATCGGGAAAATTATTGTCTTGTTGTATTTGCAGGCTTTTTGCAAGGATGCCAATATGATGCTGGAGATAAAGAAATTGATTGTACTGTTTTGTCATACACTGAGAGTAAGTACTTATAGTGTTCCAGACACGGAAGGTACCAACAAAAGTTAATATTATCTTCTATAAGAATAAATCTTTTATTAGTTTAACTGAATTGTAGAAATGAGCATGAATAAAATAAACATGATCTGTTGAAAAGGAAACTGCTAGTTTGGTTTTTCTCCTAGTGCTTTCAAATGGATTTATATATTAATATTTGAAAAAAAAATATGATCAGGGTAAAGAATATTACAAAGCACAAAACTGTAACTATGACAACATTTTGACTCGGATAAAAAAGATATGATAAAATCTGTTTCTATGTATGACCTTGATTTTTGATCTTTCAGGGCTATGGTTTTAGTGTTGGACATCTACTGGAACTTCTCTTAGAATTAAGGTAAACAGTTTGTCCTGAAGTATCTTAGAACTTTGGTAAATACTTCGTACTGAAGTATCTCAAAGAATTAAGATAAACATTTTGTTTTGGAGATGTGTCCTGTTTGAAATTCTTTAGGCTTTTTTAGTTCAATATCCCACAGAAATTTATTTAGATCACATGTAGATTGTAACCAACTCTCTTCTGGTACTGAAATTTAGAAGTTAGATGGTTATGTTCATTAAAAGTACAGAAAACTGTGAAATCTTTTTTATCCCATCTGACCTGAATTTTATACTGGTAAATACATTTAGCACTTTGATATCTACAGGGACCAGTACAGTGATATTCTGACAAGACAATGGGTGGAAGTGTTCAATGAGATTTTTGATGATGATAATTACACACCAATCTATGTGGAGAGTGATGAAGAGTACTTGGCTGTGGTCACACAGTTCCCATTTCAGGACGATGATCTTCAGCGGGTAAGTCATATCCCAGACCATTTAAAGTTAGCTGTTTAGCCTCTGGTAATTATACAATACAAGCCCAGCCTTATATGCTTTACGTAATAAGTACTAACCTCCATGTATAATCAAACAATGACAAACCCATCACTAGGATATTCAGAAAAGTAAAAATAATTTCTCTAAATATACCTGATCTGAAAGTTCTACCTTATGAAGATTGAGAGATCTATTGTTAATAAAAAGTATGATTGCAGTCTTTTTCATAAAACACATCTGATGCAAATTGACCAAACAATGACTCTTCTTCAGGAAATAATAGCACATTTATCAGCAACAGAGAGATTTATAGATTTAGGAAATGTCTGAAACACTCTGAACTGGCCTTTATGTCTGTTTCTTTAGTGTAACTGAGGAGTAAATGATATACCTGAATGTAACATATAAATTGTGTTAGTGTAACATACAAATTGTGTTAGTGTAACATACAAATTGTGTTAGTGTAACATACAAATTGTGTTAGTGTAACATACAAATTGTGTTAGTGTAACATACAAATTGTGTTAGTGTAACATATATATTGTGTTAGTGTAACATACAAATTGTGTTAGTGTAACATACAAATTGTGTTAGTGTAACATATATATTATATTAGTGTAACAAATATATAGTATTAGTGTTACATGCAAATTGTATTAGTGTAATATATAAATCATATTAGTGTAAAATATAAATCGTACAAGTGTAACATATCGATAGTAGTAGTGTAACATATAAATTGTATAAGCGTAACATATCGATAATATTAGTGTAACATATAAATCGTATAAGTGCACTTTCATTACTTTGTTGACAGAGTCCATTTCCGAAGAGGTTTCCATTTTCTGAGTTTGTGCCAAATATCTATAACCAAGTAAAGGCATACATCAACGCCTGTTTGAAGTTCTCTGCTGATCTGCACCTCAGGTAATGCTTCCATCAATCTTTGTAATAAATATGATGATCGTTGTTGTGGTGGTAATTATTAAGCAGGAGGATGTAATATCTAAAGATTGATTGCCCAAGAAAGCTAATTTTAAGATATTTCACAGGTGCCCTGTTGCAATCACCTTTTGTCTGGTGTTGTATCCATCCTTCCATACACAATGCACTTATTGAGGAAGGCTGACTCCAATGGGCTGAATGGCAAGGCCAAAAGAGGTCAAATTAATTTAAATTTCAAAAGGTTCTGTCAGGTCCCCAGATATGATAGAATCAAATACTTTTCATAGATTAAAGGGTGCTGGCTTTCAGGAGCTTTACTGAAATTATAAAATTTATGACCCTTGGGAAGGGATAAATTTTACTCAATTTTTTATTGGAAAATGACATTACTGAGTATAATTTGTTAAATTTCCATTGAAAATCATTCAAACTTAGGTACAATTATTAACATAGGATGGCAGTGAATATTATGCACCATTTGGTTTTGTAGTTGAAATTATGTTACTTTCTTAACAAAATGATTTCTTACAGTATGATGTTAAAACAAGAAAAATACAACCTTTCATTATAGAATTCACATGATCCTTGAGCCTTTTGTTTCCAGATGCATGTATTTCTATGGACAGGAATTATGTAAGAATATATTACATAGTTTGTTCTTGGATTTAAACATCAGGTGACTAGACAATTACTTTGAAGTCCATTTTTTTTTCTTTTTTCTTTTTTATGTAGTCACACAGAGATTGATGATATGATTAGAAAGTCGACAAACCTACTGCTGACGAGAACACTCGGGAGCTGTTTGTCATCACTTATCAAGCGACCACGACTCTCTCTCCTACAGGTAAGTACTACTGAGTTATTCAAGATCCCACATACAGGTAAGGAGGAAGATTTTAGACCAGTAGTCCTACCATTCTTAAGATGGTGTCACAGATATATTGCTGGTGTCTTTTTATATGCAGAGTAGTGTGTTAACACACACAATTCATGTCAGGAGACTACAACAAAATAATGTGGAAGTGTTAGATTGGTCATCAAAATCACATGTTAAATGATATAGAATTCGTTTCAAATTCAGCTGTCAAACATACTGAAGCATTCATGTATCTCTCCTCCAGTTATGTTGACCATATATAATACTAATGTCGTTACATTCAGAATCAGCCCGAACCCATTTCATGTCAAATAGAACAAATAGAACAAAGTTAATGTGATGTTTGCAACTAACAAAGATGTATGATTTATAACAAGTGTTTTAGTAATTTAATTATAAATGGTTGATAAATGTTAAGAACTTTTCCAGCAAAACATCAAGTCTACTCCAGGACTGTAGGTTTTGTTAAGGGGTATTCCAGTAAAACATTTAGTCCACTCCAGGACTGCAGGTTTTGTTAAGGGGTATTCCAGTAAAACATTTAGTCTACTCCAGGACTGCAGGTTTTGTTAAGGGGTATTCCAGTAAAACATTTAGTCCACTCAAGGACTGTAGGTTTTGTTAAGGGGTATTCCAGTAAAACATCTAGTCCACTCCAGGACTGCAGGTTTTGTTAAGGGGTATTTCAGTAAAACATCTAGTCCACGCCAGGACTGCAGGTTTTGTTAAGGGGTATTCCAGTAAAACATCTAGTCCACTCCAGGACTGCAGGTTTTGTTAAGGGGTATTTCAGTAAAACATCTAGTCCACGCCAGGACTGCAGGTTTTGTTAAGGGGTATTTCAGTAAAACATCTAGTCCACGCCAGGACTGCAGGTTTTGTTAAGGGGTATTCCAGTAAAACATTTAGTCCACGCCAGGACTGCAGGTTTTGTTAAGGAGTACCACCACACAATTTTATCAATGATCACAAAATTTTATCAATGATTTGCTTTAAGGAATAAGCAGGCAACAGAATCTTGGATAGAAGTGATTTTTTCTGGAGTCCAGGGATGGATGCTTTACTGGAATAGCCCTTAAAATAAACAAAAACATGTATTAATCTCAATATCAGGTACGCATAGTGTCAATATATTATTACATTATTGTACAGCTATTTACATTAAAAACTGTTTTTTGCTATTTCAGTTGATTCAGATTGCTATCAACATGAACTATCTTGAGAAGTCTTGTGGATATCTGGAGGAGTATATTTCCAGTATAACTGGGTAAGTTATAGACAGATGATACAAGTTGTACAACTACCTAGAGGTGTATATTTCCAGTATAACAGGGGGGTAAGTTATAGAATTAGCATTACATACTACAAATTATAGATAGTTCACAGTATTATGTTTTTGTTATCTTTTAAAAGCAGGTAGCATTATCAAGAATTTGGAACTATTTAATGTACTGTTGTGAGCACGGTGCACAGGACACCAGTTAGGATGGAGTGCCGCTAAATACCGAAAGGCTTAGACCAGAGTCAGCCATTGATAAATGTTGCTGCATTATGCTTAGTCCATGGCTGACAGTGTCAGCAGGAACATGGCGGTTTTATATCGCTTCATCAACGTCCTTGTAGACAATACTGGCGTGTCTTTATTGCCTAGGTGTTCCCTACATTGTGGACGAATTGTACTATTAGCAGTGCACATAGTTTATGTCGACTTGTTCTGAAGGCTTTGTGCGTGGAGGCACCCTTCATTGTTCTATATAGTTATCATACTAGAGAACAGACATATTTTCATGCTCTCTGTCTGATAGCATTCTAAACCTTGCAGACATGTCTTTATCTTGCATTTCTACAACAGTACTTTGATTGTTTTTTTAAAAATAGTGAATAATCATCGGTATTGATTTCTGGAATTTTTACATTTCAGTGCCCAGAATGACAGTATACACATGGCGAGACTACACGGAACATCAATGTTTAAGGTATAATAATATATAAAACATAAGATTCTGCTGATTCACAAATTTTCTGTTCACTTCTTTTTGGAAGTACGATATGTATCCAAAAAGCTCGTGCTTAAGCCCACTCAGACCTTACTGAGAAGGACCACTCAGACCTTACTGAGAAGGACCTCTCAGACCTTACTGAGAAGGACCACTCAGACCTTACTGAGAAGGACCACTCAGACCTTACTGAGAAGGACTTGAATTGTTTTTTATTTTCTATAATAAACCAGCGTCTGAATGTTGAGTGATGGTTTATGTGCTGCCCCATGGGCTTATTACAGTATTGATATCTTATAAAATTTGAAGAAATTTAACTCTTATATCTATAGATTTTAACTTTTTCCTATAAATGTGAAGAAAGCAATATGTGTAGTCATTTCTGTACCCAGTACTGAGGAGTTTTTACTGCTTTAGGATGCTCGTAGCGATGCAGAGGAGCATATCTACAAACAATTGAACCTGAAGATTGATGAATTTTTAGAACTGGGTAAGATGTCAATTTTAACAGATAAACTGTGATGTTTGCGAAGCTTGAAAACAAATATAATAGTCATTATTGCAATACACATTCTTGGCCATTGAATTTGATAGTGATAATAGGTTTGGATCTTAACTTGAAATCAAACAAAAAATGATGACTGCTGTATCAGTTGATCTTTAGATGTTATCAACATTTAATATTGCTAATGTGAATTACTAGTTGTTTACATGCAAATAAGAATTATCAAGAAGTTTTATTTTCTGATTGATCTTGAAGTTAAAAAGAAATGATTGCCATTAAAGTAAGTGTTTATACTGTAATGGTAGCATTGTAATTTTCATTATCAAGAACTCTGAACCCTGAAACCAACTTGATTTTCTTTCAGCCAACTATGATTGGATGGTGACAGAGGCCAAAGGTCATGCCAGCGGCTATGTTGCAGACTTGGTGGCATTCTTACAGAGTACCTTTATGTCCTTTACCAATCTTCCGGTAAGTTTGACCAATCTTGTAGTACCTTTCCAAACAAGTTCAGGTCATTCTTTATTTGGTAAGTTTGGCTCAGTCTTCAAGAAAGGTTTAGCAAATTTTTTTTTATCGAGATCAGTCAGTCTTCTGGTAAGACCATGACAATCTGTTGGTAAGTTTGGGCTAATCTTCCAAAGAAATCTGGTCAGTATTCTAGAAAGGTTTGGGCAACCTACTTGTAAATATACTTATGATATGTTTCTTTGAATTATTCTTGTCGGACATGTTTAACATCTTAATCTTAACTCCAATATGGCCACCAGGATGTCATTGTGCTTGATTTAAAAATAGATAACTTTTCTCGTAAAATATTTTTGCTGTTCAGTCGAAGGTCAAAAATTTTTCAAACTTAATCATTTCCAAATTTTTTGGAAAACATTTTTTTGTAATTTGATAGAACATTCAATTCTGAAGAATTTGGTATCTATGATTTTTCTGTATGAATGAACTTGTCCCATTTTCAAAGTAACAACAGTCAAATGTGTTAAATTCTTTAAACCACTTCACCAAGAGGCAAAAGGAGGAGATAATTAATAACCTGTAGTATTTTAGGGAGAAGAATTATCAAGTGTGGTCAAATGATAGACCTTGAATCTCTAAATCAAGGTCACAAGGGTCAAATGCATTAAAATCTTAAATCAATTTCTTTTTATCTTGTTTGATAAACTTCCTTTCAAAATCTGCAAGGTCTGAAGTCATATATATATGATATATAGATACTTAGGATTTTGACCATAAGTTTGTTATATGAATGAGCTTTAGCAACTTCAAATACCTCAAACGTAAAATATATTGAAATTTTGAAACCAATTCTCTGTAAAACGAGGTCACGGGTAATGATATTAAGCCTGGAGCATGTTGCAATGCAGTAATAAAGAATGATGAAATGAATTGTCTTGATCCTTTTCAAGGTCACTGGAGTCAAATGTGCAAACTTATAAGGTCATGTGTAAAATAAAGGTTTAAAGGCCGCAATCAATTTCTCGTTATAGCATTAAAATGTTTTAATCAATATTTGAGAGTTCATTGACTCCTGCTACATAATTGTTTAGGCTTCTTGAGACTATATTGTGTTGCCATGGCAATGATTCCTATGTCCAGTTCCCATGGTGTTGAACATCTCTTTGTTTTATTGCCAGGGTGATTATTCTTATGTCCTGTTCCCATGGTATTGACCTTTTCTGTGTTTTGTTACCGTGGTGACGGTGTTTACAGGACATTGCCCTCTGCGTTGACCCAGGGGTAACTGTTTCTGTGTGGTCAGCATGGACGTTACATTTTACTTTTGGTTTAAATTATATGCTACATGAATGAGCGAGTAAGGAGACTGAAGAGCTTGTATTTGCACATTGATTAGAAGTGGGAACACTGCGGCGTGTACAATTGTTATAGACTAGCGAAGGACACTAGATGTGGGAACACTACTGTGTGTACAATTGTTATAGACTAATGTAGGGCACTAGATATGGGAACACTGCTCTGTGTGTACAATTGTTATAGACTAGTGTAGGGCACTAGATGTGGGAACACTGCTCTGTGTGTACAATTGTTATAGACTAGTGTAGGGCACTAGATGTGGGAACACTGCTGTGTGTACAATTGTTATAGACTAGTGTAGGGCACTAGATGTGGGAACACTGCTCTGTGTGTACAATTGTTATAGACTAGTGTAGGGCACTAGATGTGGGAACACTGCTCTGTGTGTACAATTGTTATAGACTAGTGTAGGGCACTAGATGTGGGAACACTGCAGCATTTACAATTGTTATAGACTAGCGTAGGACACTAGATGTTGGAACACTGCAGCATGTACAATTGTTATAGACTAGTGTAGGGCACTAGATGTGGGAACACTGCTGTGTGTACAATTGTTATAGACTAGTGTAGGGCACTAGATGTGGGAACACTGCTGTGTGTGTACAATTGTTATAGACTAGTGTAGGGCACTAGATGTGGGAACACTGCTGTGTGTACAATTGTTATAGACTAGTGTAGGGCAATTGTTATGTGTGTAGTTATAGACACTAGTGTAGGGCACTAGATGTGGGAACACTGCTGTGTGTACAATTGTTATAGACTAGTGTAGGGCACTAGATGTGGGAACACTGCTGTGTGTGTACAATTGTTATAGACTAGTGTAGGGCACTAGATGTGGGAACACTGCTCTGTGTGTACAATTGTTATAGACTAGTGTAGGGCACTAGATGTGGGAACACTGCTCTGTGTGTACAATTGTTATAGACTAGTATAGGGCACTAGATGTACAATTGTTATAGACTAGTGTAGGGCACTAGATGTGGGAACACTGCTCTGTGTGTACAATTGTTATAGACTAGTGTAGGGCACTAGATGTGGGAACACTGCTCTGTGTGTACAATTGTTATAGACTAGTGTAGGGCACTAGATGTGGGAACACTGCTCTGTGTGTACAATTGTTATAGACTAGTGTAGGGCACTAGATGTGTGTGTACAATTGTTATAGAACACTGCTGTGTGTGTGTACAATTGTTATAGACTAGTGTAGGGCACTAGATGTGGGAACACTGCTGTGTGTGTACAATTGTTATAGACACTGCTGCTGTGTGTGTACAATTGTTATAGACTAGTGTAGGGCACTAGATGTGGGAACACTGCTGTGTGTGTACAATTGTTATAGACTAGTGTAGGGCACTAGATGTGGGAACACTGCTCTGTGTGTACAATTGTTATAGACTAGTGTGTACAATTGTTATAGACTAGTGTAGGGCACTAGATGTGGGAACACTGCTGTGTACAATTGTTATAGACTAGTGTAGGGCACTAGATGTGGGAACACTGCTGTGTGTACAATTGTTATAGACTAGTGTAGGGCACTAGATGTGGGAACACTGCTGTGTGTGTACAATTGTTATAGACTAGTGTAGGGCACTAGATGTGGGAACACTGCTGTGTGTACAATTGTTATAGACTAGTGTAGGGCACTAGATGTGGGAACACTGCTGTGTGTACAATTGTTATAGACTAGTGTAGGGCACTAGTGTGTATTGTTATAGACTAGTGTGGAGGAACACTGCTGTGTGTACAATTGTTATAGACTAGTGTAGGGCACTAGCTATGGGAACACTGCAGTGTGTACAATTGTTATAGACTAGTGTAGGGCACTAGATGTGGGAACACTGCTCTGTGTGTACAATTGTTATAGACTAGTGTAGGGCACTAGATGTGGGAACACACTTGTTATAGACTGTGTGTGCTGTGTGTGTACAATTGTTATAGACTAGTGTAGGGCACTAGATGTGGGAACACTGCTGTGTGTGTACAATTGTTATAGACTAGTGTAGGGCACTAGATGTGGGAACACTGCTGTGTGTGTACAATTGTTATAGACTAGTGTAGGGCACTAGATGTGGGAACACTGCTGTGTGTGTACAATTGTTATAGACTAGTGTAGGGCACTAGATGTGGGAACACTGCTGTGTGTGTACAATTGTTATAGACTAGGAACACTGCACTGCTGTGTGTACAATTGTTATAGACTAGTGTAGGGCACTAGATGTGGGAACACTGCTGTGTGTGTACAATTGTTATAGACTAGTGTAGGGCACTAGATGTGGGAACACTGCTCTGTGTGTACAATTGTTATAGACTAGTGTAGGGCACTAGATGTGGGAACACTGCTGTGTGTGTACAATTGTTATAGACTAGTGTAGGGCACTATATGTGGGAACACTGCTCTGTGTGTACAATTGTTATAGACTAGTGTAGGGCACTAGATGTGGGAACACTGCTGTGTGTGTACAATTGTTATAGACTAGTGTAGGGCACTAGATGTGGGAACACTGCTGTGTGTACAATTGTTATAGACTAGTGTAGGGCACTATATGTGGGAACACTGATCTGTGTGTACAATTGTTATAGACTATGTGTAGGGCACTAGATGTGGGAACACTGCACTGTGTGTGTGTACAATTGTTATAGACTAGTGTAGGGCACTAGATGTGGGAACACTGCTCTGTGTGTACAATTGTTATAGACTAGTGTAGGGCACTAGATGTGGGAACACTGCTCTGTGTGTAAAATTGTTATAGACTAGTGTAGGGCACTAGATGTGGGAACACTGCTGTGTGTACAATTGTTATAGACTAGTGTAGGGCACTAGATGTGGGAACACTGCTGTGTGTACAATTGTTATAGACTAGTGTAGGGCACTAGATGTGGGAACACTGCTGTGTGTGTACAATTGTTATAGACTAGTGTAGGGCACTAGATGTGGGAACACTGCTGTGTGTACAATTGTTATAGACTAGTGTAGGGCACTAGATGTGGGAACACTGCTCTGTGTGTACAATTGTTATAGACTAGTGTAGGGCACTAGATGTGGGAACACTGCTGTGTGTACAATTGTTATATACTAGTGTAGGGCACTAGATGTGGGAACACTGCTCTGTGTGTACAATTGTTATAGACTAGTGTAGGGCACTAGATGTGGGAACACTGCTCTGTGTGTACAATTGTTATAGACTAGTGTAGGGCACTAGATGTGGGAACACTTAGGGCACTAGATGTGGGAACTCTGCTGTGTGTACAATTGTTATAGACTAGTGTAGGGCACTAGATGTGGGAACACTGCTGTGTACAATTGTTATAGACTAGTGTAGGGCACTAGATGTGGGAACACTGCAGCATGTACAATTGTTATAGACTAGTGTAGGGCACTAGATGTGGGAACACTGCTCTGTGTGTACAATTGTTATAGACTAGTGTAGGGCACTAGATGTGGGAACACTGCTCTGTGTGTACAATTGTTATAGACTAGTGTAGGGCACTAGATGTGGGAACACTGCTCTGTGTGTACAATTGTTATAGACTACACTGCTGTGTGTGTGTGTACAATTGTTATAGACTAGTGTAGGGCACTAGATGTGGGAACACTGCTCTGTGTGTACAATTGTTATAGACTAGTGTAGGGCACTAGATGTGGGAACACTGCTGTGTGTACAATTGTTATAGACTAGTGTAGGGCACTAGATGTGGGAACACTGCTCTGTGTGTACAATTGTTATAGACTAGTGTAGGGCACTAGATGTGGGAACACTGCTCTGTGTGTACAATTGTTATAGACTAGTGTAGGGCACTAGATGTGGGAACACTGCTGTGTGTGTACAATTGTTATAGACTAGTGTAGGGCACTAGATGTGGGAACACTGCTGTGTACAATTGTTATAGACTAGTGTAGGGCACTAGATGTGGGAACACTGCTCTGTGTGTACAATTGTTATAGACTAGTGTAGGGCACTAGATGTGGGAACACTGCTGTGTACAATTGTTATAGACTAGTGTAGGGCACTAGATGTGGGAACACTGCTGTGTACAATTGTTATAGACTAGTGTAGGGCACTAGATATGGGAACACTACTGTGTATACAATTGTTCTAGGCTAGTGTAGGGCACAGTAAAGAATGCTTAACTGGGACCTGGCTCTCAATTTTTTTTTTTTTTTCAATCTGAAAATCAACTATAGAATTTGATAATAAAGCAACTAGGGTTTTCTTAATGCGTCATTATTATTCATGATATGTAAATGTTGTTTTTAGTACTAAATGTTTTCTTTATCCAAATAAGTATTATTCATTTGGGTGAATATTTGCATATATTTATCTAAAGGCTATCCCTATTCAGCTTTTTCTGTGTATTCAGTATAAAATTCACTTTCAGAATATTATTTGGTGATTTTATGAACCAGTTCAGCTCTGATTTACATATTGGTGTAGGTTCTCAATGTGCCAGTTCATTTGTTTATGATTTTAAACACATAGTTTTCAGTTTGTGAAGTAACTGCCATATCGTTAATTAACATGTACAGTTGTTTGTAAAACCCATTACTGTCCATGTTGAGGCTGGATAGAGTTTAAACATCTTTATTTCGATGCACACAAGATGTTTCTTTATTTGCATTCATTTGAATTAAACATGCTTATCAAAGCACATGCAAAAATAACAAATATGAATTCTTGCTAGCAATGTATACAAAGCTAGTTGGCATTTCTACGTATAACCACTTCATACATAATGTGATTTTAAGTGTAGAAGATATATGCACCATTAGGATTCCTACTTTCCTTTGCTAATTATCAGTGTATATGCTATATATGTAATTCTTTATATCCATAATTACTGTATCAATACTTGTCATGCAGAAAAGATAACAGAATTTGAGACTTTGTCAAGTCTGCAGTGTTACTTAAGTTAAAATGTCCATTATTTTGTGAATTTAAATTAACCAATTATAGAATTTAACAAATTGTGTTTTGATTTAAATACATTCTTTTTGTAAGTACAAAGTGTAGCAGTTGAAATAACAAGTGTAAGCAAACTTGATAGGAATGAGTAAATGTTAAGTCCAGTTGGTATTCAATATTGATGTCAGTGGTTTCTAAAGGCAGTTGATGGAATAAGTTTATAAATGCAATAAATATGCTGCTAGTATCAAGATTATATAGTACATAAACCATCAGTATCGTGACTGGTGTTGCCTTCTATACAGACGTTTGGTCTAGATCAGTATTTCATCGACGTCATGAAAATTTTTATTTGTCAATAATTGTGCAGTCAGACTTGTCTATAAAGGCCACTCAAGGGAGCAGAGAGAAGTGACCTTTATAGACAAGTGGTCTTTATATAGAGGTCCACTTGTGTTGCATTGTGTTACAAATGAAGCCAACAAAAGCAGCCTTTGTAGAGAGGTGATCTTTGTGTGAAGGTGGCCTTCAAGGCAAGTTACAATATAGTTTAATAGTTATGACTATATTCACTTTGACAGGAAAAAATAGCAAAGACAGCTTGTATGTCTGCATGCAAACATATCGCCAACAACCTACTGGAATTCATCCGTGACAACGAGCTGAAACAGATGACACTTGGAGCTCTACAGCAGTTCAACCTGGACCTCATCCAATGTGAATGTAAGTCAGTGACAGTGTCAGTCAGTAGGCAATTAATAAGTTAAATATACACATATTATTGGTCATGGGGACTTAAAGAACATATGTAATGTAGACTAACATTGGTAATGTAGACTTACAGAGAACTTCAGTAATGTAGACTTACAGAGAACATCAGTAATGTAGACTTACAGAGGACATCAGTAATGTAGACGTACAGAGAACATCGGTAATGTAGACTTACAGAGAACATTGGTAATGTAGACTTACAGTGAACATCGGTAATGTAGACTTACAGAGAACATCAGTAATGTAGACTTACAGAGGACATCAGTAATGTAGACTTATAGTGAACATCAGTAATGTACTTACAGAAAATAGTGCAAATGTGTAACCTACAAAGAATTTTGCTTGTAAAGAATACATTCTGATTTACTTGAATGGAAGTATGTAATTTATAATCGCTTTTCAGAAGAAAAAAAATAAAGTGCATTTAAAGATTAATTAGATTTAGATATACATTACTAGATACATTCTCTACTAAAAACAGAGAAGTGATTCATCCTTGTATGTCTGTTTACAGTGTTTGCAGCCTCGGAGCCAGTCCCAGGATTTACTGACGGGACACTAGTGATGGCGTTTGCAGATGTTCGACAGGTATTTGAATTAAATTAATCTGATTTAAAATTATGTTTTAGTAACAGTACTAGAATATCTGATCTTAAGGAAGAGATGATGAAAAATTAAACAATGTACACATTAATTAATTCCAGTTAAGATGAATGTGATGCTCCACTATATACAATACTAATTTTGATCAAAAGATCTTTGATACACCTAGGTTTTCTGTGTTATCAAACCAGTCTGTAATTTGATAAATCTGCCGTATTACAATTCAACAACAATAATGTAGCATTACAGTGTAAAGGTTATGGGGGTCTTTTGGTCAGGTGGAATATTACAGAATGTAAGACATTAATGTCTGTATAAATATTGGATGTAAAGAATTAGGAGAGTGAAAAATATTGCTGTTTGGATATATATTATAGGGAGAGGTGTGTAAATACTGCTGCTTGAAGGTTACAGTAAGAATTGGCAGAGGTCACAAAATATGGTAAAATTCCAGACAGATCCTTCATACGCACATATTAAACAGCTTACAGTATTACTTTGATCACAGGGGAATTGTACAATACTTTGCTTTTTGAACTAGTTTTATCAGGGAAATGGGGTCTTCAAAATCTTTCCTTGTGTGCTAACACCAAGGAGGGAAGTTTGTAGAATCATGTTTAGTATTCTATTTGGGAAATCTTGTCTGAAATCTGCTGATACACTATTAATTGTTGATCCATATTGACAGCTGTTGGACTTGTTCCTGAACTGGGACTGGTCAGTTTACTTGGCTGACTATGGTCAGTCCAAGTCCAAGTACCTTCGTGTCCAACCTCAGGTGGCCATTAGTATTCTGGAGAAGTGAGTACATGTTAATCTGTTGATATCTGGGATTTTGGAATTTTTTTTAGGGGAGGTAATTTCAGGATCATTTTCCACATTGCCTTTATTTACTTACTATTTTGATTTGGATTGATCATTGAACTGGAAAAATACTACCAGTTTAATGTATATACATGGGTAATTGAGAAATAGTCATCTAAAGATAAAAGGCTAACACATTCTTGATTGAGAGTAGCTTGAAAGACTTTTGAATTATTTGTTTTGTTTTACTTAACAAAAGCTAAGTAAACAATGGACATGCATGATTTAGTTTTAATTGTATATTGAATAGAAATATCCTTAATATTGCTTTTTGATAGTTGCTATAACTATTCTTCATACTGTTTTATATACATCTTATACATTTCCTGTTTTAAGGCTAAACAACGCTGATAAGAAGAAGAACAACCTTTTTGCATCTTTGAAGAAGGGAGAACGTGACAAAAAGAAGTTATTAGACACCGTTCTTAAACAGCTTCGTGGACTTGTCAACGGAACTGCACCTCAAGTACAGGGTTGAGGTCAGAGGTCAAAGGCACAAATTCTTGATGTTCAGTGGTCATTGATACTTCCAAAAGACCACTCTTAGAGACGTCTAATGATGTGCAAATGATAACAGTACTTTATATACACACTACAGTAATATCCACACAACATTCTGCACAAGGGAAGTAGTTTTGATCTGTGATCTTGAAATTGTTGAAAACTAAGATCATTATACTTTTGAAGGCTGACTTGTTTGTTGACATATCGTAGTGTTTAACATATTCTTCTTGATAAGTAGATTAATGATATACATTAGTGTTCCTAAAAGGAACAACACTGAATTTTGCCAGGATTGAATTCCTGAACTGAATTGCCTGAATTTGCATACAAGCTTATGATAAGCAAATGTCCATATAGATACAGCAATGTCAGTAACTCCTGGCCCATAGCTTCACATGGTGTGCCCAGGTCTGGCCCAGAATATCAGGTGTCTACTAGAACAACAGCCCAGAGCATCACAGCTTGTGATGTAGTGAAAGTTTTGTGATATGGACATTCATAGTTATCTGTATCACTACATATCTGTGATAATGCTTGTGTGAGGCTTTGTGTGGAGGTGTGCAGTGCCTGTATATGTTGTAAGGTGTGAGTCTTGTATGTGAAGGTATTACATGTACATTTGAGTAATATTCATTCAGTAATCTTCAGTCAAAGTCCAAGAAATGGGATTTAAAAAGTTCAGTGAAAGTGTACTTTTTTTAATGGAAAAGGGATAAATGTGATGCCTCCATGAATATTGATTTTGAACAGAGACAGCTATTTAGTGTATACCTAATAAATGATGGCTGGATAGTCAGACATCCAGATAAGTGATGGCTGGATAGTCAGACATCCAGATAAGTGATGGCTGGATAGTCAGACATCCAGATAAGTGATGGCTGGATAGTCAGACATCCAGATAAGTGATGGCTGGATAGTCAGACATCCAGATAAGTGATGGCTGGATAGTCAGACATCCAGATAAGTGATGGCTTGATAGTCAGACATCCAGATAAGTGATGGCTGGATAGTCAGACATCCAGATAAGTGATGGCTGGATAGTCAGACATCCAGATAAATGATGGCTGGATAGTCAGACATCCAGATAAGTGATGGCTGGATAGTCAGACATCCAGATAAGTGATGGCTGGATAGTCAGACATCCAGATAAGTGATGGCTGGATAGTCAGACATCCAGATAAGTGATGGCTGGATTGTCAGACATCCAGATAAGTGATGGCTGGATAGTCAGACATCCAGATAAATGATGGCTGGATAGTCAGACATCCAGATAAGTGATGGCTGGATAGTCAGACATCCAGATAAGTGATGGCTGGATTGTCAGACATCCAGATAAGTGATGGCTGGATAGTCAGACATCCAGATAAGTGATGGCTGGATTGTCAGACATCCAGATAAATGATGGCTTGATAGTCATACATCCAGATAAATGATGGCTTGATAGTCATACATCCAGGTAAGTGATGGCTTGAATGTCAGACATCCAGATAAGTGATGGCTGGATTGTCAGACATCCAGATAAGTGATGGCTTGATAGTCAGACATCCAGATAAGTGATGGCTGGATAGTCAGACATCCAGATAAGTGATGGCTGGATAGTCAGACATCCAGATAAGTGATGGCTGGATAGTCAGACATCCAGATAAGTGATGGCTGGATAGTCAGACATCCAGATAAGTGATGGCTTGATAGTCAGACATCCAGATAAATGATGGCTGGATAGTCAGACATCCAGATAAGTGATGGCTTGATAGTCAGACATCCAGATAAGTGATGGCTGGATAGTCAGACATCCAGATAAGTGATGGCTGGATAGTCAGACATCCAGATAAGTGATGGAGACATCCAGATAAGTGATGGCTGGATAGTCAGACATCCAGGTAAGTGATGGCTTAAACGTCAGACATCCAGATAAGTGATGGCTTGATAGTCATACATCCAGATAAATGATGGCTTGATAGTCATACATCCAGATAAGTGATGGCTGGATAGTCAGACATCCAGATAAATGATGGCTGAGTAGTTTGACATCTAGATAAATATTGGAAAACTGAATGAGAGAGTTGAAAGCCTAGAATTTGAAGTTATGTGTATGTGATGTCATGCAAGTATAGTGTTACCTTTACAATGATAAATAAAACAAGATATTGTTCCTGTTTCTCAAAAAGCTGAGAGATGAAAAAATATAAATAAATGTCTAATGAATAAATAAATATAAAAGATAAATAAATATAAAAGATAAATAAATATATGTTAAAATCTGTTATGATTTATTCAAGATCTGCTGCAGCTCTCGATCAGATCACACAATGAAATTAATTTTAATTTATTTGACATTAGAAAACAATATTTTTTTTTGCTTTCTTTAAAAGTAGACTGATTTTATTCTCTCAGAAAACTTAATCTGTATGTGTTATTTGGGGTAAATACATACTAAAATTCTCGTACAGTTACAGATTTAAGTATAAGGGCAGAAATCTGATTAAACTTTCCTGACTAAAACTTTCCTGTCTTGTTATTGGGAATGGTGGTATTATTTATTGAGAAAACATGGAAAAATTGCTGGTCATTTGGCTGATAGTGAGATAAACTAAGTGGTATTCCATGGCAGGTAAATCCTGATGCCAGGTTAACATGTTTTATGGAAGCTGTTGGGTAACCAATTTCCTTGCTACCTGGTTGTTTGACAGAAAAGATAGAAAATGTGGTACTTCTTGATAGGTAAATTTAGTTGTGCACCAAACACAATGTCTGGAAGAACTGTGTTTTTGTTATGATAGAGAACTGCATTATTGTTGAGGAAGAACCATTTACTGGTTGTCTGACAGCTTAAAGATAGGAAATTTGGTTTTTTCTTGATGGGTAAATTTAGGCATTCACTAAATACATATTGTATGGAAAAATTAATGATTACATTATGAGAAAGAAACACTCTGGTTGTTTGACTTACCGGTAGATAAAAAAATTGACATTTCTTAATGGGTAAATTAAGGTGACTTGAATCGCTTGATTTCACTATGGGAGATAACCAGTCACTGATTTTCAATTAAATAGAAATCGTGAGTATTACTAGATCAACAGGAACATTTCTTGACATGACATACACATGCATAGTGTTGTGTACAATATGATAGATACAATTATTTTGTATCTTGTTTAATTTGGGACTTATATGTCCTGAATGCTCATCATAATCATCAGTGCAATACACAATTATTGTCATAATTCTTATCTGACAGAGTCTTTTTATGATGTGAAAGACAACTAACCATAGTCAGATATACTCTATAATGTAAAGACGGTATGCAGTATATTATGAAAACAGTACACAGTATATTGTGAAAATAGTATACAGTATATTGTAAAAATAGCATACAGTATATTGTAAAAATAGCACACAGTATATTGTAAAAATAGCATACAGTATATTGTAAAAATAGCACACAGTATATTGTAAAAACAGTATACAGTATATTGTAAAAATAGCATACAGTATATTGTAAAAACAGTATACAGTATATTGTAAAAACAGTATACAGTATATTGTAAAAATAGCACACAGTATATTGTAAAAATAGCATACAGTATATTGTAAAAACAGTATACAGTATATTGTAAAAACAGTATACACACAGTATATTGTAAAAATAGCATACAGTATATTGTAAAAACAGTGTACAGTATATTGTAAAAACAGTGTACAGTATATTGTAAAAACAGCATACAGTATATTGTAAAAATAGCATACAGTATATTGTAAAAATAGCTACAGTATATTGTAAAAACAGTATACAGTATATTGTAAAAACAGTATACAGTATATTGTAGAAACAGTATACAGTATATTGTAAAAATAGCATACAGTATATTGTAAAAATAGCATACAGTATATTGTAAAAACAGTATACAGTATATTGTAAAAACAGTATACAGTATATTGTAAAAACAGTATACAGTATATTGTAAAAATAGCATACAGTATATTGTAAAAATAGCACACAGTATATTGTAAAAATAGCATACAGTATATTGTAAAAACAGTGTACAGTATATTGTAAAAACAGTATACAGTATATTGTAAAAACAGTATACAGTATATTGTAAAAACAGTATACAGTATATTGTAAAAACAGTATACAGTATATTGTAAAAACAGTATACAGTAAAAAGAAGATTACAGTTTACTATGTTTATTGCAAGTATGCGGTATCAGTGAAGGGAAATTTGTGAGGTGGAGAATTTGATGTGAAACTGTGTCGACAGTTACATGTACTTGTTAAAGCAGGTTTGGAAGATTTTCTGAACACTGATAAATTTTCTTGTGCTGTTGTATGTAACGTGAACTGCTTTTTCTTTTCCCTGAACTTGAGACAGTTAGGGAAATGAGATTTATGAATATTTCATGTGTGCTTGGCTCTTGTACATGTATGTATGTTTGGGATTGTAAGAGGAGTGTCTTTTCAATGTTTTGTCCATTTTTTATTCCAGATACAGTAGTTTTGATTAGTCATACATGCATGTTTACCGGGGAAATTGTTCCAAATTTAAAACTCTTCATTCCTGTATAAGTTGTTATGAAATTATACCAATAATGAATGTTGATTCATATATTTTATCCCTGCAATTTTTCATTTTTTATCATGGTGTCCTTTTGGAACATTTTCCCTGACTTAAGAATGTATCATTTAATAGAAGAACATTGTTCTCCGTGATTATTTGAAACATTACACATGTAAACATTATTTTAAGAAATGTTTTGTATTTATTGTCCACAACTTAAGCACCATAACCTTATCTTACTCGCCCCTATTTTACTTCACCAGAAAACTTGTGTCGCAATTTCAATAAACATCTCTCCACAAAACGCTAGGCTCTAACTGCAGTTGGTTCATGTTCTCTGAATCATGCGCATCATTCTTGAGTTATTCAGACTTTACTCTGTCAGAAATAGGAATGTTGTGGCAGTATAGCAATAACTTTAATCGCATGAATAATGCATAAAATAGATCACATTTGGTATTCAGAAAAAATTCACAATGTCATGAGAAAAAACTAACGTTAAATATATAAAAGATGTTAATGTTTTAGGTACTGATATTGTTACAGTAATTTTCTTTTTCCTTTCTTTGATGAAAATCTTACTTTATCTGGTAAACAAGTAAAGCTTCTGTATTTGTACCTGGATTGAACCAAGTTTTTGCTATCAATATTTGTACATTTAGATGGAGAAGATGCCAGAAAACTGATAACTAAAATACTATTTGTGTTGCCAAATTTGGACAATAGCAATTCTTTTCCACAAGATTAATAGCAGGTAGTCAGAGAGATTGGAAATTTTGTATATATCACCAATTCATACTGCTTTCAGTATGACATTATATATAATTTTTTCTCTAGATCTGTAAAACTGCTCCAGACAACAGAATCTATTTATGTATATATGAAATTTTCCATTCTGGATATTTAATGACAGTATTTTGGGGGTTGCCTTTGTAAGGTGTAATTAAGGCTTCTATAGAAAAAATCTGCTCTGTAATTTTGCCTGAAATACTATTTTATCACTTCCACATCTTGTTATCACTCATCTGGAAGAAATGAATCAAACCATTGCTAGTCCTTACTGATTCACCAGAAACTATGTGAAAATTGGATGTTGTTTCTGACGTCATGGCAAGATAACATGGGTTTCGCTTTAGTTATTAATTTCTAGTCAACCAATAAAAACAAGGATTATAGGATTTTTGCTTGTAGTGAATTTAGAGAAATAAAAGCATGTCTAAACATGTCTTTCATCATGTGGATATTCTTATGAATATTGTAATCAGACTTAGTTCTCATTGTTTTCAAACAGTATGCACTCATGCTTGTTGGACTTGAACTACCACAGAAAGTAGTCATTTTAGTTCAACTTGGTAGAAACTCTCAGAGGTTACAGATTATAATAAATTGTAAGAGAAGATTGTTTTGTCTTCAAAGTAACATCAATGGTGTAAAAGATGATTAGATAAGGTTAAACATCATGAAAATGACCTCTTCCAAAGTAAAGTAATTTGAAGTTTACAAAATGAAAAAAATGTTCAGATCTATTGAATTGTGAACATGATTCAAATTATTTCACCAGATCACCTGATCTTTGTACCATTTTTTTTTTTTTTTTTTTCTCAAAGGTTAAGATATTTTATTTCATCTTCGATTACCCAAAAATAACACCCAGCAAATATGTAAAAGATAATAATAAATCACTTATATTTCAGGTGGGATTTATTTTCACATTAAGAAACAAGGATAGTCAATTGCGAATTCAAATCCTTCATGATTGTTTTTGTAGAAGAACAACTCTGGATAGTATTCCATGTTGATTTGGTAACTGATATCAGTCTTTAACAGTCCTGGTTTCCAATAGCTCATCATTTGTGAATTTAAAGTAATTTCCTGGTGGTCAGTGTTTGCAAACTCATGTATTCACAAAATCTATGTGATTTACATTTTTTGAGAAAATTGAAAGTGAAAGTCTTTATAAGCAGGAAAATTTTCTTTTAAAAAAATCTTTTTAATGGGATATGGCATAAATATGACCAGTAATATCAGTCTCACACCGTTACAACAAAATTAATCATAATACTCTCAAAATTTTACTACAGAATTTCACGTAATTTCTTATCCTGAAAAAAAACGGTGTCAAATATTTGATATTGTAAGCTTCAGATGTAGAATTATGAACAGATTTTACCCATGATGTATTGACATAGTTCAGTTAACATTTATAATTATGTATATTAAAACTAAAAAAAAAATCATATTTGTCCTTTCCTTATCGTAACAACCTCCTGTAAAGTTTAATACTTGTATCTGAACAATCATTACAATCTTATACTGTACCATAAACACTGTTGTATGATACCATTGATGATACTTTATACATGTGATAAGAAATATCCTGAGAATGATGAAGTTTTCAGGACAGATTTTGTGCATGCTTCACTTGCCTGCAGTGCTGCAATCCTTGTGTAAGCCTAGTTCAGAAATTATTGTAGGAGAGGAAGGAAGCAGAACTGAAGAATCTATTGTATATGATGTGTTAGATGCTGTGCTTCAGAAAATACAGTACTCCAGAAACAGTTTTATCAGACGCAGTGCTGTAATTTCTTTTTAAGGCTACTAGATCCTTTTGTATGTTAGGGAAAGGAAGAAATGTTATTGCAGACTGCTTCATTCAATTACTAATCCCAGTAGACGTTTTAAGAAATATACAGCTGGCATTAAGACAAAGCTTCCTTCCTATTTGGTACAGTAACATTTGAAGTAGTGCTTACTATGTTCTTTTTAAGAATAAAATATGGTCAATATCAGACATTGTTTTGTCTTATTTGATTTCCAAACACATAAGTGACATGTTTGTTGCTATCATATAATTAGTATTCAGTGGCCTCAGCTCAGCAGTGACCGTGTATAGTGTCCTCAGTTCTGTGGTGTCCTCAGCTCAGTAGTGACCATGTATCCAGTGTCCTCAGTTCTGTGGTGTCCTCAGCTTAGCAGTGACCATGTATCCAGTGTCCTCAGTTCTGTGGTGTCCTCAGCTCAGCAGTGACCGTGTATCCAGCGTCCTCAGTTCTGTGGTGTCCACAGCTCAGCAGTGACCGTGTATCCAGTGTCCTCAGTTCTGTGATGTCCTCAGCTCAGTAGTTACCGTGTATCCATGTCCTCAGTTCTGTGGTGTCCACAGCTCAGCAGTGACCATGTATCCAGTGTCCTCAGTTCTGTGGTGTCCTCAGTTCAGCAGTGACCGTGTATCCAGTGTCCTCAGCTCAGCAGTGACCATGTATCCAGTGTCCTCAGCTCAGCAGTGATCGTGTATCCAGTGTACTCAGTTCTGTGGTGTCCTCAGCTTTGTAGTATCTTAGTATTCAGCGCTCTCAGCTCTGTGTATAATTGTTACCTACTGTATGGTAACTGTCCTTGATGCTATAAACAATCTATATACATTTATCAAGGATTCTGTTGAACTGGAATTGACCATTTTCACAACAAGGGACCATGGAGTGTCTTATTATATGAGAACATTCTATCTGGTACTTCTCAAGAAGGAGTGATATGGGCAGACAGGCTGACAATGGATAGGAGTATTTTGAACAGCCTGACATTTAACAATGGTGTGCTCTCTTAATTTGGTAGAGACCTATTGCTAAATTTTTATTCAAAGATATATCTGTATAAAAAACACAGAACTTCATTATTCTGAATTCAACACTTTAATACATCTATCCAACAGTAAACCTAGATTAATAAAGTATAAGATTATGCAAGGTTTGCTAGCTGACAAGACAATGGAATGGATGGAACAGCGGACACCAATTTTGACAAAGGGTAAGTAATTAAATCAGTGCCATTGTTTCTTTAATATCTTTACAGCATTAAGCTTTCTGCAGGGAGCAAACTAAACATACCAGAAAATAGTGGGGGAGACAAGGTTTTGGATAGCATCATAAATAACAGAAATAAGGACATAAATGACAACAAAACACATCTTTATAAATAATCTCTGTACATAAATGCTCTCCACAGAATCTACTTTTAAAAAGGAGTACTGGAGTTAATTGTAGCATTGTTGAATACAATAATAAGTAACAAGCCTCTAGCAGCCGTCAGTAAGTGGTACCACAGTCTATCCTAGTGTACTATAATTGTACATATCTTATGGCATCTTAAACATATCAATCAACAAAATGTGTACATTTTGACAAATGTACCAAACGAAACAATAGTTCAATTTTGAGTCTCTGTAACAATGCATCAAACTGCTGGCAGATCACTGTCTTCTGTGTACATTGTTACCATGACTACTGTTTAGCCTTGCCCTGGTTGGCTACTTTCTCCATTGCAGCCTTGACCTGAGCTTCATCAGCTAAGTAGTAATGTTTCACTGGCTTGATGTCAGCAGTGAGCTCGTAAACGAGTGGAATACCTGTCAAAGGATTTAATTAGTAACATTCAGTTATCAAGAACAGTAGATATGTAAATTATGAACATCCTGCCTTGTCCATTAATGTATATCTGATCGAACCTGCCCTAAAGGTCACCTATGAACAAATACCTGTGTATGAAGGTCAGATGTAATACAATTTATAGTAAATGAACCTCTATCTATAAATCACCTGTCAATCAAGGTCATTTTTCCATGATGTTTCGAAGAATAGTTTGAGTGAGTGCAACTTATATTGTGCACAAACCACTATAGAATACTGAAACTTTGCAGACAAGGTCTTATTTTCAATGTATCTATGACTTAAACATAACTTACTTTTCAGTATTTGTTTTGCACAAATATTTAAACAACTGTGAAAGGAAAAGGCCATAAAACTGTATGGATTAGGTGGAGTGCAGTAAAATATTAACTTCAATATCATATCATTCATACAAGTTCTTCATCCTATCATCGATCTGTAACATTTCAGATCAGTTTTGGCTTTAATGATATATATCAATAGCTGTCAGTATCTAGACATTTTGTTTGGTGTCATCTGTTTGAGGATTGTTTTCTACTCTCTGTACTAGAATAACATTATTTATTTACATCGTGGTAACTACTGATAAATACTGACATTGGGGGTGATAAGCTTCATTTAGAGACTATGGAATTCAGATATTTATCGTGATACACAAAATTGACAATATGCTTTCTAAACAACACAGCCTTGGAATTTTGTGCTATTGTGAAAACTATAGAAAAAGACCACACAAAAAAAGTTACCAATGGATAGAAAATTCCATATGATACATCCTATCAAGTTTTTGACAAGCATATAAAAAGTCTAACCCCAACTTTAATGGTAGGAATAATGATTTCTCTTATATTCTGAGAGGGAGATATTGAGATCTCAATTGAGGAATAAGAACATTCTTTTCTCATCTGTAATGATACCCCACCTGAAACAGTGCTACAATAGTTCTCATATGTGAGGAATTATCTAGACTGAATTCTCACCTGTAAGGGATATTTTATGCCACATTTGTCAATCATTTGTCTGATTTAAAATCTTAATTCTCTCTATGTACACTGAAATCTCACCTGTCTGACACTTAATTATCTCTTTGTACACTCTAATCTCACCTGTCTGGCTCTTAATTCTCTCTATGTACACTGAAATCTCACCTGTCTAGCTCTTAATTCTCTCTTTGTGCACTTAAATCTCACCTGCCTGGGTATTTATTCTCTCTATGTACACTGAAATCTCACCTGTCTAGCTCTTAATTCTCTCTATATACACTGAAATCTCACCTGTCTAGCTCTTAATTCTCTCTATGTACACTGAAATCTCACCTGTCTAGCTCTTAATTCTCTCTATATACACTGAAATCTCACCTGTCTGGCTCTTACTTCTCTCTGTGTACACTGAAATCTCACCTGCCTAGCTCTTAATTCTCTCTGTGTACACTGAAATCTCACCTGTCTAGCTCTTACTTCTCTCTATGTACACTGAAATCTCACCTGTCTGGCTCTTACTTCTCTCTGTGTACACTGAAATCTCACCTGTCTAGCTCTTAATTCTCTCTATGTACACTGAAATCTCACCTGTCTAGCTCTTACTTCTCTCTATGTACACTGAAATCTCACCTGTCTGGCTCTTACTTCTCTCTGTGTACACTGAAATCTCACCTGTCTAGCTCTTAATTCTCTCTATGTACACTGAAATCTCACCTGTCTAGCTCTTAATTCTCTCTATGTACACTGAAATCTCACCTGTCTGACACTTAATTCTATCATTGTACACTGAAATCTCACCAGTCTGGCTCTTACTTCTCTCTATGTACACTGAAATCTCACCTGTCTAGCTCTTAATTCTCTCTTTGTACACTTAAATCTCACCTGCCTGGGTATTAATTCTCTCTATGTACACTGAAATCTCACCTGTCTAGTTCTTAATTCTCTCTATATACACTGAAATCTCACCTGTCTAGCTCTTAATTCTCTCTATGTCCACTGAAATCTCACCTGTCTGATGCTTAATTCTCTCTTTGTACACTGAAATCTCACCTGTCTGGCTCTTACTTCTCTCTATGTACACTGAAATCTCACCTGTCTAGCTCTTAATTCTGGGTATTAATCCTTATCTCTCTGTACACCTACATTGTAAATCTCACCTGCCAGTGTAATAACCCTCTTCTCTATGTACTCTGAAATCTCAGCTGTGCTAGTATCTGTTCTCATCTCTATGTACAGTGAAATGTCCCCAAAGGTTAATAAATGAAAAGTTCACCTGTTGGAATATTTAGTTCTGGAATCTCTTCATCAGAAATCTTGTCCAGGTATTTGACCAAGGCTCTCAGACTGTTGCCGTGAGCTGAGATCAGAATCCTCTGTCCAGACTACAACAAACAAAACATTACTGCTGCTCTTTATCCCTATAAATCTTTATCACTTGAAGTCTCTCTCATTCTGTCTCACTTAAGCTCTTTGTAACTTTCAATCTTTACAGCTAATCAGTACTTAATCACTGCAGTTGGCAAAGTCTCTGGACACACATTAACAATATGATATTATAATTTTTCCAAGCTTGATCAAATCTATTAAAATGATAGCACAATCCAGTTAGATTTGACACACATTTGACCTGTATTGACTTGTGTAATATTTCCTATATCTTACCTTGATAGTTGGGACAATGACGTCATGCCAGTAAGGCAATACTCGAGCCACAGTGTCCTTTAGACATTCACACCTGGGAACAACTGAGGCATCCAGATGCTGAAATATCAGGTTTAGAATTGTTTTTATCAAAAGCACCATTACATAATTTGCAGCGATATCTAAAATGTTTTATTAAATAAGTTTGATAACTGATGAAATAAAGTTGCATGGATTCTTATGAAAAGATGTTGAATTTTTAGATTCTAGTTAATAAGATTTCTGATTTCATTTAACATGGACATACTGATGATAAATAACACATACCATCAATGATTTTATATACAATAATACTGAATTATTATTGAGTTCTTCCATCATGGAACCAAATACCTACAGTATATTTTGGGTCATTAGAAGAAAGTCTTTCATCTCCATTCTCCAAAGCTGGAGGAGGTACATCATATGATCGTCTCCAAATCTGAAATTATTTACAACAACAAAGTCAGAATCTGTTATGCCTAATCAGACTGTATGTATTCAGAGAATAGCCAAAAAACAACATAAAATTAAGTCTGGTAAAAACAAGATGAAATTCACAAAATCTATTAAAATGCTTAAGGAAACATTATAGTATTTATGGTCCCAGACATGATTTTGGAAATTTCTTTATTCGTAATACCTTTATGTTTGAATTATCACACATCAATAAAGAATATCATTAAATTTTGGAAACTCATGAGACCTCCAATACTGTTTCATTTTTCCCATATCTAACTGGAAGTTGGAACTTATTTTTAAGAAAAATCAGATAAAAAGTGTCTGAATCAGTGACAATGATAACCTTGACTTGTGCTTCTCCATGTTTGGCTGCAGTCTCGGCCTTATTAAGACCTTGCAGTCCTCCATAGTGACGCTCATTTAACCGCCAGTGCCTAGTGACGGGGATCCAGTGGTTATCCATCTCATTCTGAACCAGGTACAGAGTCTTAATCGCTCGCTTTAACACACTGGTGAAGGCTACGTCAAACACAAACCCTTTCTCCTTCAACATCTGTAACAAGTAAAATCAAACGCTTCAGCTTCAGTAATCCATTTATATGTAAGGTTAAGACATTGGTTGTCATGATTAACATTTAAGTTCTAGTTCTGTCTAAGTGAAATGTACAGTGACTGCTTTGTGTGTGAGCTCAGTGCTGAGATGCATCTGTAGAATATAGGTCACAGTTACTTTATTTTGCCTTATTTTCATTAGGGGACTTGATTCTAACACCATTTTGTTACTGTGCTATGTGTTACATATTTATGTCAGCGTCGTATGACTCTGAAATGTGTTTGTTTACTTAAGATGCTTAAGATTAACGGTTTAATAGACCCTGTCAATGACTAAATGTTAAAAATGCTTCGGCACTTCACACTGCCACTTTTGTTTGACAGAAACTCACCTGTCCAGCATTTCTTGCCTCCTCGCATCCTTGCTCTGACAAATCTGCATCAAACCAGCCACAGAATTTGTTCAACTTATTCCATTCACTTTCTCCGTGCCTGACCAATACGATGGTGTATTTTGTAGTCATCTTGCCTGATAATGGTGTGTTTCGTCTAATCGACCTTCAGCTGTACCGGCAATGACGACCTTGACTTCACCAAGGTTGCACTTCCGATATACATGATCATCCGATATTTGTTAGAGTTACTTCCCTTTATACACGCACACGCTCTCGAGCAGTAAACTTGATATATTTTAATATATTTTGGGGGTCGTGAGGGAAGGGGGTTTGTGGATTTACCCAACATTCAGAAAAGAAGGATAGAAATGCTAATGTGAATCACAAAAATAAAATTGTACAATACAGACGCATTTTATTCTGTTAATTGTTGTTCGGTGTAAAATATCAAATATCTTCAGATGTGAAACGTCACAAGACAAATCCAAGCACCTAACCAGGGACGTCCCTGACCTAACTAAGTACAGCATGTTTTGTTTGAACCTTCAGATTTGATAGATCCAGAGCAGTAACTAGCAAAACATTTTGTAATTCTCTACCTTTCTAAAATCGCTCGGTGGGTCGATTCCTTACCTGGAAGGCTTCAAACCTGTGACATGATTGTGTCCTTGGGCAGGTACTTTACCCTAATTGCTTTGAATAACATGCGACAGACCTCTCGTATGTTGTTCGGCGAGGTATCCACAAGCTGATACCAGGAAACCCACCTTTAAATGACACTGACAGTTCATGGGACAATAAACCCAAGAAATAATCGAACCCATGAAAGTTTTCTCCACCTGAAACTATTACTCTCCTTACCTGTGACAAATCAACTGTTCTCTTTCTTGAAATTGTTGACTTGTCAACTGTATACTACCATATCAAATGATTTAGTAAACAGGTTTAAATAATGTTCATTTTTATGAAAACATCTCTTGTATGGATCATTCCGATATTTCCCCTTTTGTTGTAGAAAACAAACAAGCCAAGTTGCTTTGATACTTTTATACACAAGTTTAAGAAGCGATCGTTGACATATACAATATCGATTTTTAACAGCTTTACAACCTATACCCTCCCGACCGCTTTTTTTTTCAAATTAATACGTATCACATTATCATTGTCTTTCTTTCCTTTTGTTAAAATCTTACGCGTGGCAAAGAGCATATCTTCTTAAACAATCCTCTCAGAGGTGTAAAATCGACATCTGGAGATTTCCAGTATTGACTCTGAACAAACACCAATCCGAGCTAGTATACCGTATTGTATGCCTCTAGTGGTTGTCCTTCTTTATTATATGTAGTACAGAGACTTGACTGCACGCAATGGGGTGCTAATATTAGATTTCTGTTGAGATTAAATGGTAGGAATCCTCACATAAATTTCACAGTGACACATGAATGACAAGGACCCTCCACAACCAGTTACATTACAGTTTTCCTTGTCATATGATGCTCTTCACAACACAAGGAATTATCAATCATCAGTTGTATTGCTTGTGTTGCCTTTCTTTTTATCGGAGTGTGTGTGTGTGTGTGTGTGTGTGTGGGGGGGGGGGGGCTTTCTGTTTGTCTTTTATCGGAGGTGGATGGGGGGTGCTAGGTTGCTGCCGAACTTGGCTACTTAGTCCACGTTTTTACTTGTCTCTCTCATATTAAGATTGTGTAAAAGGTGATGTCATTTTCAATATGTTTAATATTCGACATTAATTAACTTGCCAACGTTAATATATGTACAGTGATACTATCCACACGACATACAATAGCAAGAAGACATGATCATATATGTAAGTGTTATAAGGTGATATTACAAGGGATTTATGAAACGAGCCTCGATATTTTCATTTCACCGAGCCTCTTGACTGTGAAAAAATTCCTGGTGAGGTTCATAGTGATCTCATTGAGATTTTTTTGTATGAAGCCTCATGTGTTTGAAGCTCGCTTGTTTGTCTGCTCGTTCCATTGTTCATACTTTGTTCTCATTTGAGAACGTGACATTACTTACTTGGATTGACCGAGGTTTACATGGCGGGTGTCGTCGGCAAAGCAGAAGATGCTTATTAAGACGCTTATTCTTCCGGAACTCCTGGTCTTATTCTCCTGGTGCTTTTTCAGGAATCCATGTGTAAATATTTGTTTTGTTCATGTTTTGTCCATTTTTATTGAATTAGAATTTTAATTATGATTATATTTACATATTGGTATATTCATGCTTGAAACCTTTGTGGCGCCTTAACCAAACTAAAATTCCGCTGGGTCATATTTTCATGTGTAATGATATACAATTATTGATCTTTTTAGGAAAATATGCGAAAAAGTCAACATGAGAAAGTTGATATTCCTCAAAGCAGCAAGTTGAATACCCTTAAGTGACTGTAGGTGTGAACTACGTTCGAATCACTTTGTATGATTTCAAAATTATGCTGAGCTACACTGTTCTCTTTGTGACATTCAATTCAAAAGTCTTCACAAAATTATTGACTATATAGCATAAAATATGTATCAAGTCCGTCTGTACAGAAAAGTACCATGCTCCCATCATTCAGCGTGTTTAAAGCTCAGTTAACACCAGTAATATCATAGACCATGCGTCTGTTATGTATCTAGATTTCGACTTTTCTTACGATCGCTTTGGACTTCCTCGGTCACCTCCCGTGCCCCAGGATTTGAGGTCCGACTTCACTGCTGGGTCCTGGAGGTACGGTGTGTGGTGCAGTGTGATGGATTGTATGGCTCTACATCATCTAGCACTTAAGTTGTATTGCAGGATTTTTGCGTTTCATATAATCTTAGATGACTCGTAAACAACCTCTCAATGAGCTTGTTACTCTTCTATTTACAAAACAATATTTCCTCCTTACAATACAAATAAGTTTCAATTTTTTTTATTATTTAACGTTGCAATTTGTAGACTTTATAATAATGGTAAAGATACAGACTCGCCTTATTCATCTTGTATTCTTAAATTTTATAATACTCATTGTAAACGAAGTTTCATTGCTACCTAGGTTACTGGTCCAGTATGGTTACAGTACGTCCGATGAACTTGGTCCATCTCCCAGACAGCAGTACGTCCGATGTTCTGGTCCATATCCCAGACAAACAGTTCGTCCAATGTACTGGTCCATCTCCCAGACAACAGTACTTACGATGTATTGGTCCATCTCCCAGACAACAGTACGTACGATGTACTGGTCCATCTCCCACCCGACAGTACGTCCGATGGATTGGTCCATCTCCCACACAACATTACGTGCGATGTACTGGTGATGTATTGGTCCATCTCCCAGACAACAGAACGTACGATGTACTGGTGATGTACTGGTCCATCTCCCACACAACATTACGTACGATGTACTGGTCCGTTTCCCACACAACATTACGTACGATGTACTGGTCCATCTCCCACACAACATTACGTACGATGTACTGGTGATGTATTGGTCCATCTCCCAGACAACAGTACGTACGATGTAATGGTCCATCTCCCAGACAAACAGTTCGTCCAATGTACTGGTCCATCTCCAAGACAAACAGTTCGTCCGATGTATTAGTCCATCTCCCACACAACAGTATGTCTGATGTATTGGTCCATCTCCCAGACAACAGTACGTCCGATGTAGTGGTCCATCTCCTAGACAACAGTACGTCCAATGTACTGGTCCATCTCCCACACAACAGTACGTACGATATTCTGGTCCATCTCCCAGACAAACAGTTCGTCCAATGTACTGGTCATCTCCCAGACAACAGTACGTCCGATGTATTGGTCCATCTCCTAGACAACAGTACGTCCGATGTATTGGTCCATTTTCCACACAACATTATGTACGGTGTACTGGTCCATCTCCCACACAACATTACGTACGATGTACTGGTCCATCTCCCAGACAACAGTACGTCCGATGTACTGGTCCATATCCCAAACAAACAGTTCGTCCAATGAACTGGTCCATCTCCCAGACAACAGTACGTACGATATTCTGGTCCATCTCCCAGACAACAGTACGTCCGATGTAGTGGTCCATCTCCTAGACAACAGTACGTCCAATGTACTGGTCCATCTCCCACACAACAGTACGTACGATGTACTGGTCCATCTCCCAGACAAACAGTTCGTCCAATGTACTGGTCATCTCCCAGACAACAGTACGTCCGATGTATTGGTCCATCTCCTAGACAACAGTACGTCCGATGTATTGGTCCATTTTCCACACAACATTATGTACGGTGTACTGGTCCATCTCCCACACAACATTACGTACGATGTACTGGTCCATCTCCCAGACAACAGTACGTCCGATGTACTGGTCCATATCCCAAACAAACAGTTCGTCCAATGAACTGGTCCATCTCCCAGACAACAGTACCTACGATATTCTGGTCCATCTCCCAGACAACAGTACGTACGATGTACTGGTCACCTCCCAGACAACAGTACGTCCGATGTATTGGTCCATCTCCCAGACAACAGTACGTCCGATGTATTGGTCCATCTCCTAGACAACAGTACGTCCGATGTATTGGTCCATTTTCCACACAACATTACGTACGATGTACTGGTGATGTATTGGTCCATCTCCCTGACAACAGTACGTCCGATGTACTGGTCCATATCCCAGACAACGGTACGTACGATGTACTGGTCCATTTCCCAGACAAACAGTTCGTCCAATGTACTGGTCATCTCCCAGATAACAGTGCGCCCGATGTATTGGTCCATCTCCCAGACAACAGTACGTACGATGTACTGGTCCATATCCCAAACAAACAGTTCGTCCAATGAACTGGTCCATCTCCCAGACAACAGTACGTCCGATGTATTGGTCCATCTCCTAGACAACAGTACGTCCGATGTATTGGTCCATTTTCCACACAACATTACGTACGGTGTACTGGTCCATCTCCCACACAACATTACGTACGATGTACTGGTCCATCTCCCAGACAACAGTACGTCCGATGTACTGGTCCATCTCCCAGACAACAGTACGTCCGATGTACTGGTCCATCTACCAGACAACAGTACGTCCGATGTACTGGTCCATCTCCTAGACAACAGTACGTCCGATATATTGGTCCATTTTCCACACAACATTACGTACGATGTACTGGTCCATCTCCCACACAACATTACGTACGGTGTACTGGTCCATCTCCCACACAACATTACGTACGATGTACTGGTCCATCTACCAGACAACAGTACGTCCGATGTACTGGTCCATATCCCAAACAAACAGTTCGTCCAATGAACTGGTCCATCTCCCAGACAACAGTACGTCCGATGTACTGGTCCATCTCCCAGACAAACAGTTCGTATCCAAAACAACAGAAAGTACAATTAAATGGTCCAATAACCAAACAACATTAAGTACGGTGTACTGGTCCATATCCCACACAACATTACGTACGATGTACTGGTCCATCTTGTACCCATCTCCCAGACAAACAGTTCGTCCAATGTACTGGTCCATCTCCCAGACAACAGTACGTCCGATGTACTGGTCCATCTCCCAGACATTCCTCACGGCGAATGTACTTGTCACGTCCGAGACAACTCTACGTCCGATGTATTGGTCCATCTCCCAGACAACAGTACGTCCGATGTATTGGTCCATCTCCCAGACAACAGTACGTCCGATGTATTGGTCCATCTCCCAGACAACAGTACGTCCTATGTACTGGTCCATCTCCCAGACAACAATACGTCCGATGTACTTGGTCCATCTCCCTCCAGTACAACATATACGTACCGATGTACTGGTCCATTTCCCACACAACATTACGTATCTCCCAGATGTATTGGTCCATCTCCCAGACAACAGTACGTCCGATGTATTGGTCCATCTCCCAGACAACAGTACGTCCGATGTACTGGTCCATATCCCAAACAAACAGTTCGTCCAATGAACTGGTCCATCTCCCAGACAACAGTACGTCCGATGTATTGGTCCATCTCCTAGACAACAGTACGTCCGATGTATTGGTAAATTTTCCACACAACATTACGTACGGTGTACTGGTCCATCTCCCACACAACATTACGTACGATGTACTGGTCCATCTACCAGACAACAGTACGTCCGATGTACTGGTCCATCTCCCAGACAAACAGTTCGTCCAATGTACTGGTCATCTCCCAGACAACAGTACGTCCGATGTATTGGTCCATCTCCTAGACAACAGTACGTCCGATGTATTGGTCCATTTTCCACACAACATTACGTACGGTGTACTGGTCCATCTCCCACACAACATTACGTACGATGTACTGGTCCATCTCCCAGACAACAGTACGTCCGATGTACTGGTCCATATCCCAGACAAACAGTTCGTCCAATGAACTGGTCCATCTCCCAGACAACGGTACGTACGATGTACTGGTCCATTTCCCAGACAAACAGTTCGTCCAATGTACTGGTCATCTCCCAGATAACAGTGCGCCCGATGTATTGGTCCATCTCCCAGACAACAGTACGTCCGATGTATTGGTCCATCTCCCAGACAACAGTACGTCCGATGTACTGGTCCATCTCCCAGACAACAATACGTCCGTCTCCCAAAGACAGTACGTACGATGTACTGGTGATGTACTGTTCCTCCGATGTATTGGTCCATCTCCATCTCCCTCCCAGACAACAGTACGTCCGTCTCCCATATACTGGTGATGTACTGTTCCATCTCCCTGACAACAGTACGTCCGATATACTGGTGATGTATTGGTCCATCTCACAGACAACAGTTCGTCCAATGCACTGGTCCATCTCCCAGAAAACAGTACGTACGTTGTACTGGTCCATCTCCCATACAAACAGTTCGTCCAATGCACTGGTCCATCTCCCAGACAACAATACGTCCGTCTCCCAGACGACAGTACGTACGATGTACTGGTGATGTACTGTTCCATCTCCCTGACAACAGCACGTCCGATGTACTGGTGATGTACTGGTCCATCTCCCAGACAACATCTCCCACACAACATTACGTACGATGTACTGGTGATGTATTGGTCCATCTCATAGACAAGAGTACGTACGATGTACTGGTGATGTGCTGGTCCATCTCCCAGACAACAGTACGTGCGATGTACTGGTGATGTACTGGTTCATCTCCCACACGACAGTACGTCCAATGTACTGGTGATGTACTGCACACGACAGTACGTCCGATGTACTGGTGATGTACTGGTCCATCTCCCACACGACAGTACGTCCGATGTACTGATGATGTACTGGTCCATCTTCCAAACTCTCAGCAAAGACTTCGCCATAAGGGATAGGATCACCAGTCTCATGTGAAATATGTAGGTATAACCAAGAGGCACATAGGGCTTGTATCGCTCACCTGGATTTTAAAGCCCAGCAATATCCTACATCCCTATAGGTTGGATATTTAAAATATTTCCAACTTAAAGCTCAGTCACTTAACCTCTTTGATGGGACAAAACCAATGGGTACATTCTTACATCATTACTGTCTTTTTCTTTTGATTCCAAGTAAGAGTTTATATGGTTATCAGGTTGGTATCTAAAACAAATGACCAGAAATAACGTCCCTTGAGGTGTGCCACACCCACTGGTCAATTCTAACGGAACAAATGCGTTTATCTCCTGATGTCACGCATTTATTTATATGATTATGGGGTTGGGATTTCAACTGTTTCAAAGATATCATCCAGAAATTAAGCCCAGATTGATGGTGCCATACCCAAGGGCCAGAGGGTGGGGATCTCAACTGTTTCAAAGATATACCAAGGAAACTACGTCCTCGGGGATTGTGGCTATATCTTATCTCCGGCAATCCACCTTTGATACAAAATGATTCCCCTTCACTAAAACATGATTCACACCAAATTTGAGCGAATTCCAATCATGCCTTCGGAAGGAATAGGATTTTAAAGAATTTGCTCTATATCCTCAATTGGGCCCCGCTACACAGTTTATCAAAATATGTTCCCATTTTCTCCCTAAGGATGCTTCGGACCAAATTTGGTCAAAATCCCTTCCGTCGTTCATGACAAGTATAGTTTTGTAGAAAAAGTTGGCGGACGACGGATGAAGGACGACGTGTATACTAAAAGACTACTGTAAAAGAATATTTTGATAAAGACAACAAAACAATCAAACAATACACATACTTTAATAACAAAACCAACACATTTCTTGGTTCGTTTTTACACGAATATTTAGCGCTATTGTATGATACAAATACATTTATACGTATAACGGTAGGATATACTTTGTATATATAACGTAAAGTTCATCTCGGTCGATATCTACTTACATAGATACATCCTTTAACAGTCAGCTCTCAAATAAAAATACCACTCTCAAATGTTCTTTCATTTACAGTTCCGAGTTTCCTTTAAAACAATAATTTTCTGGTTGATGTTTTCAGAATCCATCTAATTTATATTCAAATTGTTTAACACTGCTTGAATTTATAACATTCTTTAAGTCCTATCCATGTGTTGATGAATCCTCCCTGATTTGAACGATGTCTGACACTTCGCAATAACATTTCTTACTCTATCGGTCATTGTCTTGGGAAATACAGGCGAGGAATCTGAACGAGTGAAGTGTTTTCGTATTACAACTAAAATAATTTATCAGACACCTCAAATAGACAATATATATTATATACAAACTACGTCGTTTTTGAAGAGACTTATAGTCAACAAATATCTCGTTGTGTACACTCCACAACCATCTCAAAACCTTCGACAACAACGAATTATTTAAAGAGTACGTACGCACGTTCAGGAAAATATATATTATTGCTCTTCGCAATATGTTGAAAGGACTACATCTGATTCACCAAATGTATTACAAGGCACAACAAAAGTATGAATATTTCAGTTTCACTGGAAGACAAATGGTTGTCAAACTGATAACGAACACATTGGGCACACGTTGTGTCAATCATGGCACTGGCGTACATACAATTAAAGACGACACTGACAATTCGTCATGGTTCACTGATACTTCACACGTTTAATTGTTCATCATGCCACACTGACTCAAACTCTATCTTTTCACTTTTCGTCATGGTACACTGATTCCTGCCACGTTTCAATTATTCGTCACGCTACTTTGTGCAGGTTTAACTTTTCACGATACTACAATGACCTGGTCACTTCCATGTTTTTACTGTTCGTCATGCTTCACCGACTCATTCCATGTTTTAATTGATCGTCATGTTACAATGTACATTACATATATGAATTTTGATCATTTAGATCATTTAATGTACTGGTACCTATACGCTGTATTGCATTTGGATATAATAAAACTTGAAACTTGAAACACTGAGTCGTCATATGTTTCGTCACAGTACACTGCCCCATCCCATGTTATAAATATTCTTCATGGTACACTGACAACGTTCTAATCGTTCATTATGCTACCCCGATCCCTTTTTTAAAAGTTCGTCGTGCTACAAACTATCGCTATGTTTTAATTGTTCGTCATGCTTCAGTGCCCCTCCCATGCTTTACTCTTCAGCATACTCAATGGTCTCACTTTGCAGGGTTGATTGTGTCATCCTGGCTGTCAATAAAACCGTTAAAAGACGTTCTTAAGTAACTGACTTTTGCCAACCGACGTACAGACGCGTAATCTGCCTTTCTATGTACGAGAATAATCTCTTCGGTCAGAATTTCTTTGCACTATTAGCAGAATATTATATAATTCACCATCGTCATGGTGACGATGTAGTCGCCGCGTCCCAGCCGAAAGGATTCTTTGATCCTGGTGAAGGAGTGACTCTACGTCGTCTCTTGCTGCGGAATATGCGTCTTAACCTTCGGAATCGCCTCATGGTCATTGTCGATTCGGTTGTATTCGCAGGTGGAATCTCATCTGTATCCGGTGGCAGAATTGGGACCGGAATGGCGCGATTGTCCGTGGGACAATGTCCGTCAGTCACCTTGATGTCGTCAATGGCCATATCGCCCTGGTAACCACGTCCTATTATCCCCTCGAACACAATCTGTAGTAAATATAAAGAGAACATGTCAACACAGCCGATGTTAGTTTCATGGATGCTTCTAATTATGAAATAGATTGAAGTCCAAAGTTATAATACATATAACAATATTGTACTTTCTGTTTGTTTTACCTGATAACCGATGCGGGCGAGTTGTTCGGGGATAGACAACCGTGCTAGGATCCAAGTATCACCTTGGTTACCAAACGTTCTCCAAACCGCTCGATTGTCTTCTGCAGACTCCGTCTATAAAATGAGATTTAGATAAAATTTCGAGCTACAAATAACAGTGGGACAACATGCCAATACCTTTTTTCCCCACTTTCCTCTTTGGAAGTTTATTGTGTTCTTATATCATATAAAGATATTTAACCATTTCAAATGTGAACTTTGAAGTAAAATCTTATATCTGAAAGGTGACACATTTTAACTTTCTCAGACGAATAAAGTAAAAGCTAACAATAGTTACTTAAATGTTTGAAAGTATCCACGTGTCAACAAAAGCACCTGAAGAGTGCCTTTCTCTAAATATGTCGGAATAGTCGATGTAAAATAATCCCTTCATTTATTTTCTGGATATGATAGGACACTGGCAGTTGCAACAAGAGAAGCCTCACCTATCAATGTTTCGTGACGAAAAAATGTTCCCAAAGAGACGAGAAAATTCTTGATGTTTTTACTATAAGGTAAAACGGTTTTCGCTTCCCTGTCTGGTATTTGTATGCCTTTCAGATGTCATATCTTCACAATTGTGTATCAACATTAATCGTTCCTGTTGTTCTGTGAAAGTGTACTTCTAGGTATACATAATTATATAATACCTCCTCTGTGTTACTATCCAGCAGCAGTGCCTCAACTTCATACAGTGTATCTGTGCTTTTGCGAGGTAGTAGTTTTACAGTGACCAATTGTAACTTTACAAACGTACATGTAGAGAGATTACCTTAGTGTAGACGTTGAGCGTGCCCATTGTCCTGCCGTACATATGATAATAAAACTCCACACACTGCATGGTTAGGGCACGATATTTTACAGATAACAAAGAGGCGGTTTGGCCGGGTCGTCTGCCGGAGGCCTCTACGTACATAAAATGTCCTGAAAATATATCAATTAATGTATCAAAGTATTCAACACTTATCAACATTTGTTACCAGTAAAACCATCTGTAACAAAACTAATACATGTAAAGTACACAACAAACGATAATCAAATCTCGGTTCCGTTATCAGTCCAGCAAACCATTGTCACTCACAGCAAGAAATAATTGGTCACAAAAGAACGCCGTTGAAAAGGGTGTCTGAAAACTTGGTTGATGTTTGGGCCCTCGCAACAGAAAGAATCATAAAGGACGGGTAAAAAGAAAGACATCAACTGAAGGGAAACGTCCATGAAGAGCTTTCCACCAAGTTGTATACTAAATGTGAAGATGTCAATTTCCCTATTGTTATTTTTTCATTTCTGTATAGCAACAACCCTGCATCCCTAAACCATGATTGTTATATGTCGCAGTTGATTGATATTCAAGGGTCGTATATTACTAATTTCGGTCAAGATGTTGTTAACTAGCAGACAAACTCATAACATGGATTTCAATAAATGCAGATTGATGAAAAATATTGGGAATTTTCACGGTCATCACTGATCTCACTGAGAAATATTCTATTTCTTTGTGTGGTATGAAATCGGACGTAATTGATGCCTTATTCTCATTTGAGAACGTGACATTATTTTCTTGTATTAACGAAGATTTACATGGTAGGTGTCGTCGATGAAACAGAGGACACGTTCTATTCCAGAACCCCTGGTCTTATTCTCCCTGTGCTTTTTCAGGAGTCCACGTGTAAATATTTCTTTTGAACATATTTTGCCCTAGTTTTATTGAATAAGAATTTGGATTTTGACTATATTTAAATATTGGTATTTTCTGGCCTGAAACTTATGAGGCGACTTAACCAAACTAAAACTGGCTAAAATAAATACATTTGTATTGTAGTTAAATACAGTCGAAGTGATGCACTAACTCTATAATTTTGTAATTCTTAGATCTCGATAGAACGTCAAGTACGTCATTGATGATCAATCAAAATGCATCAAACAGCTGTTCTGTCTTCCCTGGATTCTCATATATCTCAGGAATTAAAGACTAGACATGGAGAAAGCGACAAAGATAAATGATAAATATACAGATAGGTAAAAATGTCCGAAACATACACATGTCGAAATACAAAGGGGAAAGCACTCGCCCAGAATTAGGTTGTTGTTGTTTTTTTCTATATTCAATATTGGAATATTTCAACATGAAGTATATTGTGTTATGTTGAATGTTATTCAGGACACATGACATGAGCACTTCTGGCCAACACCGAGGTATTGTACAAAAGACAGTATATGATACGAACAAAAATGTGAATGTAAACTGGATCACACGTGTGCTACGTCCGTCTGGTCAATTGTTTGATCAACTACGAGGGTTATATAGTGTAAAACTGGGGGATGAGCCTAGACAGTGTTAAACTGATACATGGATATACACATAAACCATCTTGAGTTTGTGCTTTAAATAAAGATGACCCAGCAGGTGCTTTACGGAATGAAACAAAAACTTTTTTTAAAAAATGGTTGGTTGGGGAGCAATAAGATGAACGACTTTTGGTAAATAAATCGCCGTGTCGACATCAACAGCTGCTCTGTCACTGCATAAAACATGAGGATTCTTTCATCATCGTGATGGAATAGAGTTTTACAGACATTTATAGACACCATAGCCCGGTCCTAGTGTTTTGGCGTTAAAGCCAGTGTAATGACACGTGATATATGTTACCGTCAGGTTAAGTGATAACAATCACATGTAGCGTAAGTAATTGCACTAGTTAGATGCCAAAGCTCACAACATGATGTTAATTAACGTCATCTAGTTCGAGAATTAGACACTTAAATATGACCAGAGTTACTGTAAATGATTTATGATAGTTCAAATTTTAAGTTTTACGAGAAAGATTCTTTCAAAGAAGTGTATAACAGGTTATACATTTCAGTTTTCATTCTTTATTATTTTTCCACATTATTTTCGCAATTGAATGCCATCCTCGAAAACAGCAAACCATCTCGAAAATAACACATCAACCTTTCTCATAATCTATAACAGCCTTTATCGTAATCTATAACAACCTTTATCGTAATCTATAACAATCTTTATCGCAATCTATAACTATCTTTATTGTAATCTATAACACTCTTTTTGTCATAATCTATAACAACCTTTCTCATAATCTATAACACTCTTTATCGCAATCTATAACACTCTTTATCGTAATCTATAGCAACCTTTATCGTAATCTATAACAACCTTTATCGTAATCTATAACAACCTTTATCGTAATCTATAACAACCTTTATCGTAATCTATAACAACCTTTATCGTAATCTATAACAACCTTTATCGTAATCTATAACAACCTTTATCGTAATCTATAACAACCTTTATCGTAATCTATAACAACCTTTATCGTAATCTATAGCAACCTTTATCGTAATCTATAACACTCTTTTTGTCATAATCTATAACAACCTTTCTCATAATCTATAACACTCTTTATCGTAATCTATAACAACCTTTCTCATAATCTATAACACTCTTTTTGTCATAATCTATAACAACCTTTCTCATAATCTATAACACTCTTTTTGTCATAATCTATAACAACCTTTCTCATAATCTATAACACTCTTTATCGCAATCTATAACACTCTTTATCGTAATCTATAACACTCTTTATCGTAATCTATAACAACCTTTATCGCAATCTATAACAACCTTTATCGTAATCTATAGCAACCTTTATCGTAATCTATAGCAACCTTTATCGCAATCTATAACACTCTTTATCGTAATCTATAGCAACCTTTATCGTAATCTATAGCAACCTTTATCGTAATCTATAGCAACCTTTATCGCAATCTATAACACTCTTTATCGTAATCTATAGCAACCTTTATCGCAATCTATAACACTCTTTATCGTAATCTATAGCAACCTTTATCGTAATCTATAACAACCTTTATCGCAATCTATAACAACCTTTATCGTAATCTATAGCAACCTTTATCGTAATCTATAACAAATTTATTTTGTAATCTATAACACTCTTTATCGTAATCTATAGCAACCTTTATCGTAATCTATAACAACCTTTATCGCAATCTATAACAACCTTTATCGTAATCTATAACAGCCTTTATCGTAATCTATAGCAACCTTTATCGTAATCTATAGCAACCTTTATCGCAATCTATAACACTCTTTATCGTAATCTATAGCAACCTTTATCGTAATCTATAACAACCTTTATCGCAATCTATAACAACCTTTATCGTAATCTATAACAGCCTTTATCGTAATCTATAGCAACCTTTATCGTAATCTATAACAACCTTTATCGCAATCTATAACAACCTTTATCGTAATCTATAACAGCCTTTATCGTAATCTATAACACTCTTTATCGTAATCTATAGCAACCTTTATCGTAATCTATAACAAATTTATTTTGTAATCTATAACACTCTTTATCGTAATCTATAACAACCTTTATCGTAATCTATAACAAATTTATTTTGTAATCTATAACACTCTTTATCGTAATCTATAACAGCCTTTATCGTAATCTATAGCAACCTTTATCGTAATCTATAGCAACCTTTATCGCAATCTATAACACTCTTTATCGTAATCTATAGCAACCTTTATCGCAATCTATAACAACCTTTATCGTAATCTATAACAGCCTTTATCGTAATCTATAACAACCTTTATCGTAATCTATAACAACCTTTATCGTAATCTATAACAACCTTTATCGTAATCTATAGCAACCTTTATCGCAATCTATAACAACCTTTATCGTAATCTATAACAACCTTTATCGTAATCTATAACAGCCTTTATCGTAATCTATAACAGCCTTTATCGTAATCTATAACAACCTTTATCGTAATCTATAACAGCCTTTATCGTAATCTATAACACTCTTTATCGTAATCTATAACAATCTTTATTCTCTCAGGTAAAAACAGCGTAACTTATATTATGGTCACTAACGTCCGAAGTTCTCATGAGAATTTTTGTAGCCTGGATAACATATGACTAAACGATATCGACAATTTCTGTTAGGGTAATATAAATAAGAGGTTTAAAGAAAGGAAAATGAATCGATCTGTTGGAAACACAATTGAATCAAGATGATATAACATTCAATAAAGCAATTTATGAGGTACCAGACGAGTGATTCTGGATACAATGAAATAATGGCATGACTTACCTCCCGTTTTGACCCCACATGTGTGGTCTCCCGTAGGACCTGTAGCACTAGACGGCGTTTGGACACGCGCCCTTACCCAATTAAAATCGTCCGTTTCATTTTCTTGAGAGAATCCACACACTTCTTTGGTCTCAAAACCACAAAACGTCTGCGTCTTAGCTGCAAGAATAAACAGTTGTAAACTTGATAATGTTTTTTAGTTTGATGTTTAAAAAAGCTCTGTTAAGTACAATTATTATATAACATTCATTACATTTGTAATACAATCAGGGAAAGCAAAAGCATGCTGTACCATTTCCTTCTTGATGTATTCTTACGTAACACGACACCTGTTTCTAGGTTACCAGTTCCTTCATTGTTTGATGCATCTGTAATGCATTTCTACAACTTGACGCCGGAAGTCGAAAAAAGGGTCCTTCTCCCACATTCCGCGTCACTTAGGGAATGCGGCCAAGGTCACTATTTTTAACAGATAATACTACAAGCCTTTTTAATTACTGTTAATTATTACAGACTGTTGGGGCGATTTCCTGGCGTCATTTTTAATGCTACAATGTACTATGTATATATAAAGATTGTAAACAAGATGCTAGGGGATTATGGGGACGTGGATGCAATAATCCTAGGCGATTATATAAACGGAACACTTATGAATACATATATAGAACAGACTGGTCTGGGATTCTGCACACAACAGCAAATCGGAGAATTAGATACGCACTTGGTCCAATGTTTAGTCTGTTAAATGAGACGATTCTGCACGTGTAAATGAAGCAGGAAATGATCAAAGCAGCATACCAAACAAGTACAACTGTGTCAGGTGAGGTGGTTTCTAGGGCTGTCTGGCTGTTTATATATACTTGGACAGAAACTAACATAGTCTCCACCACGATAAACACAAGATACCAACTGTCAGTGTAAATCTAATCTATGCTGATTGTGCTCCCTTGTAACATGTTGGAGTAAAACTTAATTACAAAATCTTTGATAAATTTAGACTCTTTCCTTACACCTTAAGTCCATGTTTCATATCCTTCCTAATAACATTCGCAGCATACCCACAGACTGGGGATGTTAGCGTACGATTACTTGAATGAATATCCACTGTTGTGTTTATGTCACAGGAGGGCTGATGACACAGGAAGTGTTGAAATAAAGTAACACAATCATATTAATTAAACAAATTGATGGACGACTCCACCTAACAGTTCGACTTCCCTTCTGGTAAATTCCGGTTTAAAATGGCAGCATGAACGATGCTTACAATCAGACATGACCCGGCATACTTCAAAATGTTATTACAATACAGTGTTTATCGGTCTTAAAATCGTTCATATAAAAACGAGATTACACCAGTTATTGACATTGTAACGAATGAAATTTAACAAACCGCCTTGTAAGAAAGTTATCTACAAAATATTCAATGAACACTTTTGGTATTCAAGGTCTAGTTCCCAATTGATTGTGTCACGAAAGTTGTCGGCAGCTGACAAATTAACTTACATCATGGGGTTTCGGGAGATTCCGGTTGCGGACATTTTCTTTTCTCTATTCTGACATTAAGGGGCAATATTCCATTTCCTTGTGTGATATGAAGTTAGATGTGTTCAAGTTTCTAAATTAGGTCTGTTTATATCGTCAGCAGAAACCTGGTTCTCATTTGGGAATGTGACATTACTTACCAAGACTAACGGTCAAGGTTTACATGGCATGTGTCGTCAATGAAAGGGAAGACGCTTACCCTTCGGGAACATAGGGTCTTATCTTTGTATTTTTTAAGAATATACGTACAAGTCTTTGTTTTGCTCTTATCTTGCCCTAATCTCACCAATTCTGAGTATAGATTTTGTAAACATGTCGATAATTTGTTCTGTGACTCAGTTTGGATGTGGCAATTATAATTGCTATTGTTACTTACATTATGGGTAGGAATATATGAGGGCAATTTAGATCAGATTATATATTTGACACATTTTAATATTTAACATGATAGGTTGTTCAACATCTGCGAGCAGGGAAAGTAAATGTCTGTTGTGTCCCATTCCCACTGCATAAGACGGGACTAATTGTGCGATCACGTTCAACCACGTGAAAAGAAACAAACAATGTTAAGAAAACTTGATCATTTGATTTGATGAAAAACACGACTATTAAATCATCGAGATCACACTGTATGTATGTAAAGCGATATCCATGAATCTAAACATCAGTTGGTACTTGTATATTCGTGCCGTTGTCTGAGATGTTAACAAAAGAACCTTTGATTAAGACAATAACCAAAATGTTTTTGTTTTCCCCCATTAATTTGACAAATATAGCTCAGAAGTTATATTTAATGATAATATTTGTAACACGATAAAACATTATGTTGTTTTAACTCGTAGTAAATAATTGGATCTGTGGTTTCAACACATTAAATACAAAGACATCTAGTTTTTTACTTATGTGAACGACTGTACAACGTGCAGCTGTAAGCAGAATCATAATGATACTATTATTTTGGCTGCTCCATGCCACTGTATAGGTGTTACTGTAACGTAGACAATTATATCGTGCATCTGCTACATGTATATCTTAGCAGACAAATACACAGAATGAGTACATTTATCAGGAACACAATGCAAACTGACATTAATTCAACTATCTTAATGGCGGAGTGCTTTTAGAACGCGCTATACCCGTACATATAAATACATTCCAGTTAGTTTGTACATAATTTGTACTCGTTGTAATTCATGACAGGGTCGTTGTGTTTTAAAGAAGCGTGTTTCTGACGTACATGTTGCGACCACGGTTTACAAAATCACTTGCACGTTATCAGTAAGTTGTATTAATTAAGAAATTAAACTGAAATCTTGTTAGAGACCAGATGATACAGATCGTCAGACATAGAACAACTGGTGGTAAAGATATGACATCCTTTATCTCCTGTTTGAGGGACACCGCGTATGTTGTACGTGCAGAAATCTGCTCTGATAGCGCAGCAGTGCAGCCTTCTGTAGCTTTGTAAAGTAGAAAATGTTGCTGTTTCGACAAAACCAAGACTTAAACCGCGTTAACTCTGTAAACATCACATACATGGAAATCTATAAACGGAATTCTGGATTAGACCTGTATTCGTTTGAGACTTATCTAATGTACAGAAAAAATCCAACAGTAGACGATTTCTAAAACAACCTCCGGCTTCTATCGCGTAAAAAACTCCTTAAAGTGCTGTAAACCTTAATAGGACGTGTTTTTTAATTTTATCCTAGTCGATTTCAACGACATAAAAACACATCATTCTTATCTAGCACTTAAAATGACAAATTATATAATGATTTCATCTAAGGTATAATCGGTACCGTCTCTTCCCGTCATGAATGTATAATATCACTATTACAGACGTGTGGCGGTAAACGACCCGCCGAGAACATTTACAACCGCAGTACAGTATTTGGTGGGTACATGATCCCTTTAATGACGACGAAAAATATCTGTCTAGAGCTACACAGCACCATCACTCATTATTACGGGTCTTTCCTTACTGTCGGCTATAGAGGAAAGGATATGATTAAACTAGAAACTAACATTGTAGGGCTGGTATTTTACATGTCAGTAACAGCGAACAAAGTTACTCTCGAGGTTTAGAAATTAGGTTTTTCTCGCCAGGCTTGTTTTGTGTGACAATAAAAATAATTTGAACTCGTTGGTTCGTTAATTCCTGTGATAAAATGATTATGTGATAGAAAAGTCAGCGTCTAAACAATGGGTTTCAAAAAGGTTAGATCGCGAAAGTTTTTGTATCTGGTAGACATAATATAAATAATGCTGAAAACGGCCGTAAGGAATGTCTTATTTCCAAACATGATAAACGGCTCCAGGAAGTTAGATTTTCTAAATTGTAACCTTACTACTTAATATTATAACATTAAATATTATTTCAAAATTGCGACATTATAGATAAAAGTACAATTACATAAGTAACCTTTTAAATTAAACGTCTGGTATCCTGTTGTCAGGTGTCTATGGTGTCATTACTGTTCTGTCTTATTTCCAGTAGGAACTCTCACTGACCCAGTTGACTAGTTAACGAACACGACACCCAGTAAACCAACAGGAGATATGAATCATTACAGAAAATGAAATAAAAACATATTTCTTAACGTTAATGTGCGAAAGTTTATTTTACATAATGCATTTTTTGATAGTCACGGCAAAAAAATCGTGTAATTTTAGACAAGTATATCCCTTTTAAAGACCATACAGCCTGGAACATTAATTTACACCGTGTGCATATAGATTGTAATCAAGAAAACTTGCATATCTTACTCCTTGAAGCATTGCATTACAACTTTTATGAACTTATCAGGATGCCAGATATAAAAGCAGAGCGAACCTATCCGACAGCTTATAGTATACATATACTCGTTATAACCTATTGTTGTTTTCTTTTTATTATTTAATCAGCTCTGAACCAGCTTTTAAAATGTTCGGTTGATTTTTTTCAATCGGCATTTCTGGATAATTGTGTTCTTTTCAGGAAAAAACCCAATTACACAGCCTTTTAGCTCCTTAACCAGATCATTCACACTAAAATAAGACCTTAATAATTTCAACAACACCAAAATATTCATCAGATACCATCCTACGAATGCATTGTGTCATAACAAATCAAATTTAAACATGACGTAATCATAAAGAAAATTAAAATTAGATATCAGGTAATTACATAACGAATTTAAATTGAATATGACGTAATTACATAACAAAATTAAATTAAATATAACGTAATTAGAATCTATTCTTTCCTATACTCTTACTTCTGATAAATATAGAAGATTTTACTAAGATTCATAAACAAACAGCACCTTTCATTTCAAATTTAGAACCAGATAACATAGAAGCATATAATGAATTAACCTGCATCATAGAGCTGTTTCGTCCTCCAAAGACTCGTCACCGATGTTAAGAGCTTAATGTTGAGGTAACCTATAGGAGATTGCTAAGGAAAATCCGAATTCTTAGGGGGAAAAACAAGACGGGAGAGCCGAAATTCGAAAAAAAAAAAAGACGGGAGAGCCGAAATTCGAAAAAAAAAAAAACTAGACGGGAGAGCCGAAATTCAATAAGTTTCATAGCTACCACTATTGGATGGTTTCAAGAGTAAGTCAAGTACT